GCCACCCCTCTCTGCTTCGGCTCAGAGGTATGGCCTCCCGTCTTCTTGTGTCCGGTCTCCCCCGGTCCCTCCCTCCCCTTCCTCAGGGCCCTGGCCCTGCCTGTGTCCCCTGTGTCGAGGGACGCCTGCGTGCTGCCCCTCACTCCTCCCAGTTTCCTCCGACAGAGGCCCCGTTGCAGACACTTCACATGGACGTGTGGGGCCCAGCCCGCGTCCGTGGACAGGGTCACGAGCGCTACTTCCTGCTCGTTGTTGACGACTACTCGCGTTACACCACAGTCTTCCCCTTGCGCAGCAAGGGTGATGTCACTGAGGTGCTGATCGACTGGATCCGCGCAGCTCGTCTCCAGCTCAGGCAGAGCTTCGGCTCGGACTTTCCTGTTCTGCGTCTGCACTCGGACAGAGGCGGAGAGTTCTCCTCTGGCCTTCTGCGTGCCTACTGTCGTGCACGGGGCATCCGTCAGACCTTCACGCTTCCGGACTCACCGCAGCAAAATGGGATTGCTGAGCGCCGCATTGGCATGGTCATGGACGTCGCTCGTACGTCTATGATGCATGCGGCTGCCCCCCATTTTCTGTGGCCGTTTGCGGTGAGGTACGCGGCGCATCAGATCAACCTCCACCCCAGGGTCTCCAGGCCGGAGACCTCCCCAGCCTTGCTGTGGACGGGGAAGGTTGGCGATGCGTCGGCGTTCCGGGTCTGGGGATCTCGGGCGTTTGTCCGCGACCTGTCTGCGGACAAACTATCCCCTCGTGCTGCTCCTTGCGTCTTCCTGGGGTTCCCCCCTGACGCGCCTGGGTGGCAGTTTTACCACCCCACCTCTCGCCGTGTTCTGTCCTCCCAGGACGTCACGTTTGACGAGTCGGTCCCTTACTACCGCCTCTTCCCCTACCGCACTCCGTCCCTCCCTCCACCCCCACTCTTCCTGGTACCAGGTCCCCCCCAGGTAGACCCCCTCCCCCCTCAGGGTCCTGCCCCTTCAGGTGTGTCCCAGGTAGACGCAGTCGAGCCTGTCGAGGTCACTGGTGACTCTGGTGCTGCTGAGGGTGCTGAGGCTGGGGGTGCTGTACCTGGGGGTGCGGAGCCTAGGGGTGCTGGGCCTGGGGGTGCTACGTCTGGGGGTGCTGAGCCTAGGGGTGCTGAGCCTAGGGGTGCTGAGCCTGGGGGTGCTGAGCCTAGGGGTGCTGAGCCTAGGGGTGCTGAGCCTGGGGGTGCTGAGCCTAGGGGTGCTACGTCTGGGGGTACTGAGCCTAGGGGTGCTACGCCTGGGGGTGCTGAGCCTGGAGGTGCTCCGCCTGGAGGTTCTCCGAGTGCTTCGTCTCGCCGGGAGCCACTTTCTCCACAGGAGCTGCGTGAGTGGTTTGCCCGGCGCTGGAGGCGTGCTGCTGGTGCTGGAGGTCCTTCGGCTGCTGAGGGTGCTGCGGTCGCGGGTCCCGGAGGTGCTCGTCCTGGGTGCACTGGAGCTGGTGCTGCTGAGGGTGCTGGCGCTGAGACTACCGCTGGCAGTCCTACTGGGGGTGCTCCTGGTGCTGCTGGAGGTTCTGGAGCTACTGGTGGTGCTGCTGGAGCGGGTGCTCCTGCTCAGGGTTCTGGTGCTGTCCCTGCTGCTTCTAGCGTCGCCGCGCGGCCTCGACCGTACTTCGTTCCACTCCTGCAGCAGGTTCTTGGTCTTCCACCTTCTACTGGTCCTCCTCCTCCCTTAGAGTGTCCACAGCCTGTCTCGTCCCAGCTACAGTTGCAGCCTACCTCCCCTTTGCCTGCTCCTTCTCCCTACACTGGTCCTACTGGAGGTCTGGCTGAGCGTCGTGAGCCTGCGTCTCGCCCTGCGTCGCCTGTCCGTGCTGCTCGCACTAGTGGTCGCGGTTCGCGTCATCGTCCTCCTCCTGTCTCTGGCACGCACCGGATGTCTCTGCGTCCGTCCACTGCTCCTCTGCGTGCCCCTTTGCCTTCTCCTCCTGAGTCCTCTCTTCCTGCTCTTGCCGACCCGGAGTCGGACTCTCTTCGTGCTGCCAGTCCTACTGTCACGCGTCTCCTTGCTACTGTTGTCACTGACCCTTCTTTCGAGTCTACTGCTGCGTCTGCTCTCGTTACTGAGCTCGTCGACTTTGCTGCTCGCTGTCGCTTAGACTACGCTGCTAGTCTTGTCGCTGAGTCTGAGTCTGTCTGTCCTCCGTCCGTCGGGGGTGAGTGTGCCCTTGGCACGGACGTCCTTGAGGACAGGCAGGAGGAGTTCCAGTGTCTGGCAGCTGCCTCACCTCATCTCGTGTCCGTACTGCTTACCCCTGAGGGAGACCCGGATGCACTTGACATCCCGACTCCGCGCTCTTACGCGGAGGCGATAGAGGGTCCCTACTCCTCTCAGTGGCAGGCAGCTATGGATGCAGAGATGGCTTCCTGGAAGTCCACAGGCACCTACGTTGACGCTGTCCCCCCTCCTGGGGCGAACATCGTCAGTGGCATGTGGATCTTCAGGGTGAAGCGGCCGCCGGGTTCTCCGCCTGTCTTCAAGGCGCGTTACGTGGCTCGTGGCTTCAGTCAGCGGCAGGGAGTTGACTACTTTCAGACCTTCTCCCCCACCCCGAAGATGACCACTCTTCGGGTACTGCTGCACGTTGCTGCTCACCGTGACTACGAGCTGCACTCTCTTGACTTCAGCACAGCTTTCTTGCAGGGCAGCCTGCACGAGGAGATCTGGCTGCGTCGCCCACCTGGCTTCACTGGGTCTTTCCCTTCTGGTACCCAGTGGAGTCTCCGGCGTCCAGTCTACGGTCTCCGCCAGGCGCCACGTGAGTGGCACGACACACTGAGGACTACACTTGCGGCTCTTGGGTTTGCTCCTTCTACTGCCGACCCGTCGCTGTTTCTACGCACCGACACCTCTCTGCCGCCGTTCTACATCCTCGTGTACGTCGACGACTTGGTCTTTGCCACAGCTGACACTGCTGGACTCGCCTACGTGAAGTCCGAGCTGCAGAAGAGACACACGTGCACAGACCTGGGTGAACTGCGCAGCTACCTTGGCTTGCAGATCACCCGGGACAGAGCACGCCGCACCATTACCCTGACTCAGTCACACATGGTGCAGCAGGTCCTTCAGCGCTTCGGCTTCACGTACTCCTCGTCTCAGGCCACTCCTCTGTCTACTCGCCACTCGCTCTCAGCTCTGCCTTCGGATGAGTCCGTAGAGTCGAGTGGCCTGTACCCAGAGCTTGTTGGCTGCCTCATGTACCTGATGACCTGCACACGACCTGACCTTGCATACCCTCTTAGCATTCTGGCACGCTATGTTGCTCCTGGGAGACACAGACCAGAGCACATGGCTGCAGCGAAGAGGGTGTTGCGCTACTTGTGCAGTACGTCGGGCATGGGGCTAGTGCTTGGAGGGCGGAGTCCAGTGGTCCTCACTGGGCACGCGGACGCTTCTTGGGCTGACGACCAGGCTACGCAGCGGTCGTCACAGGGTTACACCTTCAGCCTTGGTTCCGGCTCTGTTTCGTGGCGGGCTACTCGCTCGTCTTCTGTTCTTGGCTCGAGTTGTGAGGCTGAGATCTACGCCGGGGCCATGGCTGCACAGGAGCTTCGCTGGCTCACCTACCTGCTGACCGACCTTGGAGAGCCGCCTCGTTCTCCTCCAGTCCTGTACGTAGACAACAAGGCCATGCTGGCCTTGTGTCGAGAGCAGCGACTGGAGCACAGAACAAAGCACATTGCTCTCCGCTACTTCCTTGCTCGTGAGCTACAGCAACGTGGTCAGTTGCGGCTTGCGTACGTGGCCTCTGAGGCCAACACTGCTGATGTCTTCACCAAGGCACTTCCGCCTTGTGATCATCAGCGCTTCTGCACTCAGCTGGGTCTTGTGCCCGTCTTGCCTCACTTGCTCTCCTCTTGACCTTGCCTGTACTCTCACATATATATATACCTGCTCTTGCTTGTCTAGCTTTATATATATGTGTGTACTCTTGCATGTGAACTGGCCGTGTGGCCTTGACCCTGTGCTCGGACTGTGTGGTGACTTTGTGATCCACCCTGAGCTTGCTTTGCTTTACTTTGCTTGACTGGTCTTGTGACCCCTTGTTCTCCCCCACTTTGCCTATGGGGGTGTGTCAGAACATTATAGCTTATGCTGTTGTGTAGGCTATAGTGGGGTATCCCATAGGGGGTACAACCAATTAGGGTTTCATATTTGTACTCACTTCATTTCATAGTTCATCCATTCTTGTTCAAATCTTCTCAGCTGGCAGTGCAAGTCGCTGGCAGCTGCATGGTGCGAAACTGTTACAGCACAGTACAAGCAGATGGCGAAGGTGTGAACATCGTGGGCCAAATTGGCTGGCAAAAGCGAAGTGGCGCACGAAAACAAAATACTTGAATTTCTGTATTCGGAGTTATCCTATATCAAGTGTGGTAGCGGGTAAAGCGACAGTCTGTTACAACATGGGTCGTCTGCTCGATTCCCACTGGCTCCTATGTTCGAGGTGCCGCCTGTATCTGTTTCAGGCCCCGAAGCCCAGGAGATTTTTCGTACAGTACATCTCGCTTCAGGGCGAGATTCGACACTATCCTGAGTCGTCAGGGCTGAACCTACAACGTTATCCTGAGTTTCCAGTACGCAAAATAACCATTATACTGATTTTACAGGACAAGTTATTCCCTTATGCTGTTTTTTCAGGAGAAGCACACGACACCTATCCTGAATTCAGGAGAATCAGGATAAATTATCCTGATAACATAGGCCCTGCCTATGGGGGTGTGTCAAACTGCATGTTTGTGTTATCTCTAGGCTATAGTGGGTTAGCCTACAAGGGGTACAACACTTTAGGGTTAGGTACTTGTACTCATGCATGCTACCTAGTCCATCATTCCTGCTTGCTTATTCTAACAGATAAGTCGTAACCCTGCCTCGATAGTTTCGCTCCCTGTTTCACAACCCTTGCAGCTCCGTGATGTTGTTGTGTTGGGATCTTAATAAACATAAACACAAATATAATCCATTGCATGCTTATCTTTTGTTAGCATGTTTGTAACACAGCATATGCGCAATAATCTTCACATGTTGCCAAACCACTTCCGAGTCATAATTCACTCCATCCCCTCTACAAGCCTCGCTCCTCCTCCTAGTAGTCGCGTAGAAATCCGCGATCGAGTGGCCGTTAGCAGCAAAGCGGGCGGCAGCGTGGCGCTGGTAGCGGCTGTGGTATCGCCGAATGTTGAATAACTGCTCTCCTTTGATCTTACCTGCGTCGACAAAACACAGGGGAAAATAAAGAGGGAACGTGGGGAGCAGGAGGATTAGAGAGGGAAGATGGGAAAAGTAGTGGTAGCTCAGCTCATTCACTCCATCCCCTCTACAAGCCTCGCTCCTCCTCCTAGTAGTCGCGCAAAAATCCATCGCCCTCTGCTCCACACGGATTGCCTTGTAAGGCACACTTTGAGGTTGCAGGGTATTTTTTGAGAATTCTAAAAAATACACTTTGAACCACCCTTTGAGGAGACTCAAAAACCCTTCATCTCGATCACCCCCCTTGTCGGATATAACTAATGTGCCTCCCACCAGATCACCCTCTGCTCCACAGGAATCGCCCTTTAAGGCGCCTTTTGAGAAGGCACAATTTGAACCACCCTTTGAGGAGACTCAAAAACCCTTCATCTCGATCACCCCCCTTGTTGAATAATAATGAGCCCTCCACCAGACCACCCTCTGCTCCACAGGAATCACCCTTTAAGGCGCCTTTTGAGAAGCGTAAATGAAACAACTTTATCTCCAGTTCCCACCTTGTTGGATTTAATGCACCTTCCACCAGATCACCCTTTGCTCCAGATATCGTCCTGTGATGCATGCACCCTCTAACGAGCCTGAAAAGCCCTCATCTCAATTCCCCAAACGAGAGAAGGCCTTCATTCATCCCAACCACCCGCGCACCCACCTTGTTGGATATGACGCGCCTTCCACCAGATCACCCTCCCTCCACAGGAATCGCCCTTTAAGCCGCCTTGTAAGAAGCCTAAATGAACAACCTTCATCTCCAGTTCCCACCTTGTTGGATATAATGCGCCTTCCACCAGATCACCCTTTGTTCCGGGAAGCTTCCCAGCACCTTCCCCAGCAGCTCCTCCGTGTCCTCTTTATAGACAGTCAGGTTAAGCTTCACGCGCGGCCGCCCGGACCACCCAAACACCTCGTGCGCGCCCATACTCATTATAAGCACGTCCGGTCGATCCGCTAAAGGGTCCTGTAGTCCGTCGAAAAAGAAATCGTTAACGTCGTCTTCTGGTTGGTCCCCTGGCTGGTTGGTGTGGGAGGATGGGGGGCAGGGGGGAAAGGGGGAAGGATGGGGGATGGTTGGGGAGAGGAGCAAATGCGTGGACGAGCAGGAGAGGGGCACGACTGGTACGCTAAATGGTCCTGGATGGGAAGAATTGGCAAAGTCAGACCACCAGCAGCAGCAGCAGCACGGCCAGTAATCACCAATACCATCAACACCACCAATACCACCTCCATTGCTCACTGCTGGAGCGCGTTGGTGAGCCATCTTTGCTCGGAAGAGGTACGACATGAATGGATGATCAGCACGACCACCATTCCATGCCACCAGCAGCAGTACTCGCAGCACCCCCAAAACAACCAGCAGCAGCACCACCACCAGCACAATCATAACCATCAGCACAACTAGCAATACTCACTGCTGGAGCGCGTTGGCGGGCCATCTTGGCTAGGAACGGTGGGGCGATGGATGAGCACAAGAGGCAGCACAATAGTCGTAGCAGCACCATCGATACCTGTATTACTCACTGCTGGGGCGCGTTGGCGGGCCATCTTGGCTCGGAACGGTGGGGCGATGGATGAGCACAAGAGGCAGCACAATAGTCGTAGCAGCACCATCGATACCTGTATTACTCACTGCTGGGGCGCGTTGGTGGGCCATCTTGGCTCGAAAGAGGTACGAGACGGTGGGGCGATGAGCACTCCTTGGCACGGCACTATCCATCCCAGCCCCACGGCATGCCACCACCAGCAGCACCAATCACAACCATCAATACCACAACCACCACTCACTGCTGGCGCGCGTTGGTGGGCCATCTTGGCTCGAAAGAGGTACGAGACGGTGGGACGGTCAGCATTCCCACCAGCAGCACTACAGTTCAAGCAGCATGCCATTCCATCACACAGCACCACACAGCACCGCACAATACCTGTAGCATCACTCACTGCTGGGGCGCGTTGGTGGGCCATCTTGGCTCGAAAGAGGTACGAGACGGTGGGGCGATCAGCACTCCTTGGCACGGGCTGCCATCCCCTCGCTCCTCCCCCTGCTGTCCTCTCATAATCCTCGATACTAGCTCCCTCGTTACTGTCACCAAAATTACTACTTGCTCTCTCGCTACTGTCACCACTCGCGTTACTAGTTCTCTCGGTACTGTCACTATCGATATTGTCACTAGAAGAGCCCCCATTGCGACTGCTGCTGCTACTACTGCTACTGCTGCTGCTGATGGTGGTGGTGATACCGCTCCTTGCATCCTCTTTGGCAGTATTATCCTCGTTATAAGCGAGCCTTCTTCTGTTATTAGAGCTTTGCTCATCCTTCTGGATAAGAGCTCTACCTTCATCCACAGTGGGTGTGGGAGAGGAGGCGGAAGAGGAGGAGGAGGAAGAGGAGGAGGAGGCGGAAGAGGAGGAGGAGGAGGAGGAAGAGGAGGAGGAGGCGGAGGAGGAGGATGGTGAAAGAGAGGGGGAGGAAGGTTGGGAGGGGGGTTTCAGCCCCTCTGGAGGTTTGATGCCGACCTTCTTGATTCGCATCTTCTTGGCAAAGAAGGTGGAGAGGGTTCGAGAGGTCTGGTCGCCGAAAAAATGGATCCACTGGCCCTTGAGGCACTCGTGTAAGTCCCGACCAGAGAAGTCACTGCTTGGCGAGAGGAAAGGAAGAGGGATGGAGAGGGGTGGAGAAAGTAAAGTGGAATTCAGCCGCTTGGCTCGGAAGGTCTAGTCACCAAGGAAGTGAATCCACTGCCCCTTGAGGAACTCGTGTAAGTCCCGACCAGAGAAGTCGCTGATAGGTGTGCGTGGAGAGGGGGGAGCAGGGAGGAAGGAGAGAGAGGAGGGTACAGCAACACATGAAAGAAGAGAAGGTGGAGAGGGTTCGGTTGGTCTGGTCGCCAGAGAAATGGATCCACTGCCCCTTGAGGCACTCGTGTAGGTCCCGACCAGAGTAGTCACTGATTGGCGGGAGCGGTGGGAGAACGGTGGAGAGGGGTGGAGAGGGATGGAGAGGGGTGGAGAGGGTAAAGTGGATTTCAGCGCCTGTACTCACACTCGTCTGCCTCCCACCACGTGCTATTCACCCATCGTCCCTCTGCCATGCCATCAGCACAAGCAGGCTTCCTCCCCTCCCTCCCTGCCACTTGTGAGACGTCCCAACATGCTCAGCAGTTCACAGCATGTTCTCACCTGTATTCACACTCGTCTGCCTCCCACCACGTGCTATTCACCCATCGTCCCTCTGCCACGCCATCAGCACAAGCAGGCTTCCTCCCCTCCCTCCCTGCCACTTGTGAGACGTCCCAACATGCTCAGCAGTTCACAGCATGTTCTCACCTGTATTCACACTCGTCTGCCTCCCACCACGTGCTATTCACCCATCGTCCCTCTGCCACGCCATCAGCACAAGCAGGCTTCCTCCCCTCCCTCCCTGCCACTTGTGAGACGTCCCAACATGCTCAGCAGTTCACAGCATGTTCTCACCTGTATTCACACTCGTCTGCCTCCCACCACGTGCTATTCACCCATCGTCCCTCTGCCATGCCATCAGCACAAGCAGGCTTCCTCCCCTCCCTGCCACTCTCTTACCATCATGCCTTCGGTTTGGTTGGTTTGGTTTGGTTTGACTCAGCCAACCACCTGCTTCTCATCGTCCTTCTCACCTGTATTCACACTCGTCTGCCTCCCACCACGTGTAATTCACCCATCGACCAGCCGACGTCCCATCAACACATGCCGGTTTCCTCCTCTCCCTTTCTCCTCCCTCCTCCCCCGCTCCTCCCCCTCCCCCTGCTCCCTCCTCCCCCCCTCCTCCCTCCTCCCCCCCTCCTCCTTCCTCCCGCCTTCCTCCTCCCCCTCCCCCTCCCCCTGCACTATCACCACCACTGCCCCCTTCTTCACATGATTCTGATGCGCGCTGAGCTCCCGTTATAGTCACACCACCTCCTCCACCACCACTACTATCACCATCACCATTATCACCATCCTCCATATCCCCATCCAAATCAGCAACATTGGCGGGAGTGTCAGGGCGGCGGCAGCAGGAGCAGGGAAAGGAGGGCACGAGGGAGCAGTTGAGGGGGCGAATGCAGTTCGCACAGAAGCTATCGCACCCCGCATGCTCATCCCCAGAGAACCCAAGGGAGAATCTGTCCCCAAAAGAGACGCTATTCACAAGAGAAGAAGCAGCAGTGGGGTCAGTAGGATCGAAAGCGGTGGCGGCGGCAGTGGGAGCTTGAGAGTCGGAAACAGGAGGTGGTGATTCGGTGGAGGAGGGGGTGGAGGAGGAGGGGGAGGAGGAGGAGAGGTTGGAGGGTGCAGGGAGCAGCAAATGCACAAAGGCAGCACGAGCAGCAGCGTCGGCTAGAAATGGCAGCCGCTTGTCAGCCTGTATATGTACATGTGAAAAACAAGGGGAGAGGAGCAGTAATTTTTATAGAGAGAGAGTCCGAGAACTGAGGGTGCAGGGAGCAGCAGATGGACAAATGCAGCACGAGCAGCAGCGTCGGCTAGAGACGGCAGAGGCTTGTCAACCTGCATGCATGAGAGGGGAATGGGAGAGGAGAAGGGTTTGGGATGTCTCAACAGTCAAAAGCAGCAGCATCGGCAATGAAGAGAGGGGAATGGAATGGGGGAGGAGCATAGGCATGCAAAGAGGAGGAGGAGGGAGGAAAGGAAGCGCGGAACGAGTAAGGAATTAAGAGGAAATAAGGACGGAGGAAGGAGCGTGAGGGGTGAGTGGAGGGTGGATGGAGGGAAGGTAAGGTTAAGGTGATTCGAGAACTCTGATATTTGTCACTCTTTCTTCAACGTGTACACGTTCATAACATACACGAATACACATAATAATGACGACAGTAGTAAAATACAGTGTATATGACTGCTCTCTACTGCCTTACTATGAAGGCTCGTGTCTTGCTAGCGGCAGACCGGCAGTTATGGTAATACGGTCTTACCATGAGGGCTCGTATGGCTTGGCTCAACGCTTCAGCCGCCTTGTCATTGTGCTCTTGCTGCCATAACAAGGCATCCATTCATATCATTGCATGATGTGCCATACCATGATGTGCCATACCATGATGTGCCATACCATGATGTGCCATACCATGATGTGCCATACCATGATGTGTCATGCAATGCCATGCAGCCACACACGATATGATACCCGACCCGAGTGAGCCACAGATAGGCGTACACTTCATTACTTTCCAAGTTTAACTTTAGATTAAAATAAAAATTCTGCTCGTACTTTTGAGAGTTTCAAAGATATATATACACGCAAGACCTTAGTAAAAGCAATGAGGCGTAAAAGAAGAAGAGAAAATATGTAATGCAAGGATGTTGAGAGGGGTGGAGACTGGTCGCTGGAGTGGAGATCGAGGGGGTAAGTGGGGGAACGACCAAGATATGTTAAAAACAAAAACAAAACTTAAAAAAAAAAACAAAAAAAGTCCTGCATGAAATGAAACACGAGCAGGACACAGGGTTTGGAGGGGAAGGTACCTGGGCTGATAGGGTGGCATTGATGTGGTCCTGATGGTGGTGTGAGGATGAGGGGTGAAGAGGAAAGGGGGAGAAGGGGAAGGAGAGTTTTGAGTCGCCTCAAAAGGAGGTACCTGGGCTGATAATTGGCACTGATGTGGTTCTGATGGTGGTGGGGATGAGGGGTGAAGAGGAGAGGGGGAGAAGGGGAAGGAGAGCTTTGAGAGGCCTCAAAGGAGGTACCTGGGCTGATAGGGTGGCATTGATGTGATCCTGATGGTAGTGGGGAAGTGGGGTAAAGAGGAAAGGGGTGTGAACAGGAGAGGGGGGTGAGAAGGTGAGGGGTAGTATTGAGGCGCCTCGAAATGGGATAAGGGGAGAGAGGATGAGAGGAGGAGAGGTATAGGAACGGAAGAAAACGCCATCTTACCGACAGGTCACAGTAGAATGAGAGGAGGGAGAATGGGATGAGCAAATCGAGCGATCGAGAGACCCAGGCGACCAGATATATAGAAAAAGAGGAATTAGGAATAGGAAATACGCCAGTTTCTCACCGACAGATCGCAGGAGGAGAGGAGGGAGGAGGAGACAAGGAGAGGGAGAGAGTAGAGGGAGAGGAAGGGAAAATACGCCGGATTCTCACCGAGAGATCGCAGGAGAATGAGAGGAGGGAGGAGGAGAGGAGGGAGCGAGAGACCCAGGCGACCAGAGCGATATAAATGGGAAATGGGAATGTAAAATATGCCGAATCTCACCGAGAGATCGCAGGAGAAGGAGAGGAGGGAGGAGGAGAGGAGCGATCGAGAGACCCAGGCGACCAGAGCGATTCCCAATATGGCTTGGATAAGCCAGAAGGTGACGTGGCGGCTGCGTGGTGCTGACGTGGGCGGACGGAAAGACTTCGCAGCTCCGCCGTCGTCCATCGCAGCAGCAGCACCATCGACGAGCGCAGTGAGCGATTGTTACTGATTCGCCTGCCGACGCTGACGACTGCTGACGAAACGCCTAGCGAGGTTGACGATTTCAAACGATTCTGCTAGTTTCGCCGCATGACGATAACATTAACACTGACATGGGAAACTCGACAAATTGGGGAATATCTAAGCGGAGAGGCTAAATTACAAGCCAAGAGTACTAGACTAGAAGTTTGATAAGATCCTATCAGTGAAGTCTGTGAATGGCTGGGAAAAGTTGTTTACAAGAAAGTACAGTCAGTGAGTGAATGGCTGGGTGCTTCGATAAAAGCCACGAGAATCTTCCGTTGACGAATACAACGGTGGGTTGGTGGTACAGTGTACATTATTTCATCATCAGTACAGTATCTTGATCAGAGTGGTTTTTAATTCATGCATCACGGTTTTGTTCGGTTTGTTACGTTCAAACGCGGTAAGCACTTGAACCGAGTCAACGCGTGAAGAACCTCACTGAACCGCATGCGACGAACGGAAAAGAGTCGTGCCTGAGAAAAACATCAGCACCTCCGGATGAGAAGAGCTTGTATCGAGTACAACGACAACAGTCTCTGCTTCGCTCACAGCCATTCTCCACGGAAAACGCCGAGCGAAATTCCTACCAGTAGCGTCACTATTACGTTAGGATTCTATCATTTTAGCGTTCCGAACATGGTCCTTTTACTATTCCACAGCTGTAATGGGTACGTGCATGCGACTGCGTTTCGAGACGTGTTGAAGCGGGTATACTAGCCGATCGGCATATGCTCATTGTCCCTGCTACGATGGAAACGGATGTGACTGTAGCGGGAGGGGAGAAAGCGGACGAATTCGAGGGTTTCCATCCGGGAAGGCGGAAAGTGTTCTTGTACCCGTTAGAGGGTCGGAGTGAGTCCGACGAGGAAACGCTCGTTACAGTCACCGTTTTGGATGCTCCCGATGGAGAAGGCGCATCGGGTCCACCTCAGTATACTCACCTGTACGCAGCCATGCTCGTGCCACGTGGCAGCGAAACGGACTGGGTTTACACGTCAGCAGGCGGGCAGTGGCAGCTGCTCCGGAGTGCCAATACGAAAAGACTCGTTATAATAACAAGACGGACCCGCGCTGCCAGCACCGATCGCGCCGCCTCCACTGCGTCTGCTTCTCGGTTCAAACAATCTCGCCGCAAACAACCCGTGTCGGCCGCTGCTGCAGCAGCCATGGCTGCCGGGTCTCGATTCCGACCCTTCCTTTCGCGATGCCTCCTAAGGAAGGTTCTGCGTCCTTGCTTTGGAAAGGGCAGCAGCGGCCTGGCAGAACCTGGTGTGAGGAGGGAGAGGGAATGGATAGTTGAGAGAGACAGAAAAGCTTGTGTGAAGCGCAGAAAAATATCAGATCAGGTTTCTGGAATAGCATCTGGCAGTATTCGCAGGTTGCGGCGGAGATCTGATCCGGAGTGGATTGGCCCGGGCGGCAGCAGGTGGGAGCTTTTGGCAGTATATGCTGGCAGGGCAGAGGAGGGCAGAAAGCGCGAGAGAAGCAGCGGCATGTCAAGAGACTCTGCTCTTGAAGACGAGGCGAACCGAGGCAGTGGCGCTAGCAATGCGGATGGGACGTGTGAGGGTTCGGGTTCACTGAGAGGCGGAGTGCCATTGGTGGTGGTGCCATTGCTATACATGAGGCGATGTGTGGGCAGTGGTTGCACTGGTGGCAGCAGCATCAGGAATGGTGGGGACAGTCGTGGGGATAGCGTTGGCGATAGGTGTGGTTATAGCAATGATGACAACAATGGCGACAATGATGACAGCAATGGCGACAATGATGACAGCAATGGCGACAATGATGACAGCAATGGCGACAATGATGACAGCAATAATGATGGCGATGGTGCGATCAAGGCTGCATTGGCGCCTCTCCTCACAGCACTTGCCCCTCGAAGCCTCTTCCCATCCCCCCAACCACACTCCGGTGCCCCCTCTTCCTTTCTTCCTCCACTCCCTCTTCATTCCCTCATCCCATGGCTGGTCTTTCAAGACGACGTAATTGCCAGGAAGGTTCGTCTGGTGGCGAGCTCTAGGCTCACTGGGCCGTTGCTAGTGGAGGATGTAGCAGTGGCGGCGAATCGTGGTGGTAACCCTAGTACTGGTGGTGGTAACCCTAGTCGACGTGGTAACGCTGCTAGTGGTGCCAACCCTACGGTTGGTGGTAAAACAACTGGTGATGGTAACCCTGTTACTGCGAACACACTGATCCCTGTGGTGTTACGGCGCCGGCTCCGATTCCACCGCCTTCCCAACCTTATCCAATCAGAGGTTCCTCTCCGTATAGTCACATCATGCCCTGCTCATGGGACATCTCAAAAGCCGGAAGTCGCATCGTGTACTGCTCATCTTACCCCCCTATCTCGTCCCCCCTATCCTCCTCCCTACCGCCTCCTGCCAGACTACTCGCATCTCACCCACAAGTACCTCCCTCCTATCCTCGCCGGGTTTCCTCTTGCCGCCCCTGCTTTGGAGGGGAGAGAACATCTGCCTGTAGGGGGAGGCATGGCTGAGGTGACGCAAGGGGAGGGGAAAGACCAGGTACTTTTAGAGAGCAAAGTGGGAGCGTCTGAGGCGATTGGTGGGGAGGGGAGATTCCAGCCGGCCCTGGGGAGAGGAACACGTGGAGAGAGGAGGAGAGAGGAAGTGCGAGTGCTGGTGTTGGGAGGAGGAGCTTTCACCCTCCCCATATACCTGCACATGCACCGACCGGAATATCACATTCAGGCAAGCACTATAGATCAGCTGTATTAAGTAATTGCCCAATGCACATTTACCTGACCTGATTTGACTCACTGTATCACAAGGACGTGCCTCAAACTCCTCATATTCCCCCCCTCGCTTTCCGCTCTCTCGCTCTCTTCCACCCTCCAGGTTGTTAAGTTGCCTAAGAAATCCTCGAATAAATCTGAGGTGCCCACAACACACTCTTTTCCAGCTCTCTCCTCTCCTTCATGTCGCTCACTCTCACTCGTCCACCCCATCAGGTGGTTGAGATCGATCCTCTCATGCACCTCGTCGCGCAGAGGTATTTTGGGCTCCAGGACCGTTCATGGGGTCACTTGGAACAGAGGAAAGCCCTCTCACCTTTTACTTTTGGTGCTTTCCTCAAAAACCCTCTCCCCTCCACCCCCCCCCCCCCCCCAACTCACTTCTCTTCTGCTCTCCAGGTGGTTGAGATTGATCCTCTCATGCACCTCGTCGCGCAGAGGTATTTTGGGCTCCAGGACCGTTCATGGGGTCACTTGGAACACAGGAGAGGAAGGCTTGATGAAAGGTCTCAGCATAACGGAATGCGAATCAAGTGGAGGGAGGAGCGGGAGAGGAGGAGAGAGGGGCAGGTGAGACAGGGGAGGGTGATGAGCAAGGGGAGCGAGAAGGGTCGCAAGAGGGAAAGAGAGAAGGGACCGAGGAGTGATAGAACGAAAGGGATGGAGGGTGGCATTTGTGTGCATATTGGGGATGCTAGGCAGTATGTAGTGAGTTTGGCAGCTGGCATTCAAAGAGCAGCAGGATTTGAGTCTCCAGGACCCAAGTTGCGTTTGGCACAAAGACAGGAGAACGTTGGACAGGAGGCACTGGAGCAGCGAGAGAAAGAGCAGGTTAAACAGCAGCAGCAGCAGCAGCAGAGGCGTAAGAGACTGAAGAAGGAAAGTGACATCTCAAATTGCAATCAGCAGCATCAGGAACCATTGCAACCACCAACAGACAACCCGTGTCCTTCCAACGTCACACCATTCCCTCTCCAATTCCATGTGGTTATCCTCGATATAGACTCCTGGGACCCTCGCTCCGGTCTCAACGCACCCCCCAAAGAGTTCACTACACCTCGTTTCCTCCAGTCACTTGCTACAGTAATACGGCCGGACGGACTCCTTGCTATAAATGTTGTTCCTTGGGCAGCTTCTGCGTATCAATCTTTCCTCGGGCAGCTGAGGAAGGCTTTTCCTGCCGGGCAGATGTTTGAATCGGCTGTGCCTGGGGATGTGAACAAGGTTGTGTCTGTTTCGCCTAGGCCACTCAAAGATGGTGATCGGATGGAGTTTGTGGAGAAGTGGAAGGAGCTTGTGTCATTGGATTTGATGCAGGGGGTTGTACCAATATGATATTATGACGTTTGCGTCATTCGTATTAATTTGATGTTGCTCTGCCTGCATCCATCTGGCCTACAGAGGTGCAGCCCTTTTCCTTATGCTTCAATACAGTCAAGGGGATGGCTGTGTGTATGTTTTCATTGTTCTGGATTGTGAACAAACAAGCATATTCACGATTGGCCTGCCTGATCCTAGTTCATGTGAGCAGTATGCTGATATTGTGTTTTTCTTCCAGTGCAATATAGACCTTCTCATTACGCACTGATGCGTGAGACCATACCGCGTACAAAGGGTTGTGTCACTCTAAACCGTAACCATAAACTGTGGAAAACCTACCGTACCCGACATTCTGAACCGCCCTTCAACTTAGTCAACCGCATTGGCTCAACTCATAATCGGCCTCATCCTTCCTCTGTTGCTTCCTCTGGCATAATTATATTTTTTCAAATCCAACTTTCGAAGCGCGTGCGAGTTGGCTCGCGTATGCGCCGCCGCAAATGGCGGAACCGCAGGATGCTCCGCACGTGCTGCACGAGCTGACGGAGCGACGCGACACTGATCTTCTTTCCGCGATCTTCGCGAAACTGCCGTTCAAAACTCTCCTCGCCGCGTCGCAGGTACCCTGTTCCATCAGCGAGTCTCGTCGAGGTGGTAACCCTATTTCGCGATCGCGTGACCTGCCAAGTTGAAAGCGCTACGCATCCTTTCTACCCTTCTCGCTCTCACCCTTCTCGCTCTCGTGCTTCTAGAAGCAGAAGGGTAGAGCGTGCGAGAAGGAAGGGTGAGAGAGAGAAGGAATTCAGCGAAAGAGCGAATGAGCGGACGAGCGTATGAATTTCTTCTTCCCCCCATCCTCCCAGGTGTCTTTTAAGTCGACTCACATGTTAATTCCTTTTCCTCCCAGGTGTGCCGGGTCTGGTCGCACGCGAGCGAGCATCTGTTTGAGTGAGTGCGAGAAGAGAGGATGTGAGGGTGGTTCACCGGTTGTCCAGTCGTCGTATCCTAGTGCGTGGGTGCCAAGGCCTTTCCCTTCCCCTCCCCATCCTCCCAGGTGTGCCGCTTCTGGTCGCACGCGAGCGAGCATCTGTTTCAGAGGGAGTGCGAGAGGAAAGGGTGGAAGCCACCGAGGCGATCGCGAGGGCAGACTGGACTCTCCTCCTTCCGACCTGTGAGCAACAAATGACCTGTTGTCATGTAAATCGCGTGTTATTGAGCCGATATCTGGGTTGACTCGAGGAAAGGGTGGAAGCCACCGAGGCGACCGCGAGGGCAGACAGAGCTCTCCTCCTTCCGACCTGTGAGCTCCCCTCCCTCTCCTCGAGGTGACCGCAGACAGACTGAACTTTCCTCCTTCCGACCTGTGACTCTGTGAGCAACAAATACATTTTCAACATACGAAGCGCGTGTAGAGTAGACTCAAGGAAAGGGAGGAAAGGGTGGAAACCACCCAGGCGACCGCGAGGACAGACTGGACTCTCCTCCTTCCGACCTGTGAGCTCGCAATTCCCCCGTCACTCCCTCCTTCACTCCCTCCTTCACTCCCTCCTTCACTCCCTCCTTCACTCCCTCCTTCACTCCCTCCTTCACTCCCTCACTCGCTTCCTCACTCGCTTCCTCCCTCTCTCTCCCCCACTTCCCCATTATTTCCCTTGTTCTGGTATCCCTACCATGTCTCCCTTCACCAGCCGTAAAATCTTCAGCATGAGAGGTTTTTGGGAGTTCTCGTCTCTGCCCTGCCTCCCTAACTCCTCGGTTTTTTCCCCTCTGTTGTCCCCTCTCCCCGCACTTCCCCTTTCTCTTTCTCCCCCTCCCCCCAGTGGCGCTCCCTCTACTTCCGCCATGCCTGCAGGAGCTGCGGAGGCAAGGGCGAGTTCATAGCCCCCTGCCCCTCTAACCCCTCGCTTCCCCCCTCTGCCCGCTCTCCCCCACACTTCCCCCTCTCCCCCCCTTTCTCTCTCCTCTCCCCCCCTCCCCCCAGTGGCGTTCCCTCTTCTTCCGCCATGCCTGCAGGAGCTGCGGTGGCAAGGGCGAGTTTATAGCCCGACACGCCAAGCTGCCTCCCCCCTCTGCCCCTCCCAACGCTGCTTCTCCTAATGCTACTGCTGCTCCCGTCGCTCCCACTCCCAATGCTCCTTCTTCCAACGCTGCCTCTCCAAACTCTGCTTTGGCGAAAAGAAAAGGATTGGGAGCGCGTACTCCCCGTAAGCAGTTGCTTATATCGAATCCACATGCGGAGAGGAACATGTGGTTCCTCCTCTGCCTACAGTGCACCCGCCTGCCACGTGTCCAGCTGCGATTGGCGCAGCTTGATGCACATGTGGACATTTTTGGGCTGACAGGATCAAAATTGAAGTGCTCGGGGTGGGAGGATGAGGGGAAGAGGAAGAGGAAGAAGCAGGGAAGGAGGGTGGGGGAAGGAGCAGGGTAGGGGGGTGATTTTTGAGGTGCCTCCAAAAGAGTGGATCGAGATTGGGGTGCTCGGGGTGGGAGGATGAGGGGAACAGGAAGAGGAAGTAGCAGGGAAAGAGGGTAAGGGGGGGAATAGGGTAGGGAGGTAAGGGGCAAGAATAACCGTGGGCTGACAGGATCGAGATTGGGGTGCCAGGGGTGGGAGGAAGGGGGGAATAAGAAGAGGAAGAAGCAGGGAAAGATTGGGGGAGGAATAGGGTAGGGGAGAAGAATAACCATGGGCTGACAGGATCGAGATTATGGTGTCAGGGGTTGGGAGGATGGGGGGAAGAGGAAGTGGAGGAAGCAGGGCATGAGGGAGCTGATGTGGGCATGGATGGAGGAGGCATGTGGGTATGTTGGGTTTGGGTGTTGGATAGCAGAGTGAGAATGGTAGAGGAGGGCGAAGGCTTATGTGGAGGTGATGGGTATTACAGAAGGCAGTTACAAGGAGCGGTTACAGGAGGCAGTACAGGAGGCAGTTACAGGAGGCGGTTACACGAGGCAGTTACAAGAAGCAGTTACAGAAGGCAGTTACAAGAGGCAGTTACAGAAGGCAGCTACAAGGGGCGGTTACAGGAGGCAGTACAGGAGGCAGTTACAGAAGGCAGTTACAGAAGGCAGTTACCGGAGTCATTACAGGAGGCAGTTACAAGAGGCGGTTACAGGAGGCACTTACGGGAGGAGGTTACAGGAGGCACTTACAAGATGCGGTCACAGGTTACAGGCGGCAGGTAGTAGCATGCAGCCCAGATATGGAATCATGCTGTCGTGGTAAGCTTCTGTGAAAAAAAACAAACAAACAAGCAAACTAGTGCAGAGCTGTATATAGCGTAGTATAGAAGGTGGTATGAACATAATTATTGTTACTGGCGGTAGGCCTATATTTGGATGGTCTTATCTCATCCAGCCTCATCCATGCTCACAAGATGAGAGGATCACCTACAATTGTTGTGAAGCCTTTAGTAGTACCGTACTAATAAGACCGGTACACATGATGCCCGTTTGAGCCACTCCCGGTTGCCTTGTAAAGGGGGCTTATAAGCTGTAACCCGCATTTCGCCTAAATTTCGTCGATTCGCAGCTAGCAAAAAAGGATTCGTCAGGTGCTTATAAAACTTTTGTAACCTATCGTTGACATTTTGACTTCAGTCTCTTCAGTGTGACTTCGGTCTGTTCGTTACTATTGGTTCATAATCACTGCAACTTGCGCGACGCGCTTGTAACGGGCGTGCAACTGGCTGGGGAAAAAACCTCGGGTGCAGGGTTTCCATCCAGTGCAGGGCAAATTCGCGTGCACGGGTTGGGCATCATGTGTAGTTGAGGTTGGAACTGTAGTTGAGGTTGGGGTTCCAGCACTGTAGGAGCATTGTACACAGTACACCCTATTCTCGATAATTTCACACCCCTTAAGCGCACAGCATGGGCTAAATACTCTCGGTTAAACGTTTAAGCTGGGTAGCAATCAACGGTTGAAGACTATCGGAGGAGGGGTCTCGCAACCTTCTCGCAAATGGAAGAAAAGAAACCGGAGTTCCAAGGGCAGCCATCCACTTATACTACTCACTCGGAAAATTAAGCGCGAGACTCGATAACTACCCTCGTCAATCTTTGGGTGTCCGTCACATCAAGCCAGAAAACGTACAGGGTACCTTCGAAATAGGGGGTAGGGGGTGTGCAATTATCGAGAATAGGGTGTACAAGCACAGCATCTCGAAACAAGCGGGCGGGCCGTATCTTGGGATTGGACATCACGTGACCAATATGCTGCAAGTGCGGCGGAATCACCGTTCGCCGGGAAGATAACCCAAATCGATCTAGCTGGCAGCATTTCTCCGTGCTCATTGGCCTGGCCGTATCTTGATTGGTATTCCAAAGTGCTTTCTAAAAAGCAAATTGAAGGAGGTATTTAACTGGTGGGTTTCAAGAGGAGGTTCGATTAGACCTTGTTTTATTTCGCACACTCTTAGCGATCTACGTGTCGTTGGACGTGGAATTAGGTGATGATTTGCTCTGCAGTCAGTTCGGGTACATTTTCGAAACGCTCTGTGTGTAATTCAAGCACTCCTTGCGAAATGCATGCACTGTTCAATATTTTGTTGGAGATGCGATGCGATGATCTGTGCTCGGACAAACGGATGAACTGTTGCACAACCGCGGCTCAACCGTTTATTGTTTGACGTGAACAGAGTGTGTGTGTGGAAGTGCAGTTCTTGTCTGACGTGTCTGTCCGTTTCCTTGCCCCCTCTCCTGCGCGTTGTGCGGGGAACTGGCGGTGCAGGCCATCGTCGCCTCGCCATCCATCCCTTCTTCCTTCTCGTACATTTCGCTTCCATCCCTGTCGTTTCGTTTTGGCCCCCCCGGACAAATCAGGGGGCCCGGCATGTATGACCCTGTATTTAGCAGGGCTGGGGCGAATCTCGGCCCTTTAGGCTTCAGGGCTGGATTTTTTTTCTCCCTTGAATCAGGTTTGGCGCGGAAAATTTTGGAGCCTCATTTCAATACCAAGCTAAGGGGGTGTTACATGTGCTGCAGAACTACTCTGGGCCGCGCTGGGCCGCTGCGGCCCAGGGGGATTTGCGCGGACCAGCACGGACCAGCGTGGACCAGCTGTTTGGACCAGCAAACGGCCCAGGTAGTGACCCAGGTAGCTCCCCCCACGGACCAGCATGTACAGTGGTCGGTGCACGTGCAGGATTTGGGGGACCACTTCCAACAGTCGACCCCAATTCGCGGCCCAGACACTCGCGAAAACTCCACGTCGCGCCTTTTCGCTAGCACAAGCTGAAAATTTCGCGATTCGGGCCGTCGCGAAATGTAGTTCGCGTGTGACTAGGTGCGACTTTGTTTTCGTCCACCTTGCTTTTGCGAAACTGTAAACCGCTGTGCTGTTGGGGTCGGCTGCAAATGGTGCCCGGGACCACGCGGGTACCAGGCAGGGACCACTTTCGCAAGTGATCCCTGTAAACTGGTGCTCCCTTGTCTAAGCTGGTCCATTTCCTGTAAATGGACCAGCGCGCAATGTAACACCCCCTAACAACTACGTCTGAGATGAACCACAACAAGCAAACACGACAGAGAATTAGTTAGCGTCATATCACTACGCACGCTTTGCAGGCTTCCTAGCCTTTGCAGAACTGATGATCTTGTGCACTTCTATCCACTCCACCACAGGATAGTTCTTGTGCACTTCTACCCAACCTTAATCGTCTACCCACTCCACAGAGAGCGAGCAAGCACAAGTTCTAGGTTGAGTTGAATTTGGGCCCAACCACGCAACTGGACATTTGCCAGGTTGGATGCAATCAGGTTAGAAACGAAGGGGAGAGGAGAGTGGAGGAGTGTTGGGGCGGGGGGAGGGGGGGGAAAGGGGGGCTCGAAGGATTTTGTTCCAGGGCTCGCCTAAAATCTACCCTTTACACACCAGGCCTAAGCCCGAAATCAGCCATGTAAAGAATCAGGGCCGGAATATTTCCAACCCATCAATTTCAGCTTTCAAGGGAAACCCAGCCCTGGAATTCAAGGTCCAGCAGGGCAAACGCCCTGCAAGCGACAGCCCTTCTCCCCTCCCACCCCATCCCGTCCCCTCCCCTCCCCTCCCCTCCCCTCATTCCGCCGTCGCGGTGTACTGTACCCGCTAATTAGCGTAACTCGTGCTGTAGGTGTCGCACGAGCGACGGCGGAAGCTTCCCCTCATTCAACATCATCGTGCCAACGCATGACAACAACCAGTGATGCCATGCCACGTGTTACGTGCATTGTGGAAGAAATTTCACGAGCATTGGCTCTGGTCTGCCATACAAGCCAACAGCTTATTCTAAGACCCCCTTACAATAAGTCAGTTCCAGCCAGGTTTGCTTAGAGCTTCGAACTATGATCACCAGCTATTTTCCTAGCCATTCGTATGTCCACCTCCCACCATCTTCCTTCCAAGGTGCCCAAATTCTCATGCTCGTTCACTCCAGGGTTCACTTTGACAGTGTACTCCCTTCTCGTCAAAATCAGAGGCCGTGGCCCGTTTTCGTTTGCGCTCTTGTGTTACGCTCGTGGTTGTGGCGAGGACAGCTGGATGGCACAGTCTGGCGAGCCACCGCACCGCACCCGCTCTCCCCACCAACAGGCACCCCAAGGGCGGTACAGCATGACGCGCAACAGTCCATGCGCAACAGTCCACTCCACGCCCGTTCCCCAGCTACATCGCGCATCGATGGCAACATCCAGCGCATCGAAGCAATAAGGAAACAATAAGCAATCGTACTCGCATCACCGTATTGAAAGTCGTTTAATCTCACATCACCTACATTTCTTACGCTTCGTCTTACAAGCTCCTCTTCAAAACAGTTCACCTTCCACGTGCCCAAGGCCATGGCTCGCTCCATCCCCTCCCCACCCCCCCGTCCCGTTGGTTGTTCAAATCAAAAACCAGTTCTTCGTTGAACACAGTTTCTCGTTTTCCATCTGCAGTGCACGCATGGTCATATCTCGCCGCGTTTCCATTATTAGGTAACCTTCTTTCTCGAGCAACTTCCCTAATGCCACGTATCATCGACATTTCTTCATAGCATCAGCACCATATACCAGATTCTACTAAGCTTGGACTCAGCTTTCTCGATCTTTATGTTCCCAATTGCCTTCCATTTCCAGCGCTAGACTAGCAGTGTTCAGCTTTCAGAGGAAGAAATATCAGCCGTTCGCGAAATGTGCATATCCAACACACCATTGTCGTCAGCAGCCCCAACTCTCAACGACCACACGCGGCGCGTCGTGGAGGATCCACGTGGCTTCATTACCGCGTTTCACGGCGGTTCCAACGACTCATCTCCCGGTAGCTCCATGCACGGCGGCGCCAGCGGAAAATCGCTACTGTCGCACGCGCTATCGCACACACCGCCGCACACACTGTCGCCGCCGAATCTCAGCCCCCATAGCGACCCCTCGAGCACGGGTAGCAGCAGCCGGAATTTCCGCCGATGCTCAAGTGTCGCCACTGGCTATACCGAATCCGCCGCAGCGGCTACTAACGCGTATGTCGCCTCTCACGCGCACGCCTGCGGCAGGGCCGGTGCTGATCTTCAAGAGCTTCCGCACTTCACGCAGCCCTCGGTTCGTTCGGAGCGTAGTAGAGGCGCCGCGTTTGGCCATTTTGGCGCGAAAGCAGACGTTTCTAGAACTGAAGGATACGGAAGCTGGCGGGAGTGCGGTTCCGGGTCGCACATTAGAAGCCGAGCCGCCGCCGCCGGCGCTTCTGTTAGCTTAATTGGCGGGAGTCGAGCGGATGATTTCGCGGGGCTGTCGGCGCGACGGAGCGGCGAAAGCGGCGGATCGCAGCGGGGTAAGAGTCGCCTGTTGATGCGCGAGCCCTCAGCGCATGCTTCCGCCGCTCCTTTCGCCAGCTTCGGCGCAGACGACTGCGCGGATGCGACCATGGCGGAAGCGGCAATAGGAAGCCCCCATAGTTGCGCCACCAGTACATCCGCGCGCGCGAGTTTGAGGCAGAGCACGAGCTTTCGCGGAAGCGGCGTGTGCGCGGACGACCTCGCGGAAGCGGCGGCGGCGGCAGCGGCGGATCCGCAGATTCTTGCGCCATGGTCGTCGGTGTTTCTTGTCACGGTGGTGGCGATGGTGGTTGTGCTGCTGCTGCCAGCGATGTTGCCGCGCGTCGGTCCGCCGCCGGACGAGCTGCTTCTGCTGCCCGTGCTTGTGATAATCGTGGTGCTGACGCTCGCTTGCACCCCGACCATAACCAGATCCAAACCGAGATACGCGGTTGTCTTTTGAGAATCTGAGGCGGTTCGAATCGCGCATGCTGCCAGTATGCGGATAACAGTGGTCATGGATTCTGACGGCTGAAGCACCGAAGTCGTACGGGCATGAGTTAATCCTTCTTAGGCGACTACTGCTGCGTCAAGTCCGCCGCGTGCGGTGGTTGCGCCCTGCGGACGGGGGACTTGCGGACGCGGCAAGTCATCATTCATTGCATTCCCCTTGGTTTATACCTATTATGGCTACTTATTGTACATATTCAACCACTCACATTTCACATACTTTAATATGCGACACAAATTTGTTCGTACATGCAGAAGACAGCTTGCATGGCAAAATTAGTGTGTGAAGGAATATGCTATACAAATGTACCCCTACTCTAGCACCAATTACGGTACATGGAGCCAGGAGCAGATCAACAGAATCAGACCTCCACTTCTAGCACAACCTCACTTCTAGCACAACCTCATGCACCTGCTGCTGGCATCTCCTATAGGTGTACTTCTTCCTAACACTGCCCTCAGATCAATTCAAGATCATGTCTCGCACATGAGCATGCACTTTTTAGCATATAGTACTGTAGACCTGTACCGTATCCTCACTCACGCCCATATCTGGAAAATATTAATCGGTGTGCGCTTCAAAACTCCGCCTCGTAGCACATGCGCATGCACCTTTTGGCCGACGATTGCGCAAAGGGGATGTAGCTTAGCGAGTACCTGATGAGGTCAAGGAAATGAAGGGAGAGAGGAAGGGGGGGGGAAGCGGGGCTTGAAAGATGACTGCGCAAAGGGGATGTAGCTTAACGAGTACCTGATGAGGTCAGGGAAAAGAAGGGATGGGAAACGAACGAGAAAGCGGGGAGAAGGAAAGAGAAAGGGAGGATGAAGGAAAGAGAAAGGGGGGAGGAGGAGGAAGGGGCACGTTGAAAGGTTCTTGTAACCCAGATACGTAACCCCCTTTTCTAAGCGGTTTCGCTTATGATGAAGAGAAGGAAAGAGAAGGAAACGAAACAAAGAGAAGGAAGCGAAGCAAGAGATACAAGGGAAAGTATTAGGCACATGGAAGGGAAAGAGTGCAACAGTATTGAGATGAGGCCGAAGGGAAGGAACATGCAAAGATGCTAACATGCACGCATACCATATGAGTGTACACGTGTGTTTTGAGTCGACTCAGAAGTGCACGTGTGTTTTGAGTCGACTCAGAAGTGCACGTGTGTTTTGAGTCGACTCAAAACACAACATGGGAAGATGCTGACAGGCGTGCATACCATATGAGTGTACAGCTGTGTATTGAGTCGCTCAGAAGTGCACGTGTGTCTTGAGTCGACTCAAAACACAGCATGGGAAGATGCTGACAGGCGTGCATCATATGAGTGTGCATGCCACAACAAATAAGGGCGGATGTCATACCATATATGGCACATGCTACACCATGTTAGAGCGCATGGCATACCATGTGAGGGCGCATGCTTGCACCAGTTGTAATGGCATACACGATTCATGGCATACCGGTAACATTTATGGAACATGCCATAACCTTCATGCGACATGCCACAACGTTTACAGTACATGGCATACCATATGAGGGTGCATGCCTGCACCAATCACAATGGCATACAGTTACGGTACATGCCACAACATTTATAGTACATGCATAACATTCACGGTACATACCAAAACATTTATGGTACATGCATAACATTCACGGTACACGCCATACCATATGAGGGCACATGCTTGCACGACGATGCAGAGGAGAGTGAGAAGCGCGTCTTGAACCTGCTCACAGGCAGGAGACAAGGTACAAGGGTAAATTACCCACGTTAATAGCAGAGAAACCAAACACAAATGGTTTACATCACTTGCACAGGGTACATTGTGTACGCATAAACCAGAAAGGAGCGTGAGGATAAATTGTGAGTGTGAGGGTACATTGTGTACGCATAAACAGAGATTAGATAGCACAGGGTAAATTACAAACGTTGGGAGCAGAAACGGGTGTGAGGTGAGGACAAGCGAGAATCTAAAAACTACTTCATAAACAGGGTAATTTACTCACATAAAGTGCAGCAACTAGTGTAAGCACGAGTGAGATGACAAACACGATGGCAGCAACGATTCGGATCGGGTCAAACATCATCTTGAGCTGCCGTGTGAATCCTATCAGGAACCCTGTGCTGTTGCCAGCAAGAGGAGAGGGGGGGAGGAAAGAAAGGTAGTGAGAGAGGGAACGAGGGGAAGGAGAAGAACTGGATCAAATATAATCTTGAGCTGCCGGATGAAGCCTATCAGGAACCCTGTGCTGTTACCAGCAGGGGAAATGGGGGGGGGGAAGGGGGAAAGAGGGAAAGGAAGTGGGAGATAGGGGACAGGGAGAGGGAACGGGTCGGATCAAACATCATCCTGAGCTGCCAGGTGAAGCCTATTAGGAACCCTGTGCTGTGGAATAACGAAGGGGGGCACAAGGATGTACAACGAGAGGGGACAGAAAGGGATTGGATCCAACATCGTTCTTAGCTGTGGTTGAAGCCTATCAGAAACCCTGTGCTGTTGCCACGGGGGGAGAGGGTGTGGGGGAAAGGAAGTGGGAGAGTGTGGACAGGGAGAGGGAGGGTTTGTACCAAACATCATCTCGAGCAGCCGTGTGAAGCCGATCAGAAACCCTGTGCTGTTGCCACTGGAAGGGGAGGGGACTTGGGGGAAAGGAAGTGGGGGAGAGAGGACATGGAGTGGGAGGAGAAGGTTTGATCAAGCATCATCTCGAGCAGCCGTGTGAAACCGATCAGAAACCCTGTGCTGTTTCCAGCAAGGGGAGAGGGGGGGAAGAAGGGTAGGTAGTGAGAGAGGGAACCAGGGAAAGGAGTAGACAGGGGAAAAAGGACGTAAAAGAGGGGAAGGGGTTGGATGAAGCATCACCTCACGCTGCCATGTGAAACCTATAAGGAACCCTGTGCTGTGGATAGCACCTGGGCACGCACGTCCCCATGCCCAGGTGACTTTTGAGTCGACTCAAAAGCCAACTCGCTGCCATGTGAAGCCTATTAGGAACTCTGTGGTGTGCTGTGGATTGCACCTGGGCACGCACGTCCCCATGCCCAGGTGCATGCCTCTACTCTCATGGGTTGCACGTGGGGAGGGAAGGCGACCCCACCTCACCTCACCTCACCTCATCTCACCTCACCTCACCACACCTCACCTCACCTCACCTCATCTCACCTCACCTCACCTAACCTAACCTAACCTCATCTCATCTCATCTTCTCTCACCTGCCAATGGCCATGAGATTGCCAAGCGAGTAGGTGAGAGCGAATTTGATGGGCGACGGGAACACAAGAATGGACTGGCGTCAGTAGGGTAGGGAGAAGGGGGTGGACAGGGGGGGGAGGGGGGAAAGGGATGTTGTGTGGCTGGGATGGGAGTAGGTGAGAGAGATTTTGATGGGCGATGGGAACACAAGAATGGACTGGCGGTGGGATAGGTGAGGAACCGGAGGGGGCGTGGACGGGGGGCAGGGGGGAAAAGGGACGTTGTGTGGCTGGGAGTGGGATATATGCACTTGATGGGCGATGGAAACACAAGAATGGACTGGTGTGGGAATGTAAGAACTGGCTTTGAATGGGTTACCATGAGCGTGCAGAAGATGCCGATGCAGAGACAGGAGGCAAAGCCGTACACCGTGGGAACGTGGCTATTGTAAATGGCTATCATTGTACCATGGAGGGGTGATTACCATGAGTGTGCAGAAGATGCCGATGCAGAGACAGGTGGCATACTCAATCAGTGAAAACGTGAACATTAGATATGGTTACCATGCAAATGTGGTTACTACACAAAGGCGGCCGCTCTACGATGGATAGGCGGTTACCATGAGCGTGCAGAAGATGCCGATGCAGAGACACGTGGCAAAGCCGTATATTCTCTGAGACAGCATCGAAACACACATGCAGCAAGGCATGGGGTAGGGAAGTGGAGGAAGTGTAGGTGGGCCATAAACAAAATCAGAACCATGATGCATGCATGATGCACAATGCATGATACGTCATATGCGATATGTAACACATGGTACATCATACGAGTGAGCTATGGCTCCGAAGGAGGTGCTGAGAGTTTAGAGCCATCCACCAGCCAGATTACATCCCTGGCCTTCCCCACTGCATTCCCAACGGCCTTCGCCACGGCCTTCCCTGCAATTATCCTAAAATGAAACGAGTTCCACGGCCCCACCGCCGCCTGCGTATTCTCCACCATGGCGCCCTTCGCCCTGTCTACAGCTTCCCCCAGGTGACTCTCGACTCGACTAGAGCGGCTCACAGCGCAGTCACAACTCAGGCTCAATTATAGGGCCTCAAAGAGACGACTTTTGAGGTGCCTCAAAAAACACAACTCAGGCTCAACTAAAGGGCCTCGAACAGGAGCCAAGGAAGGAACGCACCTGCTTCATCGTGAGCGAGCAGTATTGGTTCAGTTCATCTAGAATCGACGGCTCCGCGGGAGGCGCGGAGGGTTCCGCCGAGCCATCCACCAGTCCGACCATCTCCCTGGCCTTCCCCACGGCCGCCTGCGTGTTCTCCACCACGGCGCCCTTGGCCCTGTCTACAGCCTCCGCCATCACCTCCTTGAAGAATCCCAGATTTGACATGTCGTTCGATCGCTGTGCGACTGCTGTGTGGCTGCTGTGCGACGCTGTGCGATTGCTTTTACTGTGCGATAGCTGTGCGAGTCGGAAGGGGTCGACGCGTAACTGTTCGCTTGCTCTGTCTCTGTTCGCCCGCTATTCGGCCTTTTTCGTTCGCTATGCGACTATGGCTCCTCTTATACACTAACGCATGGCCACCGTATCCCAGATTTAGACTCCGAACCTAAAGTTTGCTCAATCTATCAAACGTAAAAGTTCTTCCAGGGCTAGCACCGTCTTCCAGGCTCGGGAAGAGTGTCAAATCGAACTTATACGGAGCGATACTGTGTAAGCCCAAGTCTTTATAAACGAGAACTATGAGATAGGGTCTACCTAGAACGGCTCTTTTGAAACTTGTCAGCTGGGCTCGAGACTCGAACAACTCAGCTGGTCACGACGGACAATGGCGGAACCAGGAATTTTAGTGACGATTTCGCTTGCCTAGCTGACGAATTCGCAATAAGGTAGAAAGAAAGGGAATCCCAAGAATTTTGAGCATCCCGAGCCTTTTTTTTCGCGTTCTTTCTGAGCTTCTTGAAAGCTCGAAGGAACTTCTAGGGATTTCATCATCCCGCTCAAATCCACCACGACTCTAGAAGACTCGTCGGCCGATGAAGAATCTGACGGCCGAAAATTACTGATCCCCACCCCAACGGTCACAACACGAAAAAGCGAGTGTACTTCCTCCAGGCCCAGAATTGTTACCATTCTATGAAGTAGAAGTTCTGTTCAGCCTGGTTGGAAGATTTTATACAGCTGGGAACGAGGTGGTTGCAAGCGAGTACAAAACCTAGGAGATAGTTTCTCACACCCCCGATATTTTCCTGGTCAGAATTCCAGATCCATTCTGGCTATTGTTTATTTCCTGGACAGTCGTACCCTCAGTTTCGTTTACCTCTCCCGCGAAACCCGGACTCTGAAACAGGCTGCATTGCCACTGGAACGAACGGAACAGTTTCTAGGTTTCCGGTTGCAGTCCGTTTTTCCGGCCAAATGGCATCAGCTATTCCCGCCGCGGCTAGCGCGATAATCACATACAGCCACAGTCACACCGTCGCCGTGGTCTCCCGCGCGAATCCTCGCCATTCCTCCATGATATCCGCGCGCGGTGCTACATCCGCGGGGCTACACCTGTATGCCCCGCAATTGGCCCGCGGAGGCTACAGCGAGACCCTTTCGAGCCGGCAATTCACCTTGCGCCGGTCGCTCGCGGAGCGGAAAGCATTCCGCGGAACTGCAGCCCCGCGCGGAACAATCTCCCGCAGAAAGGCTATTCTGGTCTCCGCCATCCGCGGCGGGGGCGGGGAGGGCGGCCGAAGCGGAGGGGACGATGTGGCGGAATGGTGGGAGCGCGAGGAGACGCGCTGGGAGCGCGAGCAGCAGCGGTGGGAGCGGGAAGAGCTGCGCTGGGAGCGCGAGGAAGCGCGGTGGACGCGCGAGCGCGCATCCCTCGAAGCGGAGATCGCGGCGCTTGAAGCGGAAGTGGTATCTCTCCGCGCCGCGCTTACAAGCGCTAGGGGTGGGGGATTGGCGCAAAGTTCCCTTCTTTCCCCCCAGGCGCAGGCGCAGCTGGCGGAAGGGGTTAGCGGGGGAATGGGCGGAGGAATAGGGGGAAGTGGGGGACTGGGGAGTGATCTATCAAAGCAGCAGCTGCTGGTGCTGCTGCGGGGGCTAATGCACCTGCTACAGATAACTACGGATAGCCACCGATCCAGCGAGGTAGCCACGTCAGCAGCGATTGCCACGTCATCAGGAGTGATTGCTGGTGCAGGAGCGGAGAGCCTGCTACAGCTGTTGGGACCAACGAATTCAGCTGTGGGCGGTGCTACAGCTGGAGCTACAGCCGTTGATGGAGTTAGATCTACGGCTAGTGTTGCAGGAGCAACTGCAGAGGAAATCCTGAGGAACGTTCCCGATGCTGACATCATCGCGGCTGTAGCGTCGCGCACAGTCAACCCGCTCCCTGCTGACGTGGATGAGCGTGGCTCTGACGTGGCAGTGGCTACACCGAGCGCAACCGTGGCAGCAGTCGCAGGGAAGCAGGAGGAAGGAGCGAGGAAGGGTCAGCGGAAGCTGAATCGGGGACTGTATGGAGATGACGTGGCTCAACTGCAGGTACAGTGACGTTTGGAATATGTAATATATATATATATATATGTGTGTGTATATATATATATACATATATACATATATAGATATATACATATATACATAGCTACATATATACATATATACATATATACATATATACATATATATATGTATATGTGTTGACTTACTGGTTGAATGCTGTAGTGTGAATTGGGGAGCATATCGAGAGGACATGCAGCAGCTGCAGGTAGGCTGCCATGTGCCCTTGTGCATGTTTCTGTATGTGCGTGCAGGCTGCAACGCAATATGTGAATAGATGATCATGAAACCATGTGACGATGTGCATGTGTTTCTGTATGTGCGTGCAGGCTGCGTTGGCCCGGCAGGGATTCTACTGTGGGGAGGAGGACGAGGAGGATGCTTCCTTGGGTCTCTCTCTCACTCCTATGTGCATGTGAATGTGCTTGTGTGTGCGTGCAGGCTGCATTGGCCCGGCAGGGGTTCTACTGTGGGGAGGAGGACGAGGAGGATTCATATTTTGGCGACAACACAGAAAGTGCTGTCAAGACGTGGCAGGTGAGGGGGTGATAGGAAGAGAAGGAAGGGTGATAGGAAGAGAAGGAAGGGTGATAGGAAGAGAAGGAAGGGTGATAGGAAGAGAAGGAAGGGTGATAGGAAGAGAAGGAAGGGTGATAGGAAGAGAAGGAAGGGTGATAGGAAGAGAAGGAAGGGTGATAGGAAGAGAAGGAAGGGTGATAGGAAGAGAAGGAAGGGTGATAGGAAGAGAAGGAAGGGTGATAGGAAGAGAAGGAAGGGTGATAGGAAGAGAAGGAAGGGTGATAGGAAGAGAAGGAAGGGTGATAGGAAGAGAAGGAAGGGTGATAGGAAGAGAAGGAAGGGTGATAGGAAGAGAAGGAAGGGTGATAGGAAGAGAAGGAAGGGTGATAGGAAGAGAAGGAAGGGTGATAGGAAGAGAAGGAAGGGTGATAGGGGCCCATGCGAAGGATTAAAGGGGTTCTGTTGCAGGGAGGATGGCGAGGAGGATACTCCTTCCTTCACTCCGGCGCGCAAGGTTCACTCCGGCGCGCAAGGTTCACTCCGGCGCGCAAGGTTCACTTGGGTTCTGTTCTGTCTTGATGACTGGCTTTTGAGTCGACTAAAAAAAAACTCTCGCTCAGTTGAAATCACTTTTGAGAGTTCGAGTTTTCAAAAGTGATTCTGTCTTGATATACCGACTTTTTAGTCGACTCAAAAGTATTTTGGCTCACTCCTTCCCTCACTCCTTCATTCCCTCTATTCCGGCTCGCAAGGCTCGCTTGGGTTCCGCCTTGATGAATTTCACGATCTTTGAGGCACCTCAAATCTCCTGGTTGCAACCGCCTTTCCCTCTTTTCTCGCTCACTCCTTCACTCCCTCCATCCTCGCTTGCAAGGCTCGCATAAGTTCCACCTTGAGGAATCTCACGGGAAATTCTCCCATGCGACTCTCCTCCTTCCAATACTCGCTCCTCAAGGTAAACCTCTCTTCCAATGCGCGCACACTTGCGGATCATAATCCTCCTATTCAGTCAGCCCGCACTGCAATCGGATCATGGCCTCCCTCCCTCCTCCCTCCCTCCTCCCTCCCTCCTCCCTCCCTCCTCTCCCCCCTACCGTGCGCCCATCTCCATGCAACCATGCAGCTTCAAGAAAATGGTATCGTCACACCAGGCCTCTTCTCTCTCCTCATCAACGGCCGCTTCGGGGAAACGGGGTTATGAAAGCATAGCCTCCCCTCTCCCCCCTCTGCTCCCCCTCCCCCCCATGCGCCCATCTCCGGGCAACCATGCAGCTTCAGGAAGGTGGGATCGTCACACCACACCCTTCCCTTTTTCTCCCCTCCTAACAATATCTCTCCCCCACCTTCCCCCCCCCGTGCGCCCATCTCCAGGCAACCATGCAGCTCCAAGCAGATGGGATCGTCACACCAGGCCACTTCACTCCCTCACCCCTTTTCCCCGTCCCCCCTTCCCACCTCGCCTTCCCTCCCCCATGCTGCCATCCCCCTCCAGGCAACCATGAAGCTTCAAGAAGATGGCATCGTCACACCGGGCCTCTTCTCTCTCCTCGTTGGCAGTTCCAAACCAGCCGCCGAACCAGCCACCAAACCGACCCCCGAACCAACTCCCAAACTTCCCGCAAAGCCGTCAACCAAGCCCTCCTCTTCATCCTCCTCACAAGTGTCCCCCCGCGCCCCCCCTGCCACCCGGGAAAAGAGAGAGATAGAGAGATACGCGAGGAGTGATCTGGAAATGGGGCAGAGACGGGTGTTTCTGCTGGGGGAGAATCGCTGGGAGGATCCGAATACGTTGATTGGTCGAGGTGGGGAGAGGGACGAGGGGAAGGAGGAGGGCGGGGAGGAGGAGGAGGAGGAGGAGGAGGAGGAGGAGGAGGAGGAGGAGGAGGAGGAGGAGGAGGAGGAGGAGGAGGAGGAGGAGGAGAGGGGGGAGGTGGAGGGGAAGGGAATGGGGAGAGGAGGGAGGGATTTGGTGGATGTGAAGGGGAAGGGGAAGAAGGGGAAGAAGGGAGGGGAGAGGGGGTTGAAGCCTGTTGCAGTCTCGTGCTACCAGTGCAGAGGAGAGGGCAACATCGTCTGCATGGGTGGGTTGTTGTGTCTGGGTTAATATGTGTGTGTGTGTCATGCTTGTGTGTATTGTGTGAGGCATGTATGTGGGTGGGTGGTTGAAGGGAAGGGGGGTTGAAGCCTGTTGCTGTCTCGTGCTACCAGTGCAGAGGGGAGGGCAACATCGTTTGCATGGGTGGGTTGTTGTGTTTGGGTTGGTGTGTGTGTGTGTGTCATGCTTGTGTGTGTTGCTTGAGGCATGTATGTGTGTGTGTTTTGGGTCGAGTATAGATTAAAGCCTGTGCCTGTCAGTGCTACCAGTGCAGAGGGGAGGGCAACGTCGTCTGCATGGGTGGGTTGTTGTGTCTGGGTTATTATGTGTGTGTGTGTGTCATGCTTGTGTGTGTTGCTTGAGGCATGTGTGTGGGTGGGTGCTTGAAGGGGAGAGGCCACTCGGGACCTAAACAGAGTCTTGAAACGTCTCAAAACCCTCAACCCTAACCCCGTACCTTGGTCTGGCACTCCTTTGCCAACTCTTCTGTACCCTGCCACCCTGCCTCTGTACCTTGCACTTTCTTGTCGCTCCCCATTACCGTGCAGAGTGTGAGGGCACTGGGGACCTTAACATCGGAGAACAGGTTACACCTGCTCCCCCTTACCAACTCCTCCTGGATCCCTCCACCCTGCCTCTGTACCTTGCACTCCCTTGTCGCTTCCCTTCACCGTGCAGAGTGTGAGGGCATTGGGGATCGTAACATTGAGGAACAGCTTACACCACTCCCCCTTGCCAACTTCCTCTTGCCTTTCCTTGATCTCTCAACCCTGTCCCTATACCTTGCACTCCCTTGTGGCTTCCCATTGCAGAGTGTGAGGGCACTGGGGACCTTAACAGTGGGGAACAGGTTACACCGGCTCCCCCTTGCCAACTCCTCCTTGATCCGCATTGGGACCACATCAATGCTTCTCACCCATCTTCCTTCCCTCCTTGCCCATTTCTCCTACCTTGCACTCCCTTGTCGCTTCCCTTTTCAGAGTGTGAGGGCACTGGGGACCTTAACATTGCAGACACAGGTGACCCAACATGAATGCTTCTCACCCACCCTCCCTCCTTGCCCATTTCTCCTTCCTTACACTCCCTTGTCTCTTCCCTTCTTCCCTTTTCAGAGTGTGAGGGCACTGGGGATTTTAACATCGAAGAACAGGTAACCCCACGTCCCGCCTCTCCTTCACCCCGCGCCCCCCTTCCCCCCCAACCTCCCCCCCTCGTGCAGAGTGTGAGGGCACTGGGGACCTTAACATTGAAGAACAGGTAAACCCACAGCCCACACCCCTTCCCCTTCTCCTCCCCCACAACCCCCCCTTTCTCAACCTCCTTTTCACCTACCTTGCTCATTCTTTCTCTCCACTCGCTTGGATGGTTGTTGATGCGGGTGGGCGTCGACATTCTTGCCCTATTTTTCATATTTGCACAATTTGCTTTCAAGTAGTATTTGATTCTGACCTGGAAGAACGTCGCTTTGTGTGAGGGCATGTGACATGTATTCTACATAAAGTGCCCAACTTTATTTCCGTTTTTTTTTTTCCTCTCTCGCGCTCCCCTTCCCTGCACCCATTGTTTCTTTCTGCCATGTGCAGTTTCTTGACTGGGTGGAGGAGGGTGCTTGTTGCCTCTATTGCAACGGCACCGGAGCCATTACGTGTGATTTGTGCGATGGTTCTGGCAAGTGAGTGTACGTTGGTAGTAAATTTGATGTTTCCCAGTAACTGTTTCATAGTCGTTCGAAGGTACAAGTGCACTCAACACAACCTGTGTCGCGGATATTGCATCGCCTCTGCTGGTCCTGCAAAATTACAGGAAGGCGTGTGGTCGAGACACGCTCTCCAAGTCCAAAGGTCGTGCTGCAAACCCTATAACGAATGCCACCCCACGGCTCTTTGCAGCGGTCTCCACTCTGTAAAATACACGTGTACAATGTGCTATTAACGAGCAAATCGCACTGCTGAGTAAGCGGGCGCCTCGAGAAGGCGGCTCAGGAGATTGGCAGATTCGGTTGGAATGCAAAATGGAATCGCGCAGGACCTGCGACTCATCTGCTCCACCCGATTGTCAATCGATGATCGATCGACGATGAGTCATCCAAGATTGATAGATGATCCAACGATTCTCCGCAGACTTGGCTGCACGAAAATTGGACAAGTCGCCGCCACCAGCCAATAACACCCGCACACTACCATGTCGCATCGAGTCAATAGTAGTCTTCAGACTCAAAACTCAACTCTATTCCAGCTCACTCACGTTTCTTGCACAACAGCTGGAGCAGATAGTACCTTCTAGGAACAGACACAAGTAAAGGCGTTTCCCTGAAGTTGGCTTCTCGAGCTCTTCTGGTTTCCATTCAGGCATAGTTTCAATCCGATATTGCGTGCCGCTCGTAGAATCTATACAATGACCCCAGCGGAGAAGTCCTTTCTGCTACTCAGCCCGTCGTCAAGGCTCCGACAAATGGCGGTGGATTCTTCTGTTTACGTTTACCCCATCCTCAAAATCGCCTTCATTATTGTCACATTGGCTCTGCTGTGCATGTTCGGCACGCATGAGTACTACGAGGTGCAAGAGCAAATCAAAGAGTTTTACGATGAAATCGAAAAGGCGCCGTGTAACAACACCGCAATACTGTACATCTCCCGATCGAAATATTTCTTCTGCCCAATAGCCCCCTCAGCTTCCACGGAGACAGCTGCGGAAAGAACGGAAGCGGGACTTGCGGCGGCAAGGGCGGCGAACCAGCCTTCGAAAAGCAGCGACAGCGCAGCTGTCGACGAGGAGATTGACGAGCCCGAGCCGCCACGCGACGGGTGCGACGAAGCGTGGGAGTGGTTCACCGACACCAGCGGCGGCGGCGTCGGCGGCGGCGGAAACAGCGGCGGGGATGACGGCGGAAGTAACGGTGACGAGTCCGCGTCGGCTCCGCGCGGAAGAAAGCTCCCCCAAACCCGACGACGTGCGAAACGGTCGCCAGCGGATTACGACGCGAACGACCCTACCGGCGTTGACTTCGACGATCAGAATCCGTCCACGTACCCGCCCACGTGGACGCGCGCTTCGGGAATTCCGCGCCGCGAGCGCGGGAAGAACTGCAAAGCGGAATGGGTTACTTACTCCACCTTTTCCGCCGTGGGACTTAATCGTCTCGCTGACGTCACCAGCATGATTAACCTGCCGTCGGCTTGCATCAACCGTGGAACGGATTCCGTCCCCGTCTGGTAGCCGTGCTCGAGTACGTCCAAAGCTTGCCGCCCGACCGCATCGTCATCGCAACAGACGCGCTTGATGTAACGCCCGTGCCGTCCTGTACTGCCGACCGTATCATCTCGGCGTTTCTGAGTTTCAACGCGCCGATCGTTTTCGGAGCAGAGCCGTACTGTTTCCCGGATAGACTCGAGGATAAATACCCGTCGCTCCCGCCGGAAGCAGCGGCGGTAAACACGCAGTTTAAGTACCTCAACGCGGGGACGTATGTAGGATACGCATGGGCGGTTACTGTTGCGCTTAAAGCCGCTTTAGCAAACCCCGTTAGTTGGTTTGACGATCAACGGGAGTACACTCGGTTGTTCTTAAACCAAACGCAATTGCTGCCGTTCATCTCCCGATGGAAGTACGAGCAACAGAGCAGTTTGCGGCGGCGGCTGCGGCGCGAATGGCGGTTCGAAGATAAGATCTTCAAGTGGCGGCACCTGATGAGGACCATGGAGGCGCGACTCGCGGCGCGACCCGTGATCGTTCTCGACCACATGAACGGGCTGGTTCAGAACCTTCTAGGAACCAACGACGATGATTACGAGGTCGTTGATTTGAGGGAGGTGCAACAGCAGCAGCAGCAGCAGCAGCAGCAGCAGAAACAGGAACAGCAGGAAGGGGAGGAGCGGAACAACCCTGCTAGTAGCAACATCGGCGGCAGCAGCAGCAGCGGCAGCAGGCAAGCGCAACCCTTCCCCCCGCTTCTCCCCCTCTCGCCCCTCCCCCAATGGCCGTCCGCGTTGCACCTGGGCCTGCGCAACAGACACACGGGCGGGTTCCCGTGCCTTCTGCACGAGCAGGGGGAGAAATTTAACAACACGCTGCCCGTGCTACAGCTGCTGATCCGGCTACAGATTGACGAGGCGCGGGCAGGCAAAGGGTATATTCCGTGGTGGCGTGTGGGGTGGCTGCACAGAGTGGGCAAGTATAAGACCTAATGCGCTTTTTATAGTGTATGTAGACAAGTTACCCCTGCTACAACTGCTGGTGGTGAGGCTACAGATTGATGAGGCAAGGGCAGACAACGGGTGGTGGCGTGTAGGGTGGCTGCACCAAGTGGGCAAATATAAAAAAACTAATGCGTTAGTTTGTTGTATGAAGTCAATTTACCTGTGCTACAGCTGCTGGTGTTGGGGCTACAGATTGACGACGCACGGGCGGGCAAAAGGTACGGTTCGTGATGGCGTGTGTGGTGGTGGCGGCATATAAATGGCAAGTAGAAGAAATGAGATGCTTTTTGAGTGTATGATGTCACTTGCCCCTGCTACAGCTGTGGTGCGGCTACATATTGGTGAGGAGCAGGCAGGCTACGCTAAGGGTTGCATTCCGTGGTACCGTAGTTTATGTACAGGAGTAGGCTGGAATAAAAGTACGAGGTGAATTTCAAGTGTAAAGAGTCAGGTTTCCATGCTACAGCTGCTGGTGTGGCTACAGATGGACATGGCATGACAAGGTAGTAATCTCTCAAGCATGCTGTGCTGTGTGACTGTGTGGCCTGGAGTGGCTCTTTTTGTTCTCACCTGTCAATCTTGGCCGCTGGATGTTAATTGATAAGCTTGATTAGCCCACCAGTAACGTATCTTGGTAGCACCGAAGTACACTTCGAAACGAACAGTTACAAAGGATACATACCGATACCAGTACAATCATGGTATGTTACCGTACTAGGCAAGTGTGGCTTATATATGCCACATGGACACTATACAGGGTGCATCGTAGGCACCACTGATAGAATAGCCTTTCCTACTCCACGCACAATGCTTATTCTGCTCCACTGTCACAGTAGTAGGTAGGAACCCCTTACCATCAGCACGAGTCCCATTACTCCCTTCACTCCACGAATCCCATGGGGACCTTACTTTCAGGCCCCTCCTCCCACAGCAGTGGTAGTGCTGTTGCTAGTCATGTTAGCACTGCTTCCGTTTAAACCCTTCTTCGTTTTACCATACGGATGCACTGTCATCTTGACCTTCAACCCCGCCTTGCAGTCGCCGATAAAGCTGCTCCCGAAGTAGATCGTGGTCCCGACCATGTCTGGTTTGATCCAATAAAGCATCCACCCGACTGGCGAGTAGGGGAAGATGAGTTTTGAGCCGGAGAAATCGCAGGCCGTGAACTTGGCTTCGGACTCAAAGAGGCGCACGTCGTGAGTCAGAGGGCTCACCCAGCGGAACACTGCAGAAGGGGTTGGGAGGAGGACGGGGGGAGCAGGTGTGGGGTTGGGGGGAATCTCAGTGGCTTCAGATTCGAAGAGACGCACGTCGTGAGTGAGAGAGGGCTGACCCACGGCAACACTGGCGGCGGTGGGAGCATTCTTGCTGCGGGCGGATGTGGTACGGCGGCACGCCCCTGTCTGTACTCGTCAATATAATCTACACACGCATTCCGCTATAAGACAACTGTACGCTTACACAGAACGTAATGCGGGTACAGCTTGGGCGGCGTCCAGTCCCACTGCACACCGCGGCGCCACGGGCGGATGTGGTAAGACATCACGGCCCTGTACTCGTTTTAAGCGTATTCTGTACTCCGCTATAAGTCAACTGTACACTTACGCAAGACGTAATGCGGGTACAGCTTGGGCGGCGTCCAGTCCCACTGCACGCCGCGATGCCACGGGCGAATGTGGTATGGCAGCACGCCCCCCACCGTCACCTTGTATGTTCGCACCCCTGGGATCTCTTGAAGATCCCTCCGTGCAGCCTGGGAGGGGGAAACAGGGAGGGATGGGACCAGAATAATGGGGGTGAGGTTGTGGTATGGCAGCACTCCCCCCACCGTCACCTTGTACGTCCGCACCCCTGGGATCTCCTGCAGCTGCTTTCGTGTTGCCTGGCGTGTGGGATTGAATAGGTGGTACAGGCAGGGGTGAGATGAGAAGCACGGAGTGGGACCTTGTATGGCAGCACTCCCCCCACCGTCACCTTGTACGTCCGCACCCCTGGAATCTCCTGCAGCTGCTTTCGAGCGGCCTGCCGGGGTGAAGGAAGAGGCAGGGGTGTGTGTGTGTGGATGGGGGCAGTGGGACTGAGTTGGGAACAGCAGCAACACGGCCCCCATCGTCACCTTGTACGTTCGCACTCCTGGGATCTCCTGAAGCTGCTTGCGTGTGGCCTGGGAGGGGAGAACGCGGAGGGAAACGGAGGGAGAGGGAGGGATGAGATAAGAAGCAGGGAGAGGTGACGTGGTACGAAGACAGTTCGCCCCTCACCGTCACCTTGTCCGTCCGCACCCCTGGGATCTCCTGAAGGTCCCTGTGTGCGACCTGCCAAGGTTATAAAGGGGAAGGGGGAGGGAGGGAGGGGGAAGTGAGTGTTGAGAGTCATGAGCGGAAGCAGCACTCCCCCCCACCGTCACCTTGTACGTGGGCACCCCTGGCATCTTCTGAAGGTCCCTGCGCGCGGCCTGGGGCGTGGGGAAGGGAAAAGGTGGGAGAGCGAGGGATGAGAGAAGATGCAGGGGGTGAGGATGTGGTATGGCAGCACCCCCCCACAGTCACCTTGTACGTCTGCACTCCTGTGATTTCCTGAAGAGCCCTCCGCACAGCCTGTGTAAGAGGGGTGGGGTGAGACGATTAACAAGGGCGGATGTGGTATGGCATCACCCCCCCACCGTCACCTCGCACCCCTGGAAGCTTCTGCAGGTCCCTACCCGCGGCGTGGGATGTTTTGATTTAAGTCGACTCAACGCACTTCTGCGGTCCCTACGCGCGGCGTGGGATGAAAGGGGGCAGGGGGAGAGGAGGGAGGGAGGGGTGGGATAAGAAGCAGGGGGTGGGGAAGTGGGGGAGCGAGCGCGGATGGGCGGTGATGGTCGCGCACGGCAGAGGCACGCCCGCCAACGTCACCTCGCCAAAATCGTTTCGCGAATGGCGATTGGAGCCTTGCGCAGCGTGCGATACGGGGGAGGGCCACGGGGAGAGAAGCGCGCGCGGGTGGAGAGAGGGAGGGGAGGGGGAGAGGGGAGGAGGTGGAGGGGAAAGGAGGAGCGCGTCGAGTCGCGCGGCGCAAGTAAGAGTGCGGCGGCTGTGGGCTGGACTGGTGAGTCGACTCCGAAATCGATCTTCCGACTGACCTGTCCTTGCAGAACGAGGCTGGCGAAGATAGCGACGATTAGGTAACCCGCCGCAAGCCGTCTCGCGGTAGTCGGTTTCATGGCGGCAAGCGAGTCGCCCCGACGGGTTCCGATGCGGCCCCGAGTTGTCTTGAAGTTAGCCTCGGAGGCGACAACTTGAAGCGACTTTTGAAGGAAACGACGGCTCTGCTTCTAAAGAGGTAAGCGACTCGACCGGCTTAAATGATTGAACGAATGAAGGGTTCACGAGTTGTGGACCCTGGAAGCCGTGGAGCTTCGCGAGGAATTCACAGGCTGCGTCGTCGAAGACAGTTGCCGGTTATAAACGAGATATCGCGAAGGCGATGCTGTTGATGTAAGAAAGAGTCGTTGATAAGCAAGAGAGTGAGTTGGTGTTGTGTGTCAGAACGAGAATGCAACTGCGTACGAACTGAAGCTACTAGCTGCTGTCTGTACAGTATTTAGTATAGAGGCGAGTAGACCAGTCGAGCGGAGCAATCGAGTGGAGGAGTCGAGGGGAGCGGTCTGTATGGTTAGCGAGCGAGCAAATTGCCGATTGCCCCTTTTTCTCGCCCACACTTACGGACGCTCCTTTTCCGAAGCGGGTCCGCGCTCCGTGGTTGGATTCGGTGTAATTAGGGCGCATTCCTGCACTTCGGGTCATCAGCACTTCGGGTCATCCGAATTAAATTTTGGCTGGGCGCGCGATTTGCGATTTGACTTTGGGTTATCCGAATCGGAAACTTTCAGTGGTCCCAAATGTTCGGAAGACCCAAACACGGGAAGACCCGAAGCCAGGAATGCGCCCTTAGGTCTGCAACATTTCCCCCGTGATGCTGCTTGTTATGGGGGCGTGCAGCACGGTCAATAGCTCTTCCACGAAGCCAAACCTCAGGGATGCCGAGCCTTAGTTTGTCAGCGTTTGTGTCGACGAACCTCTCGAACCTAGTTTGGAAGCTATGCCAGAGAGGACCTTTCAGGCTTGGAACGGACTACAGTTCAGTATAAGCAGCAAACTCGCGTATCATTGGACCGACGAATTCAGGTCCGGTGTGGCCGAGAAGCTTGACCCTAGGCGAACTTCAGCTGAAATGCGCTGGTTGGCTGGCAGGCTCCCTCCCTGCCCTGTCACCCAACCACACGCGTGGAGCACCGAACTCTGAAACGACGTTGTCGGCGGCACGTTCTCAGAGTGGTTCGGTCATCGAACAAAACAGAAATACAGTTTAGGGGCAAATGTAGCCAGAAAATAATAGATGCATCAAGATTATCTAGGAAATTGTGTACACCACAATATGGGTTCTGGTGTCCACTACCCGTGCACTCTCACAGTATTCGGTTCGGCTTAAAAAATCATTCTTGCCAGAATTGTGCTCTTGTTATTGGACGTGGCCATGCCAGGCTGAATGCGCTGGCAGAGGAAGGTTCTGCGACACTCATGGACGATTCCAGCGATGCAGATATTTCCTCGCTGGCGCCAAAGATGAAGGAGGGCTGTTCCACGTGGTGAAAAAAATGCTGTTGTGGCAATGCCAGCAGCCCATGACGTCAGTCCTACAGGTCGCGCTAATGCATACCCCGACATCCATTGAGATCACTGTGTAATGTTCGAGCACATTGATAAGTAGATTATGACAAAACTATGGACCCAGAAGCATCAAACACGCTTTATTTACAGAGGAGAAAACAAGTTGCTCTAAGCTACCCTCCTCAGCAACACTACCGTACAGCAATGCCTTAGCCTGGGTCTAGCTGATAAGCCGGTACGAACGAGAACAGAACCTGGTACCGTTCTAAACGGAGCTACCAGGGGATTCCTTGCGCCTTGACAGCTCCTTTTTAATCGCTCGAAGTACCCGCTGAACATCCTTACTCCTGTCATTCATCCGCGCTCTAATCACAGCCTCCGCGTCCTCCCACCGGTACACGCTTATCGCGGTTTTCAACCCCATTTTGCAATCGAAATTCCCGGGCATTTTGCTCGAAAAATACTGGGTGGTGTTTTCCCAGCCCTTCGGGGTCAGATACGGGAGCCAGCCAACAGGAGAGTTGGGAAAGAGAAGCTTGGCGCCGGAAAAATCACACTTGTCGAATTTAGCCTTGCTTTCCATCATATACACGCTGTGGGGAACCGGGCTGACCCAGCGGAAAACTGCACGCGGACAGGGAAGACGGGGAGATGGATACATGGAACGGTGAATGCGGGGTATGGCGGGAAGAGGTAGGCGCGGTGAGGTATGTGGAACGGTGGGACCGGTGGCGGAGTCTATTGGTCCGACGTTGTACGATCGAAAAAAACCGAAAAGCTGATTCCTCTTGTTTGATGTTTACAACTCTTCGTTAACGAAAGCTTTCGAACGAGAAACGTACTGAGCAAGAAGTCTGGAAAAACCGGCGGCGGCTCGGCCCAGATTAGTTTCATCGTCGGACTCCACGGGCTCAGATGATTGGGCAGAAACCCGCCGACCGTTACTTTGATTGCCTGGATAGGAGAGAACGGGACGGATGTGACAAAACGAGAGGCAAAAGGTTCATGTTCAGACTCCACGGCCTGAGACGGTTGGGTACAAGCGCGTGAAAGTATCCTTCAAAAAAAAAAAAAAAAAAAAACATTGGTTTACAGTGAATGTGATTTTGAGAGCAGTAATCACCTGAGTCGGCAGCACATTGCAAGCTGCGAAGAAGAGCATGATTAGAAGAACCGCAAGACGGATGTGACTGTTCGGACCCATGCCGACGACGAGCGTGAGTTATTCTGTACTTCGAAAAACGTCGAGTCTTTCAGGTGAAACGGAGTCCAATGATGCCGCGTAATTTGAATTGTTTAGTGGCCTCGAAATCTGACGTTGAAAATGGTAGTAGGCGCAAGAGAGACTCGCGTCACTGCGTCTTTCACAACAGCTACGGCTCTGAATGCGGGAAGCGCAAAAATCCTCGACTCGTTTGGTGGTGTGGCGAGATTGTTTTGCAACTGCTTTGCTAGCTGCACTGCTGCTCAATTTGTACAAATTCGTATCTGGCTTGGCCTTTCCCCCTTGCCTGGCGAACCGAATGGGTCTCTCGCGCACGCTGTGTTTCTCCCCAGCCTCCGCCTCCTCCAGGTCTCTAGACATGTTTTCTCGTGTCGCCTGGTATGGACACGCATCGCGCCGTACAGCTGTGCTGCGCTTGTGCGTGCGTGGCCAATTTGCTGCCCTTCCGCAGAGTTTCTCCAGTGGACGGGGGGAGATGCGGGTGGGCTGCCACAGTGTTTCCGCATTTCAAGTTGCGCCAACCGCTGCCTTGTGCAGTGCGCACTCCCCAGAATGAAAGCCGCGTTCCAGTGAGCACGTGCTGGAGAGGGGCAACTGCCAGCGGGGATATGGTGAAGGGTGCACTGAAACAGGTGAGCAGAGTCGCCACGATTTGATTGGCGTTCCGGGAGGCTTCGTTGACTCGACATTTCTCTGCAGTCTCCCCGGCCCTGGTGCTGCTGAGTCGCCTGCCAGCCACATGCTGTGCTGATGTGTTGTCGCTGGAACGAGGCCCATTATTGGCTGAACAGGTGAGAGTCTTGTGCTGAATGCTGACGTGGTCACAGATGCATAATTTCACTCATGCTTTTTCAGAAGGGTAATTACATTCTGGGTAACCAACATTGAGCCCGCTGACGTCAAAAGTCACCTACGTGGCTCGATGGTACCCGTCAGATCATGCGCGCCCCTTGGTGGTACCCATCTTCCCTCCGTGGTACCCATCTTCCCTGCGTGGTACCCATCAACTGTGCGCGAATTCCCTGACTGGTACCGCAACATTTCAACCGAGCTGTACACCGTACAACAAGGGTGTCAATGCGTTTTTCAAGTGACAGCTTAGAACACAGAGACAGGGTGCACATTAAACCCCGTTTGTCAAGTTCATAGCACGAAAATATCTTACAGGGGCTAAGGCAGCAACTCATTTATTCATGACCATCAAAAGTGGACAGGTAGGAATTTAGTTAACAATGGATAATTACTCAATGCAGTCGGATAAAGTGTTTAGCAGACTACTGGGGACCCTTTGCAGCAACAATGTAAGTGCCAGGGAGTGACATCATCTTCTTCCACTTTGAAACATAAGCCCTTCGGGTGAAGTTGTCATAGTCATTGGCTTCAATGGCATCAAGGATTTGAGCATAGAGCCTCAAGGAGGCCCACACCTGAAATGGGGTACGAGAGGAAGTTGGCAACTGAAAAATTGAGCCCAGTACCAGAGAGAGTGAAACGAGGTGGTGCCCTAATAATGTCAACTCTGGAGAAGATGGAGCACAAGGGGAAGTAAAATTGACTTACCGGCCATCTGCTTTGGCTGTCGAGCTCGACCACGCCTGCTTCTGCTGTCTTGAAGTAGTTGCGAGCCCTCTCAATCTGGAACTTCATGAAGCTGCGCCAGTTGTCAGTCACCTTGCCCTCAAAGATGTCATCGTCAGAGAGGCCAAACTGAGCCAGTTCGTCCTGAGGAAGGTACACACGGCCCCGCTGAGCACTGCAGAGGGAAGTGGGATGAACGAGGACTTGAGTAAAGCTAGGTTTCACATAAAACGTGGGTAACTAGGATTTTTTTCTCATATCGAACATGGGTAATGCAGCAGCACAGGAAGCATTAACGCATGGAGCACTGCAAACATAGCTGATGCAACTCTGGCGATGAATTTGGAAAGTACCGAACTCGCAAACGAATATGATAAATGGTACACGGAGCTGAAAAAGAAGCTGGAGGTGAAAAAGTGACGAAAGTCAGACCACCACTTACTCTTCTCCAACATCTCTCAAGATGTTTGTGAGCTGATTGGCAATGCCAAGGTCCAGAGCAGCCTTGTACACATCTTCTGCAGGCGCTTTAGACTTGGGGTCGATTCCCATGACAGGAACACTCATAAGGCCCACAGTGCCGGCCACATTGTAGCAGTACACGTAGAGCTCGTCAAACGTGCGGTACCGGGACTTCCTCAGGTCCATCCGCATGCCATCGACCATGTCTCTGTACGGCTGCAAAACAACGACATCGATGGGGATACGGAATAACGGGTTTGTTTTGCATAGCTATATACGCGGTTCCTTGCATGTAGTCACATTCGAAAACGCCTCCATTCCCGGCTTGCATCCAGCAAACGTGCGAATACAGCGCGCATAAAGCTAAGGTGACATTTCTTCGTACCTGAATGCTCATAGGGAATGTCTGGATTGTGTCCGAGAGAGCAGCGTCCAGCATGTCGTACGGCCGACCTTGGAAGAGCTCGTCCAGGCGCTCCTCCCATCTGTCTAGAGCCCTCGGGGTGATGTGAGACGCGTTCGGACCATCCACTAGCTCGTCGGTTCTCCTGCACCAGACTGAAACAGCGAGAGGCATAATGCAAGATGGGTGAGCATACACATTGGACAGTCACTACTTGGACACCCATGTCGTGTTTAGCTGCTACTAGTGACGAATGCATAAAAAACTAAATATGCCTGGACAAATGTCTGCGGTCAACGGAGCCATTACAATGCAGCAAACCTACGTGCTGATGCGAGCACGATATGAAGAGCTGAACGTTAACAGCCACGAGAAAATCTTCAACGTATTAAAGATTTTCGTAAAGAGCCACCTTCTAACGTATAAGCTGGTGGGCGTGTAGACAGGGGGGGGCAGGATTACGTACCATAAATGGCCCAGATTGCTCGGCGCCTCTCGGGGGTCATCAGTTTCGTCCCTGCACGCACACAGACAACACGAGTCAGCTGAATTGAACACGTAACATGCGAAAGGTGCAGAAGGAAGCAAACTAGCTGAAGGCCTCACCAAGATAAAATGTCTTGGCGTACTCGGCACAAACTTCCCCACAACGCTCATAAGCCTCTGCCAACAGCTCCAGGGTCATCAAAACTGGCGCTTCCTTCTCAGCCGGCTTGGAAATGTAAGTATCTGCAGCCTCCTTGACTACAACATCAAATATTCTTTGCTCTGCTGACACATAATCAACGTCCGATTTCCTCTGACCGGGAATCACAAGCTTCTTTTGAAACCCCTGGAAGGCTCCGGCTTGGCCAGTTGGTACATCAAGAACAGCTCGTGGTTGAGAGAGCGAGGAGGCTGCGCGATCTACTGAAGAACGGACAGCTTGTCTGCTGCTGATGAGCTGTTTCCTTGTATTCCAAAATGACCGGCTTCCCCAAGAAAGGCTCTGTGTGTTTGCTGATGATGTTGGCGTGGAGCCATGGTTGTTCGGAGCTGCAACCGACAAGTCCTTCACACCAGCGGCCTGAACTAGAGCCACCGAAACCATTTTATCCGGCAGTATAGTATGGGTAATACCGGTGGTCAAGCTCGTTCGTATGTGGAAAAGCTCCCCCACAATGCCTCAAGCTGGTAAGCGAGGACACAAAAATTACACGGTGATCCTGTGAGCAGCAACGCCCTGGTGATGAAGTGGAGGAAGACTCTTCCTATCTGCAGCCTCGAAATGCTGGGGCTGTACAATGCATGGATGGAAGGTCTTATTTCAATGGCTGCCAGCCAGTGTCTGATGATAGACCTCAGTGATTGTGGTGGTGGTTATCTCTTGAAGGGGTGACACAGGCAGCCTGGAGTGGTCTTTCCTGCGTGATAAACGGGAAGCGGGGCTGTCATTGTTGAGAGGACACGATCGATCGGCCGTCCAAGTTGATGCAACAAGAGAATCCAACGGCCTGGGAGAGACCGACGAACTGAAACTTCGAGGGAATGGGCTCCAGAATTTCGCCTGCCCCTTGAGAATTTCCCTGCGTGTGCGGCTCCAATCAAAACGCACACCTGATCGCACGGCTCAGCGAATCTGGCCAACCAAACTCTAGGTGGGGATTATGTGGAGGTGTGAGGCCAAAAGAAGATTCGCGGGGCTCGACAGGCAGAGTCAACGTGGCAGAATAACGCTGGGAAAGCAAAAGTTCCCCCAAGGAATGTGGGTCTAGTCAGCAAAACTCTTGAAAGCGATGACAGTCACATCGTGAGACGCGTGGTTGATTACTTTTGCGAAACAGTGGTGGGTGGATAGAATGCAATCACAGAAGGCTACCACAACCATTCTAGCGCGCGGCGAACTTCGTAACGCCTTCGCACACCGATTTCAGCGACCAAGGGTGCCTGCACCTGGGCCTGACACAACACTTCTGTGCTTGAGGGAGGGCGAGGGGGGATGTGCAATATCAACCACACACATGCGAAATCCAGGTTCTCCAATATTGAGTAACAAAAATGACGCTTCGTTTCTATACATCCATCCTTGATTATACACAGCAAAATCTTTCACATCTCCGTTTCCAGGATAAATTGACCTCCATAAACTACATAAGCTGGATGTAAATAAAGAGCTGCTCAGGAGAAGTTCTCGAAATTGGTCAGCTCGTGGCATTCGAGCTTCTCACGATTTCAGCACACAATTTCGCAGTCTGCGTAGCAATCAAACATGTTCAGACAAATGAAATGCAAGAAACAGCACCATACAACCACATACATACATACCAAAGGCTTCCACAGTCGTGCTCGAGCATTCACAAACCAGTCTTCTACCTGCCAAGCGGATTCCGGTTGAAGAACACGAGACAAAAAAAAAATATCACACAAAAAAAACTGCAAGGTACTAGGATGCTTACCTGCTTTTTCGTGATGTTGAATGCATTCATGAACTCCGTCTTCTCTTCTTTTGATGGTTTCCTGAGGACATGACACAGTGAATCAATTGTTAGGCCCATGTCTGGATAGTGGAAAGCGGAGAACCGACGACAAATATCCACAGACGTGCAGCCTCATTTGTGAATCATCCCCTCCAACTGGATCAGCGGAGTATCCAACAACACAGACCAGCACAAAGAAACCCCATCCCATCCCCTCCCATCACAGCACACAATGGCCACATACCAAACACCCCATTCCAATCCGTAAACACAAACTTACGGATTGTCCCAATGCGCCACCAGCCACTGTAGCATCTTCTGGGCGGCAGCTTGCGGCAGGGCCCCCCTGGCTCCTGACAGCCCCAGCTGTTCCCTCGCACTCACTGCTCGCCGCTCCCTCCCCTCCTTCCTCCTCCTCTCCCGCTTGCCCCCGTTGCAGTTAGAAGGGCTTATGCGGTACAGTGGGAGTGGCGGCGATGGTAGCGCTGGTGACAATAGCTGTGGTGATAATAATGATGGTGATACAGGAGAGATAGGCACAGTGGCTCCTGGTAGTGCTGACATCAACATAGCGGTAACCGGGGCGGGTGTTACTAACGGCAGCACTGGCTGGGGCAGCAGCAAAGGCGGTGGTTGCAGAGGCGTGGAAGGGAGCAGAAGCTTCTGTGCTGGCAGGAAGGGCTGTCCGTGCTGGTTGCTTGCGGGTTCAGTTGCAGCAGTAACGCGGAACGAGGGACATCTTCCTATTCAACAGAGACGAAGAGGGGAGGAAGTAAGGAAATACAACGAAGGGAGAGAGTGAGACGTGATTAAGGTAAAGAAAAGACACTGAGGAAGCCAGATGTTGCATGCCATGCCCTCCCTGCCATTTCCCCTTCCACCCACTTCAAACCCTCCCTGCCATTTCCCCTTCGCCCCAAGCATCTGTAGAATCCAACCCCCCCTCCCGCCCCCTCTCCCGCTCCCGCTCCCCCCTCCCCTTCCCGCCCTCCTCACCCCCTCTTTTCTTCCGCCCTCTTCCATTCCAAAGTCCCACCCCAGCCCTGCTTCGCACAAAGTACTTTGCCACTCACCGTTAAGCGTCTTACTTAGCACACAGTTGAGCCTTGAACCGAACCAGTAGATTGCAGCAAACGGGGCAAGATCCGCCCAATCCGGGAGACCAGACAGACTCGGTAAACCCAGGGGACCCAGACGAAAGCTTTTAGGTGGAGCAGGTGAGTTGCGAGCAGCAGCAGAAGAGCCTGCAGGTGAGGTGACAGCAGCAAGGGCACCCTGCAGCGGGTCAAATGCATGCAGCATCTGCCTCATACAGGCCTCCGCCACGACCCCTGCTCCCCTCCCTGCGCCTTTTATCCCTGACTCAGAATAAATCTCAACCATGGCCCCTGCCCGCGGTATCCCTGTGAGGGGCTCAGGCATCCCAAAGAGGTCGGTAACATCCGTAATAGGTGCAGGTACATCTGTCGGGCCAGCCAGGCAACCAAGCATCCATCCCACCTCCACCAGTAGCGCCCTCACCACCACCTTCAGCCTATCCCGCCCCTCTCCTCCCTCTTGTCTCATCGCTAGACTCGCAACAGCAGCAGCAGCAGTGGCAGCAGTGGCATTTGCAGCAGAGGCGGCAGAAGCAACAGCAGCGGTAGTAGCAGCAGTGGTAGTGGCAGTGGTAGCAGCAGTTGCGGGCACTGGTACGGAAGCATCATGGGTGTTGTGGGCAGCAGGCAGATGAGGAGGCGAAACAGACATAGAGTATTTTTCCCCAGCCAGCCCGCTTATTCCCCCTCCTCCCTCACCTCCCCCTCCTCCCTCTCCTCCCACTCCTCCCTCTCCTCCCGCACTCACTCTCACTCTCTTCCTCGCACCCCCACCCTCCCTCCACGCTCTCCCCCTGCCTGCGCCACGTATCCCTCTTGCTTGCCGACCCTGCTGCAAAGCCTGAGCATGTGAAGACACGTGGGACATGCCACGTGTAGGGCTGCCACGTGGAGTGCTGCCACGTGGAGTGCTGCCACGTGGAGTGCTGCCACGTGGCAGCTGTGGGCTAAGAGCTGGTGGCAAGCGAAGGGGAGATGGAGGGCTAAGTGGTGGTATTGTGCTAAGTGGTGGTATTGTGCTAAGTGGTGGTATTGTGCTAAGTGGTGGTATTGTGCTAAGTGGTGGTATTGTGCTAAGTGGTGGTATTGTGCTAAGTGGCGGTTTTGTGCTAAGTGGCGGTGGTGGGGACTTAAAACGAGGAAGAGGCTTCAGTGCGGGAGAATGGTTGAGTGAGGGTGACAGATGGAGTGGGGGTAAGGGGGGTAGCCCCAGAAGTGCTGGTGGTAGTGATGGTGGTAGTGATGGTGGTGGTAGTTGTACCAGTGGCGATGGGGGTAACAGTAGTGGTGGCAAGGATGGGGATGGTGCATGTGGTGGTGGTGCTGCTGTTGGCATTGGTGATGGTGATGGTGATGGTGCTGATACGGTGAGAGCAGATGAGAGGGACAGCAGGGAGACTCGTTCTTGCGCCTGCTTCACCACTTCCTCCTCCTCTTTCTCCTCCGCCTCCTTCTCCTCCTCCTGTTGCTGCTGTGGGTGCTGCTGCTGTTGCCGCTGCTGCTGCATGATTTGTTCAGCTGAATGCTGAAACGGTCGAAAAGGAGCATGTGGAACTGGGAGGGGTAGTCGTGGCAGCGACAGAAGCTGGTGATAGTGACGCTGCTGCTGCTGCTGCTTCGGCTGCTGTAGCTGCTGCAGCTGCTTCTCCTGCTGTTGCAGCAAGTAATGGTGCTTCTGCTGCTGCTGCTGCTGCTGCTGCTGCTGCTGCTGCTGCAAGCATTGTCGGTTGTGTTGTTGTTGCTGCTGCTGTTGCTGTGGTGGCAGTGGTTTCTCTATCAGCAGCACATCCATCCCATGCCGCCCACTGCTGCCGCCCACTGCCAGACCACCGCCGCCCATCCACTCCAAATCACCGAACTTTTTACTTGCACTCGTACCCATGCCTTGCATGCCATTCTGCGTCCCCATTGCACGATCAGCATCCATCTCATGCCCTCTGCCGCCAACTGCCGCACCACCGCCGCCCATCCACTCCAAATCACCTAACTTTGTACTTGCACTCGTACCCCTACCATCAGCATCCATCTCATGCCCCCTGCCGGCCACTGCCAGACCACCACTGCCCATCCACTCCGAATCACCAAACGACCAGCTTCGGATAGGAAAGATCGCACTTGCACTCACACCTGTACCATCCATGCCATTTTGGGTCAGCATTGCACCATCAGCACCCATACCCTGACCACCCATCACCATGCCATGCATGTCACTAGAGGCCACCATTGCACCGGCACCCATGCCATGCATGCCTTGACCATGCATGTCCTCAGCACCCATGCCATGGATGCCCATGCCATCCATGCCATCTATGCCACTCATGCCATCCACATCGTTCATGCCATTCTGGGTCACTATGGCACCATCATCAGCACCCATGGCATGACCGTCTGTCATCACCATGCCATGCATGCTATCATGCGTCCCCATTGCACCACCAGCATCCATGCCACGACCGCCCACCATGCCATCATCGCTTGCCATCGTTCCATTCCCCTCAGCACCCATCCCCATCCCTCTGACAAACGCACGTGCACCCACCGCCACACACCCCCCTACATCCACTAGTATATCGTCTCCTTGGCCCATCAAATCCCCTTGGCTCATTATCTCGCCATTACCCTCAGCACCCATCTCCATCCCTCTGACAGACGCACATGCACCCTTAGCCATAACCCCCCCGACATCCTTTAAAATCTCCTCCCCCATCAATTCCCCCATCAGTTCTTCCTCCAATTCCCTCTCCCATTCATCCCTCTCCCCTTGATCCCTCTTCTCTTGCCCCGAAACTCGCCGCCCTGAGCAATTCATACCCCCTTTCAGAGAAATTTCATCCAATATTTTTCCCGGATCTTCCACAGAGTTCCTGTGTGTATTCATGGGATTTGTTCTTGGATATTCAGGGAGACACCAGAGCCAATCAGATCCGTCCAGGCTGGCCCGGGACACCTGCTGTTGAATCCCAACCGTTGCTGCACTTGCGTGGTGCAAATCTGTGCCATCCATTCCGTTCCAATGTGCAATCCCCTCCCAAATGTCTTCTGCTGTTTCTTGAACTGACCCCACCGCTTGTTCGATCACGTCGTGGCCTGTATCGTGATGGCCAGCCACGTCACGGTCTGCCACGTCATGGTCTGCCACGTTGAGGCCTGCCACGTCATGGTCTGCCACGTCCTCGTTCCACTCGAGCCCAAGCTCATGGTTCCCTGCGTCGAACTCGAAAAGGCTTCCGCATTCATCTCCATTCTGGAAGCTCAATTCCAGGGTTTCACGCGACGGAATGCTACGAAAATGGTAACCATCTTCGCTGTAACCCGCCGCCAAGGATTCCCCATACTCATCCGTAAGGTTACCCTCCGTCGGGTTACCAGCAGCGCTGCAGGGACGGTCCGTGCTTCTAGACGGTCGGCCGGTGCTCTGCAGGCTGCTGACGTCATCAGGAGCGTGGAGGAGCCGCGGGACGGGTTGGGAGAAGAGCTGCGGGAGCAGATGCGAGAATAGCTGCGATTCGTAGTCCAACGCGGAAAACACGCCGCCGTTGTCGCCGCTTTCCGCGGCTGCAAATTCGGCGTCCGCGTTTCGCCCTGGTGGATGTCCGGGAGGCTGCTTACGTGGAACAATCTCCTGATTTTCTGGAGTGTGAAGCGTGGGACGATCGGAACGATCGGTATCGGAGGCATGACTCTTAGGACGAGAAGAGATTCGATTTGGCAGCGACGGCGAGATCGCTGTCGGCGCTTCGGACATTCACCACCGCAACCCTGCTGTACGCGATAGAGAGCGATCTGGGGCTTCCTAGCATCAGGTAAAGCAAACTTCGAGAATAATGTGAGGGCGCGGCTGCAGCTTCAGGCACCAGAACGTATTATACAGAGCAGGGAAGAGAAATCGATCGACTAGAAAAAAGAAGATTTCGGACACCAATTTTGGCTGCAGATTGCTGTAAGTGAGACACCAGAGAGGCGAGACTCGTGTCGTGTGTCACGAGGCCCGTAAAATGGCGGGTCACTGTACGGATGTGTATGGCTGAGCGCTTTGCGGGATGGTGGAGCTGCAGTGCGTGCGGGAGATGCGAGAAAGAGGCACGAGGAGGCCGTGGGAGGAGACCGTGCCGTGGGAGAGGGAAGAATGCGGTGCGACAGTGAAAGAATTCCCTGCGAGGGGGGAGATAGCCGCGTAAGTCAGGCGTGCGGGGCTGCTGGCTAAGGTTTGATTGGCGGAATGGGAGGGATCGGGTTTCGGAAGCAACGGAACGGTACGCTGAAGGAAGCGGAACGGATAAGCGCAATCGCCTATCACCATAGCAGCGGTTCGTCTGTCCATTAGTGGTCTACAATAATTTACTGCCGAGTGATGCGGCACGGAGGAGCGAGGAGAGGCGGCGGAGTTTGGATGCGAGACGGCCACCACTTGACACAGCAAGCAGAGCGGTGTGCCTGAACGATGTCTCAAACAAACTCCCCGTAAGCCAAAAGAGGCTGATGCTGCCGTTGCTGTGAATGTATCAGCAGCTAAAATGACGCCATGGCTGCGAAGCGAATGTATCAATGGGAATTCATGTGCTCGAGAATACAAGTGCTTGGCTGTCGTCAGCCAAACTCTTCGAACGGTGGTTTCGTCAAAACCTAGGTGCGTTTCTGCTCAGCATCTGAGGATATTAAAATTGCCAAGCGACGAGACGGGTTTGTTTTATTTGTGAAGTAGTTCCACACTACCGAGAAACCAATGACGGGTACAGAGCACTTTGCGATTGAGCGAAGGAACACGAGAAGCTGCTCCTGCTGCTACTGCGCACGACAACGGTCGCGAGCCGTGACTGTGTAACCCCACGACTCTGGAACGTAACATGTCACTTCGTTCCCTTTCTGAAATTGTCCGTCATGTTTTGGCGCAGATTTACCCCCCTTTCGAGACGCAGGTGAAATACCAAATCTCAGTCAGGAGAGCAGGTGAATCTGTGAATCTCAGAGCACCTGAACACAGTGACGGCATTCTTACCTGACCATCACCAACCAGAGCCGGCTCACCCGGGAAGCGCGAACAAAAGAGAAGATTCTGTACAGAACACTAGGCGGTAATGAAGATTCAAGATTGGGTATGGGATGGGAGGAGAGCCAAGGAACGAGGAGAAATATCGCGACGCGACGAGGCCTGCTCTTCTTGAGACCACAGAATCGCTTGCGCGGTTCTTCTTCGTCCACCTCCCCAGACAGTGCCCATCCACGCGATAGTCTTGCTGTAAACGCCAACGCTCACTTCGAGATTTTCTGTTCTGGTACGGAAGCAGTGGAGACGGCTTCCTAGACGAGACACCATCACGCACGAACGATACGCTATATAGTGAATGTATGTCCACGTGTGCTTGCATCTGGCCAGTCACTCGTCCAGGTCCGGCAGCGACGCAACGAGCAACGACCACCCGTACATTTATGGGCAGGAGCCCCCAATCTCTCAGCCACTGACAGTAAGAGAACAGCAGCTTGTGGTTGTTGTGAGCTTGGAACGTCGAGCTCTATACCAAACTCGGAAGAGATATCAGAAACGAGAAGAAGATTCCTAATTGTGTCAAGACTGGAAGGCCATTGCATAGCACAATACTTCATAATAACCAGCCGAATTCCAGTTAGCCACTCTCGCAGCTATACAGAAAGCAGCGAAGCGAAACCAGCGGGGTTTCCGGCACGCGTCTATTATGGCAGCCGCTGCACCACTCCGCGGCGCGCGTAATGCAACCGGTCCCCGGAGTACCGCGGCGCAGGCGCTGCGTCTTCTCCCGCTCCTCCTCCTCTCGCTCCTACTCTCCCAGGCGGCTCGCCCTGCCGCCTCTCAGTCATCCGCGGCGCCCCGCCGCCTTCTCGCCACCGAGACGCCGAGCGACCCCGTTTATATCGTACGCCTTAAAGGAAACTCCGTCGCGGCCGAGATTGGCGGGGACGGGAATAACGGAAACGGCGGAAATGGGGGAGGTAACGGCGGAGGGTACGGGAGGAATGGGCAGCGGCAGAAGATCGACCGGAACTCGCAACGTGTCAAAGACCACGTCAATCGAGTCAAAGCCCAGCACGCTCGAGTCGCGCGCGGCGCGGGGGTTCCCGACTCGGACGTGCTCTACAGCTACGCGTACTCGACCAACGGTCTCGCGGCTCGGCTCTCCAAGCAGCAGAAGCGCGCGTTAGAAGCAGACCCGGAAGTAGCATACGTGCAGGAGAGCAAAGTCCGCAAGCTAGATGTGCTCGACTCGCCGAATTTCCTCAATCTGCCCAACACGCTCTGGAAGGCGAATACCGCCGCGTCGTTGAACGCGGCCGGCGCGGGAACGGTCATTGGGATTGTGGATACGGGCATTTGGCCCGAGCATCCGTCGTTCCAGGACCAGGTGTGTAGAAGTTACGCTGTAACCAGGTGTGAATTGAGTTGACGCATCATAGCGCCCCCTTCAGCACACGCTGTGCCCTTTGATTCCCCCCTCCGCACACGCCCGTGCCAAATTCCCCCCCTCATGTGTCCCCCGGGCCCCTTTTTTTCCTCCCCTAGGCGACCAACCCGTATCCCAACCCCCCCGCCACGTGGACGGGCAAGTGCCAGACCACCTCCGACTTCCCCAAGTGCACGCGGAAGCTCATCGGCGCGCAGTACTTCATCGCGGGGTTCCTCGCCGCGGGCCTGACGTATTACGATCCCAAGGATTGGCTCTCCCCGCGCGACCTGGCGGGCCACGGCACGTGGTGTGCGGGGTAAGACTCATAGATGGGTTACTTGCAATGTACACTGTTTTAGTTGGGTGCTTTCGAATTTCGTACTTCATCTCGGGGTTCCTCGCCGCGAGGCTGACCTACTAAGGCGCTCCTTCCCTTCCCCATCCCGCCTCCTTCCCCATTTTCAGAGCCGCGGCCGGCAACGGCCCCGTCGCCTTCGGATCCCTCAACTCCGTCTCTCCTACGGCTCATCCTACGGCGCCGCGCCGCGCCGTACAAGGTCTCACTGTCCCCTGGTATTCCCATACACTCCCTTTCCCCACTCACCCTCCTTCCCCATTTTCAGAGCCGCGGCCGGCAACGGTCCCGTCGCCTTCGGCACGCTCAACTCCGTCAATCTCGGCTCGTCGTACGGCGCCGCGCCGCGCGCCTTCCTCGCAGCGTACAAGGTGTCGTGGTACAGCACCGCGTACGGCGGCCGCGCCATCACGGATTCCGATATCTACGCGGCGGTCGATACGGCCGTGGCGGACGGGGTGGACGTGCTGTCGCTGTCGCTAGGAGGGATGGATCCGTCGGATACTTATTTCGACGACCTGGGCTATCTGGACGCTCACCTGGTGAGTCACCTGCGCCTTCTCTAGGCCTTCCTCGTTGATACGGCCGTGGCGGACGGGGTGGACGTGCTGTCGCTGTCGCTGGGCGGCATGGATCCTTCGGACACGTATTTCGATGACCTGGGCTATCTGGACGCGCATTTGGTGAGTTTCGACAGCCTTCCTGAGCCTCTCTCGCTTTCGCTGGGCATGGACCCGTCGGAAACGTATTTCGACGACCTGGGCTATCTGGACGCGCATTTGGTAAGTGCTATGCTCTCTCGCCTCCTCGTATTGTTCCGGTATTCTTTCGAATTCTCAAAAACACCCCACGCTTCCCTTCAATCTTTTTGTTCGTTTTACTGCCCGCAAACCTCAACAAGACCCTTCGACCTTCTCCGTGGTTTAGGCTCGCAAGCGTTAGAGAAATCTCATCACTCATCCTCCTCTGCCCCTTGCAACCTCTCTCTCCCCCTCCCATCCCCCTACCAGGCGGGAGTGGTGGTGGTGAAATCGGCTTCCAACTACGGTCCTCCACCCTTTCACCCCTCTCTCTACCGCGCCATCTCCAACTTCTCGCCCTTCTTCCTCACTGTTGGCGCCAGGTAAATCTCCAGGTGATATTTTTAGGTGGTTTCCCTCCCCTTACCATTCATTCATCCTTCCTCCGTGGTGCAAAATTCCTCTGATTCCCCGCCCCCCCCTCCCCCTCCCTCTCCCCCCCTCCCTTTACCCTTATTCCGCAACCTTCCTCATCTTAACTCTCTTCTCCGGCCACCTCTCCGTCCACCTCCCTCCCCCTTCCCATGGCTGTTTCCCCCTGGGCACGCTAGCATCTCTTATTTCATTCCGCCTCCATCTCCCTTCCCCCTTGCATTTGCATGCGCTTACCTCAAACAGCCTTGATTATCCCCCCAAATCCTTTCCGCCTCCATCTCCCTTCCCCCTTGAATGCGCGCAGCTCTATCAGCCGTCGTTACAACGCGTCGCTCACCCTCGGTAACGGCACCGTGATTTACGGAAACGGGTTTGGCGGTTTATGGGTGCCAACACCCCCCTCATCGACGCGGCTAAAATTCCTGCTGCGGGCTACGGTGCATCTACAGTAAGTAAAAGGGAGAAAGTAAGATGTTCCGTTCTCTTCTAATGCTGATTGGTTCGCCTAACTTTCGTTTGCCTTGTCAGTGCATATACACTACGATTTGTTTCTCTTATATGTACCGTCAAAACCACTTGTTGGTTGACACCGTTGGCTCTGGAATACAATGCATCTAGGCGTATAACCTACTCTATTTTTCATAGTTGTTATGTCTCTGAAAACAAATAACCTGCCCGCATTGATTAGGTTATATTCACCTTGTCCATTCCGGATGAGCCAAGTGTTGTAAAGCCTCCCTCGATTCCGTTGATTAACATTCTCTTCTCCTGCATTCCCTTCCCTCTTTCTCAACAGGCCAAGTACTGCAAATATGGTTCGCTCGACCCAGTCTGGGTGGCATGGCGCATGGTGGTGTGCTTATACGGAGGGGGAGTGAGCAACGACGAAAAGGCAGCAGAGGTGGCACGCGGCAAGGGCTTAGCTCTGCTTATAGTGAATGTGATGCCGGCAGATGAGGCGTCAATTACCCGATACGGCACCCTCCCTGCAATGACTCTCTTCCCTCCTAACGATGCTATTCTTAACGAGTACCTGCTGTCAGCAAGGTATGCGGTGTGGTGTGTCTGGTATCTGCCAGTAGCCATGCTGCTTTTTAAATGCTTTCCACCCTTGCCCTCTTTCTTTACCTCCCCTCACTGCACTTCCCCTCGCCCTCCATCCCCTCCATCGCCCTTTATAAACTCTCCCTTAAAAAATGTCCATTGTGTTTCAACTGATCGCTTACGCTCTACTTTCATTCAAACTCTCACCCCCTTCACGCCTCTCCCCACCCATTTCATTATTCCTCCCAGCCCCACAGGCACCATGTCTTACGGTTGCGTTCAAACCACCGCTGGCACCGCAGCAGCCATGGCCTACTTCTCTTCCATCGGCCCTCTCGTCCTCCCCTCCACTGTCCCTCCTCCCTCGTTCCCCACCAACGATATCTTAAAGCCCGATATTATTGCTCCGGGGTATAACCTCTGGGGTGCTGCTACCGGAACGACCCCGGGTGCTGCTATGTCGACAGCAACTAAGGCTTTAATGAGTGGGACGTCCATGTCTACACCACAAGTTGCGGGAATTGTGGCGCTTATAATGCAGAATAGGACTGATTGGACGCCGTCGCAGGTGATGTCGGCACTTATGACGACGGCTAACGTGAAGAATAACAAGGGTGTGGCGATTAAGAGTTACAATAATACTGCAGCGACGCCGTGGCAAATGGGAGCTGGACACGTGGACGCGAGCAAGGTCCTGAACCCGGGCCTTACGTACAGTCTCACCGGGCAGGATTTCTACAACTTTTTGGCCGGGCAAAATCTGACAATTGCCCAGTCGCTGGTTACTGCTGATACTGTTCTGACGCCGATTCCTGCTTACAACCTCAACCGACCGACGATTTCCGTGGGACGGCTTATAGGGAGTCTGACTGTAAAGAGGACGGTCACGAGTGTGGGGAGTGCAGTGTCAACTTACAATGCTACTGTAGTTACTCCTACAGGGGTTACCACGGTGGTTACGCCAAAGTCCTTCACGATTGCACCCGGCGAGTCGGTGACGTTCAACGTAACGTTCAAGGTGGTAACCGCGTACAATTATTTCAGGTACGGGAGTCTGACGTGGAAGGATGGTAAGAGTGTGGTTGTGTCTCAGATTGCCGTGGTTCCCTGGTCTGTCTGACCCTGGTTAACTGGGGTGTACTTTGTACCAGTATCGGTCTGTCACTGCTGGATGGCAAACTGTACTTGCATTGTGGTGGGTCAAAAGTTGTTTGTGTTTGATTATGTATGACATATGTACGGTATGTGAAATTGACGGAGAGTTAGCATATTGTGGTTTATTGGCTCTGCGTGTTCGCTTAATCCTGCTCAGTCATTTACCAGCTTTGGTGGGGTATCCGAGGGGGTTAGGTTATGGAGAATGCCAGCCACTTCATGCTGCAACATTACTACTGCTTGTAGTTTCTGTTTGTCCATGCACTACTGAATATTTCCCTGCAAATATATTAAACTTGAACCAATAAGAGAACTTTACTATGGAACTTCTGAAGAGTGTAATATTAGAAATTTCATTAGTCAACGCGAAGCTGACAGTAACGCAGACCAGTCCCGCTAAACGCAAGCAGCACATCAACGATGTAAATGGATAACGTTATATGAATTTTATCCGAATCCACTCATCCTGCACAACCAAGAAATTGTTCAGGTGGGATGCGAAGCCCCAAAGACAACCGGATTGTTGTGACTTTGTCCCTCTTGCTTCACCCGTGGTCTTCTACAGCAAAACCCTAGCCTCCCCACCCCCCTCAACCCCCACAGAACCCCCCACACCCCGCAGAACCCTTTTTCTCCACTCTTGCGCACATGCACTCGTCCTCTCCTCCACGCTCCGCTCTCTCCTCCCTCGCGCTGCCTTTTTCCTTCGCTTCTGCTCTTAGATTCCTTCCTCTCCCTCCTCACGAGTTAGCTTACCCTAATCGCACCTAGGGTTAATTCCTCCACCCACGTCGTCACCATGGTGCGTGCACTTACGCTTTAATAGTCTTTATCTTATTCCATAGACTTCGATTTTCCGCGGTCTACTTAGACGTACTGCCAGAATTGCATTAAATATAGTTTGAGTATGTGCAACTTGAAAAAATCAGAGCTGTTGCGGGTTTCGCCTGTTCTGTCGGGTGTTTCTTTCCTGCGGGCTCATTCCCATTATTTTTTTCTGCGTGGCGCGTTGTGTGTCGGGGCCAAAAGCAAATTAGGGTTTGGCCCACGTCGGCAAGCCTTTCCGCATTCACCCGTGCACAAGGCGCACGTAGCCGACCGACTTGCGTCTAGCTCGCGTCGTTGTCGTTAAGACTTGCGTCCAGCTCGTAGTAAAAGACGCATTTCAGACATTTGTCTTACAACGTGTTGCCTCGAGTCTCGGAAACACGGCTGTGAGCGAATAGATATCTAAACTGCCGACGTCTCTGTCTCGCTTCCCCTCTTTCCCATCTCGTCAATCTTGAAAACTCCTTGCCAATGACCGGCAACATTCGCCTTCGTGCTTTTGAAAGCGCAGACTCTCCATTCTCCTCCGCCACACCCCGCCATCCCCTTTTCCCTTTTCTTATCCGCTGAGCCCACGTGCCTTCCCGCCATCCAAAGCATCATCCACAAAAATAATTAGTTCCCTCTCACGCCTCACCTGCCGTTCCTATTCCGCTCCCCCACTTCTCTGCACCCTTTGCCCCCTCCACTAACCCGTCCCTCACAGTGCTGCCGACTCAATCTTCCAGCCGAAGCAAGGATTTCCTCCTCACGCCTCCCTTCCTTTTCCCTCACGCTCCCCTTCGGCTCCCCTTCGGCTCCCCTTCCGCTCCCCTACCGCTCCCCCGCATCCTTTCCACCGTTTCCCCCGCCGCTGCCCCCTCCGCTGCCCCCGCCTTGGCCCCTTTCCCCTCAACCCTGACAATTCACGCTTGCAGCCGAAGCAGATCCACGAGATCAAGGACTTCCTCCTCACGTCTACCTACCCCCCCTTTCTCCCCTCTTCACCTCCTCTCCCCTCCCCCCCTCCCCCCCCACACACACCTTACGATTCACGCTTGCAGCCGAAGCAGATCCACGAGATCAAGGACTTCCTCCTCACGGCGAGGCGGAAGGATGCCCGCTGTAAGTCTTTGGTTGATTTATCTCCTGATCTAATATGTCAGGCTTTTTCCAAGTCCCTCTCGCTTTCCCTTCCTACCTCGCTGACTCACCAGTCGCCTAAACAGCTCCTTCAGTGATGCTCTGTTGGTCAAGCGCAATTTGCTCCTCCCCTCCCCTAACCTCACCCACCAGTTGCCTTCAAAATTCGTTCGCTGCTGCTCTGACCATCCATTCAGTGACCTTTGAAATTCAAGTCCGTAACCGTCAAGTGCGATTCCGTTCAACCCCCTCCCCGTCACTGTCCCTCCCTCCCGAACCAACCCGTCATCTTTACCTCTCCCACCTCTCATTTAACCTCGACTCACTGCTCCCTCCTCCTCTCCTCCCTCCCCTCCCCTTCTCTCTTGCAGCCGTGAAGATCAAGAAGACCGTTTACGTGGTGAAGTTTAAGGTGCGATGCTCCACGAGCACCAAATCACCTCCTTTTTGCCTTTTTTATTTTTCTTTTCTTTTCCTACCTGCTCCCCTCCTCTCCTCTCTGGTTCCCGCCCCACCCCCCCCCCCCCCCCCCCCCCCCCCCCTCTCCAGCCGTGAAGATCAAGAAGACCGGAGACGTGGTGAAGTTCAAGGTGCGGTGCTCCAAGTACCTCTACACGCTCTGCGTCACAGACAGCGACAAAGCGGACAAGCTCAAGCAGTCGCTGCCCCCTGGTATGTTGTAGGCGATATTGAGGATTATTTTACTGTGCGATGCTCCACCTCTACACGCTCTGCGTCACCGACAGCGACAAGGCGGACAAGCTGAGTCGCTGCCCCGGGTATGTGTTGTTCGCTCTGTTTGGGATGTATTGTGCGTGTTCCCATGTTATCTTGTGCACCTTTGCACCTGCTTCACCACATGAGCCCAAGCACAACCCCAATTCTCACAGATTCCCATTTGCAGCTTTATAAATTAAGCAGGGGTATCTCGAGTACAGGTTGCTTCAGTGCTGAACGGTTAGGTTTCGCATCTACAGTGCCGGACATGTGGACACAGCTTAGAACAATGCCGGAGTTATAGATTCAGTGCAGAAGTTTCAGTGCAGCAAGCTCCTCTTAATGCTACTGCTCGGGTTAGGTAGTCCGGTTAGTGCAGGAAGCTAAGATTCAGGTAGTCTATTTCATCCAAGCAAGCCTGGATCCCAAGGGGGTTGTTTCAATGCAGCAGACTTAGATCGGTGCAGCGAGCTTAGATTCAGGAAGTCTTTCAGTGTAGCGCCAAGATAGGGGTTGCGTGCGGATTTTCCAAGTTCATGAAGGTAGCAGGTTCTACGTTTGAATGTCGGAATGCAGGCGGGTAGCGACGGGTATGTAGGGGTCGTTTGAATGCATTCTACGAATCTCGGTCAAGCGTTTTTTTCTCGGTAGCAAAAGCTGATTGGCTGACTCTGGCCAATTGTAGCCCTGAAAAATCCAGTGGTTTCGGGCTTTTGTGACTGGCGACAATGAGCTGGGGCTCGAAAGTTTTCAGACTAGACTGACTTTTTTTTTCAATGAAATATTTACTGTGGAATTTGCTGTACAACGTATTCATCGTACAGCACAGGAACTCTGATCTGTTCTCCACTTATTATAATTCTCTTTCTCCCCCTACCCGCTTACTTCCTCCCTCCCCCCCGCAGGTCTGCACGTTCAGGACATTTGAATCTGATGAGATGCAGCAGAGACATGAAATGCAGAGTGAGGCACATAACCACTGATGTAGTAGCGCTGGCAGGGACCACTGTTCCTGGTCATGACAGAGTGGTTGAATGCGTTTGAGCGGTTGCTGCTGCTCTGCTGCTGGGCTCTTTGCTGTGGCTCTGGGATTTTGATGCCCTGGCTTGTGCCAGCTGTATTTGCATCTTTGGCTGTGCTCCCCAATTAGTCTCTGTACGCCAGAATGTTGAAATTGAAGAAAGCATTTACACCTAAACCTGTGTACACGGTATGATAACAGGTTGGTTGCTTGTTACTTGCTAGTACATACACTGGTAGCGGGATCAAGACACTTTTCTGCTGAGCATCCAGGAGTATATTATTACATCATTATTATTATATCATGGTTAAAAATCTATGCTCTTCGATTGCAGAAATCGAGATAGAAAACAAGTGGCCATGGCTTGGGGCCCCGTACCACTGCATGTATCGTAATAATGAACCATGCTAAAACATACTAAACCGCCCTCTAAATCAAACAAACCCAAATGTTCTCCCGCACTGCAGCTGCCACACAGCCGCTTGCCTGTCGAGGCGGACCACATGACAGGCCCACTCTGAAAGCCTCACTTGGAGCTCTGGCCGGACTTAGGCTTGCCTGAAATGCCTTGTGTTGGCTTGCATCATAAATTATTGGCTGGAAACCCGGGCCGACGCTACGGCCCTAAGCAAGCCCTGATGTTCGGCGGCCCACGTGGAATTCGAGTGAGGCGAATAGGTTATCCACCGGGTCTGGGTGAGAAGAGATGCACAGCACAATCCATCAACCCGAGTCCACAGCCAGGGCACATGCTACCCACATGACAGGTTGGAACCTGCCCTCATCTGACCATCCCATACAGTACATTACGGTACTGTACATTTCTATGGGATGGGGTTTGGTGGGAAGGGGTGATAGGTCTGGTCCGGCATATTGCTGCTGGCGCTGCTGCTCCAGGTGGCCCTCATCGCTAGAGAATTTAGGCAGATGGTGTGGGCTGGGGGTTGGGGGGAGGGGTATTGAGAGAACGCGATGCCCGGGCCGGGGGTTAGGTCGTCTTTAGCAGGCGAAGGCGTGAATGGTGGATGCGGAGAGAACCGCGGGTTTCAATAGCCTCGCGTCTCCAAGCCTCCGTCCAGCCAGGCCAAAACGGAAACTGAACCAGGTCAATGGCTTGTTAGCCGTCCTTGCCGTACCTCACACTTCGGCTGCAGCATCCAAGGGCGCAAGGAATCCACCAAACCAGAACAAACCCCACCCCAGGCGCAAGCCATCCTCAAGCCTCAGCGGGCTACCCCCACTTTTCCCACCCCCCCCTCCCCCCGCACCCGCGCCCGCGCCCGCGCGTCGTACAGTACACAGCTGCACCATGCTCCGCCTCCGCTGTACAGGTCACTCAGGCATTCTTTCTGTCCGCCTGCCCGACACCCACCCTGCCCGGCATGGCCGAATGCTATCCATCCCTGCCCCTTCCCCAGACAACCCTTCCCCAAAACCAAGATTGCCCAGGGCGGGTCATTTTCGTCCAATCACAACTGACCTGGTTCGTTCTGGTGCGCAATGGTCTAAAGCGGTTGAAACCTGAACCGCTCTGAAACGTGGTAAAACGTATTGAACCACAGTCTGTTCATCAGTGCTTGAGCTGTGCAAGTCTTGATTGTGCAAGGCTTGAGAATCTGGCTGGCTTCAGAACTTCAAGGTTGTTATCACTCTCTTCAGACCACTAAGTTTATGCAGTGCTGATAAATCAAGTGAGCTAGATTGTCAAGGGTGCCTCAGTATTATATGTTCGACCGCTAGTTAAGCCGCTTCGGTTTATTACTACCTTCTTGTTGCAACGCGGAAAACGTCGACTTTGGTACTGAGTGAGTGGATAAGTCCTTGTTTCCGTCTTGACATTCATGGCGTCGCCTTTTTACCAACAGATCGGCGTAGATTTTGCCAGTTTTCACCCCCTTGCGGAGAATCCCCGTCCTATGCTGAGTCAGCAGCCATATCCTCCACATCAGCTGCATCATCCGCCATTTCAGGCACAAACGCCGCATCCGCTGATGTCAAATGAAGCGGTTCCTTCACAAGGCGGCCCTCAAACCACGCCGCAACTCATGATGAATCTGAACCAAGCGATGGTCGATCCCGGCGGCTCCGGTTTCGCTTCTGGTGCTCCATCTGGTGCTCCTTCTAATGATCCGTCTGGTGGTGTTCTTGGCTTGTCTTCCTCCCCAGAAGCTCTAATGAATGCCCTCAATTTGCTTCAGCAGGTACGGTTCTATGAATGCTACATCGTCCATTTTCCTCCATCTCTTTCCGTTTGAAGACTCAGTTGTACCTTCCCTATATGTGCTACTCGACACCTATCATGGAGTTTTTACTTAAACGCTTGTTTCTGGTTTGTTGTTCCAAACATCTCTTGCATCGTTCTTTTCAAGGTCATGTATTCGTTTCCGCCTTTTCTCTCGATTTCGTTGTCCGCAGAACATCAGCGCGCTTCAGTCGCTCATCCCGTTGATGGCGCAGCAGCAGCAGCAGCAGCCAATCGACAGCGCTCACGCGGAGCAGCTAAAGCAGCAGCACGCTGCCGCGTCGGCCGGAATCGCGTCCGTCATTTCCCAGCTCGCGCTCGCCGCGGCCAACATCCTTCCCCAAATGGGCCTTCCCGCGCCCGTTAATGTCACCTCGGCTATGATTCCACCCGCTAATGTCACATCTGGTGCTTTCCAGTCCGGAAATTCCAACGTGGGAAGTCTCCAAATATCGTCTGTCCAGCCGAGTCACCCCGGCGTGGCGGCGTTTCCGTCTCTTGACCCGCATCCTGATCTTAACAATCTTCAGCAACATCATCAACCAATCCTGGAGCACCAATCCCCGCAGACCCCACCGGGAGCTCCGGCGGGCTTCGGCTCCCAATCGCGAAGCGTGCGGAACACTGATAAGGCTTCGGCTCAGCTGCAACTGGGTCTTGCTCCCTTGACCCCTGCTCTCGGCGAGTCGTTCAAGATGCAGCACGAGCAGCATCACATTCATCCGCAGCAGCAGCAGCAGCAGCAGCAGCAGCAGCAACAGAACCCCGTATTTGCACCGCATGGGACCGCCTCTCCAGGCGACGACACGTCGCCACTCGCAATCGCGTCGCAGCTGCCGCGGAAACGGAAGAGCCTCGAACCAGTGACGGTGGCTCCAGCTGCTGCTGCTGCTCTCGACTCGCGTCAGAGCAGGCTCGCGACCTCCCCGGGTGGCGATGAAGCTGACGACGACGAGGGCGAAGTGTTGGCTGGTGAGTCTGTGGGGCTCGTCAGCTGCTGCTGCTTTCCACGCGCGTCAGGGCAATTCCGTGACTCCCCCGCATGTCCCTGTGCTGCGTTCGTTAATGCGTGCATGGCTTCAGTTCAGAGGGCGAGTTCAGCATCGTCCTTGGGGAACTCAAAGAAAATTACTCCTATCACTTGTCGCTTGCACACCTCCCATACCCCTTGTCTCTCTATATGCTGCCTTCATCAATGCGTGCATGGCTGCAGAAGGCGATTTCAGCATCATCCAGATGGACCCTGTAGAGCTGCTGGCGGAGCACACACACTTCTGCGAGATCTGCGGCAAAGGTACCATCGCGTGTTAACAGGATGTGAGGCAAATGTGAAATCTCTTTGCATCGGGAACATGTGTTTCATCCAACACCCCATTGGATCCTGTTAAATTCTTACTTGGCATTTGCATTTTGCATTCTGACTTGCCGTTTGCATTTTGCATTCTGACTTGGCGTTTGCTATCTTTGCAGGATTCAAGCGTGACGCCAACCTCCGCATGCACATGAGAGGCCATGGCGACGAGTACAAGACGTTAGAAGCCCTCGCAAACCCTGACAAAACCATGCTCTCTCGGACAAACACCACTGCCGCCGAGAAAAAACCGGTCAGATACAGCTGCCCGTTTGCAGGGTGTAAGCGCAACCAGCAGCACCGAGCTTTCCTGCCGCTGAAGACGATGCTGTGTGTGAAGAACCATTACCGCCGCACTCACTGCCCCAAGATGCTCGCGTGCTCCAAGTGCGGTGCAAAGCGGTTCTCGGTGGTGGCGGACCTCAAGACCCACGAGAAGCACTGCGGGCGCGACCGCTGGCTGTGCTCCTGCGGCACGTCCTTCAGCCGCAAGGACAAGCTGCTCGGCCACCTCGCCCTCTTCAAGGGCCACCGCCCCGCCAACCCCTCTCTCACTGCAGTGGACGATGGGCCTGTCGGCGTTAAACCCACAGTTGCTGCTGCTCCAGGCGATGCTGCTGCCGTATCTCCCATGCTTTTCGGATCTTCCTTCCAGCAAGCTGAGCAACATCCTGGGTACCAACCTGGATGTTTACCTGAAGAACAACCTGAGCAACGTGCACTCTCAGACCTTGTCACGGCGGATCTCCTGGGCTCAGCTGAGAAGGCTGCACGGCTAGTGCTGTGAGTGCAGCGGGATTCGCGTACAGTGCATCTCATCTCATGATTCTTCATAATCCATGTCCGCAGAAGCTGTTGAGTCAACTCATAATTGCACTCAGGCTGCACGGCTAACTGGTGGTGTGAGTGCACTGGGATTCGCCTACATTCCATCTCATTGGATGACTCATCACGAACCGTGTGCGCCGAAGCTGTTGAGTCGACTCTGAACAGCGATAGCCTGTGCGCCTGGGTCTGTGGATCTTGTGGAATCCACCTGCCATAGCAGTGCATTTACCACCCCTGCGGCTCAACCATGCTTCAAGGCTGCACAGCTCATGCCGTGACTAGGGATGCTGCTGGGGAGGCTGCTGAGTCAACTCTTAACAGCACCAGGCGGCATGGTTCCTGCTATTCCTGCTGTGTATACACTTGTATCAAGACTGTGGTGCAAACTTCCACGGCGATTCATGCCTCACAGCATGGCATGAACTGACAGCCTAGCACAGGAAATTCAGCAGGTTGACGCGTTCGCTGCACTGCATCATTCGTGTCTAGCTGGCTTGTGGACTGATGAATGTGCCCTGTGATACTAGTGAATATTGATATATAGTGCCCATAGAGGGCACATGAATACGGTGCAAAGAAGTCACTACCACAATGTTTAGGGCTTAACACCGGAAACCCTTTTAGGAAATCGGTGTCTAGCTAATAACTGCCATTCCTGTGTAGGTGATGAAGGTACATGCCCGGTGAAGATTTGCCACAGAATATCAACGCATGTAGGAGAGAAAAATCTGATTTGTTATGGCTATTTCAATTGACTTTACAAGCTCCATACAAAGCAGGACCAGTAGCACAATCCTCCAATCTATCAGCTTGATTTGTGGGCTCTAAACCCGCCTGGTCCCTTTTCCCGCGCGTCTCAAATCCACATCTTTTCCCTCAAATTGATTTTGTACGGGAGTGTAACCCTTTGCATTTTTACGGCCTGGACGGCCTTTCTCGCGGAGGTTTACAGGGTATAGCGCCTGTATGAAACACAATCTGAGATCTCAAGAAGCATGATATCGTGTAAATATTCGCTTGAACGGACATCCGGACCGTGACAATGCAAAAAAAGAAAAAGAAAAATCCCTTGTTAAATTGGGTAGCAGTAACAAAGAAACAGCACATCAACATCAGCCACAGTTAAGGAATTATAGCATTCAGATGTTTAACGCTCTTGAGACGGCTCAACAGCAGTCCACCCCCTAGTGGCCCGTGGCTTGCTGTTGAAACACCTCAAGAAACTCACGAGCAGTCACAGAAAAGAATACAAGATAAGAGTTATGATGCGGTGTGAGTGAGGCAGTGAACGGGAAGGGAATCTACGGGAAGAGAAGAAGGGATGAATGACTGCATTGTCCGCAGTAGGTGTGGGAGGGAGGCATTGCACTTTAAAGAAGAGCTTGCAACTTCGACGTGCAATGCTGCTGATAAATCCTGCTGCTGCTGCTGGGGCAGCTGTCGTTGCTGCTGAAGAAAGCGCATAGACATGCCTCACACAATGCTGCTGCTCCTATGGAACGGGTATCGACACAGCGGCACAAAATGCTGCTGCGGCCGCGGCTGCTGGTGTTGCTGCTACTGTTGGAAGTAGATTGATGCGCGTCACACAATGCTGCTGCTGGTGATGTTGCTGCTGTGAAAGGCAGACCTGAACCGAGTGTAAGACCGCGACCCTGCTGGTGCTCCTGCTGTGTTGTAGGCAAGTGGAGGAAGGCTGGGAGTATTTCCACTAGCACCCGTGCCAGCAACAGCAACAGCAGCAGCAGAAACCACCCCTCCTTCCATCCCCCCTGGTTGGTACGACACAGGTATCGCCGCATTGCTGCTCCCATTCCCTCCTCCCACCCCTCCACTCCCGGTCCCGCTACTGCTCCCATCCCCGGCACTCATCACCCCCTGACTCCCCCCCAATCCGCTGCTGCTGCTCCCCTCCCCGCTGCTCGCAAACGTGATATTCGAGTGGCCCAACCCGGGCGGCGGGTGGCCGGCAGCCGCCTCGAGCTGGATGGCGTGGTTTAACTCGAAGCAAACGTCCGAAATGCTCGGGCGGTTGAAGCTCTTTGGTTCGACGCACACCACGCCCACCTCTGCCACCCGCCACATGACCTCTATGTCGAATTCCGATGGGGAGAGCGTCGGGTCTATTATGGCCTCTATCTGCCCCTGCTGCAGCCGGGAGCGTACCTGCAGAGGGCATAGGCCGTGGGGCATAGGGGGAGGGAAGGGCAGGGCAAGGGGTGAAAGGATTAGTGGCAGCACACACCACACCACGCCCACCTCGGCCACGCGCCACATGACTTCAATGTCGAATTCGGATGGGGAGAGGGTCGGGTCTATTATCGCTTCTATCTGCCCCTGCTGCAGCCGCGACCGCACCTGCACGGGTTTGGAGTGTGTGGGGAGGAGGAGGGAGAGAGGGAGAGGGGGAGGGTTGTCGATCGGTTGCCGCCCAGAAATCAGCTCCAGCAGCACCCATTCAATCCATTCAACCGCAGTCAACCCTGGTCAACCCTGCTCAACCGCAGTCAACCGTCACTCACCCAGTCAATAATGCTCCAGTCATCCCTCGGCCGGTTCAAGTCGATTGGCTGCCGCCCAGAAATCAATTTCAGCAGCACCCAGTCAATCCCAGTCAACCCTAATCAACCGTTTCTCACAAGTGAACTTCAGTCAACCGTCACTCACCCAGTCAATGATGCTCCAATCATCTCTTGGACGGTTCAGATCGATCGGTTGCCGCCCGGAAATCAATTCCAGCAGCACCACTCCAAAGCTGAACACGTCACTGCGATCCGTTAACTGCTGCACCGTGTAATACCTGATTGGAGGGATGTGGGGGAATGAAGAGGAAAGAGAGGAGGTAAAGAGGACAGGGGTTAAAAGCCCGGAAATCAGTTCCAGCAGCACCACTCCGGAATATCACGTTTACTGGTGGGATGACCGGCTCGCAGAAGGAACCTTTTTAAACTGGTACCTCCACTTGCCGGGTGCTCTGTCAGATCTCGTGAATGCACAGAATCGGGCTGAGCAGCCCAGCAGCAGCAGCAGCAGCCCGATTCTGTGCATTCACGAGATCTGACAGAGCACCCGGCAAGTGGAGGTACCAGTTTAAAAAAGTTCCTTATGCGAGGCGGTCATCCCACCAGTCCCGCATTAACTGCCGATTATTCCTGATGGATGCAATTTCTGCATCCGCCAGGTATTCCTCGACCAGGAAAACCATGTCAACATCCAGGTATTCCTCGACCAGGAAAACCATTGGTAAACTAGTTTCGGCCTTTTCAAGCCTTCATCAGAGAGCATGGGCTTTGCACGCACAGGGGGAAGAAAGACTTACTCAGGGTCGAGGTATCCAGCTGTGCCCTTCACGTTGGTGGACACGTGGGTGCGGCTCACAGAGCCCTCCCTGGACAGCCCAAAGTCGGCCACGTGGGCTCTCAGGTTGGCATCGAGGAGAATGTTGCTGGTCTTGATGTCCCGGTGGATGATGGGGGGGGTCATGCCCGTATGAAGGTACTCGATTCCTGTAAGTCACAATGTATGGATGGGATGACGTACGGATGAGACAGGAAAAGAGAGGGTTGGTTCTGTAAGGGTAAGGGCTCTCAGTTAGCGTCTAGGAGAATGTTGCTGGTCTTGATGTCCCGGTGGATGATGGGAGGAGTCATGCCCGTGTGGAGGTACTCTATGCCTGCATGTGTGGATGGGGATGGGATGGGATGATGCATGGATGGGACATGAGAAGGAGGGTTGGTAAGGGGAAGGGATAGCACCGTCCCATCCCACACCGTCCCATCCCATGCGGCACGAACTCATACACCAACCAACACCTGCTGCTGTGTGCCCAGCCTCGCGGCATGTGCTCCCACCAACCAACACCTGCTGCTGTGTGTGTGCCTAGCGGCATGGCATGCACTCTCTCACACACACAGGGCAAGGACTTCCACTCACACGCACCTCTGGCACCATTCAGAGCGATGTGCAGCCGCTGCAGCCAGCGCAGGTGCCCCAGGGGGTTCCCAATTGAGTCGTACAGATGGTCCCTCACAGTGCCATGCGGCATGAAGGGCTTTCTTACGCAGGGACTCGCACACACGCACCTCTGGCACCATTCAGAGCGATGTGCAGCCGCTGCAGCCAGCGCAGGTGCCCCAGGGGGTTCCCAATTGAGTCGTACAGATGGTCCCTCACAGTGCCATGCGGCATGAAGGGCTTTCTTACGCAGGGACTCGCACACACGCACCTCTCGCAGCATTCAGAGCGATGTGCAGCCGCTGCAGCCAGCGCAGGTGCCCCAGGGGGTTCCCAATTGAGTCGTACAGATGGTCCCTCACAGTCCCATGCGGCATGAACTCATACACCAACACCTGCTGCCCGCTCTCCCGTGCTGTCTCCACCTTCACCCATCTCACCTCTAGCGGCATTCAGAGCGATGTGCAGGCGCTGCAGCCACCTCACTCTCACACACACGTCACGCACTGCTCTGCCTAGTGGCATACTCTCACACTCCCACGCACCTCTGGCAGCATTCAGAGCGATGTGCAGGCGCTGCAGCCAGCGCAGATGTCCGAGAGGGTTCCCAATGGAATCATATAAATGATCCCTCACAGTCCCATGCAGCATGAACTCGTACACCAACACCTGCTGCTGTGCCTAGTGGCATGCACTCTCACCTCTAGCGGCATTCAGAGCGATGTGAAGGCGCTGCAGCCACCGCAGATGCCCGAGAGGGTTCCCAATGGAATCATATAAATGGTCCCTCACAGTGCCATGCGGCATGAACTCGTACACCAACACCTGCTGCCCGCTCTCCCGGCAGAATCCAATCAGATCCACGAGATTCGGGTGGCGCGCGCGGGACAGCAGGTCAACCTCGTTATAAAACTCCTTCTCGCCTTGTAACGAGTCCTCGTCGCGCTTCTTAGCAGCAACCATCCGGCCGTCAGGGAGAATGCCTTTGAACACGGGTCCGAACCCGCCTGAGCCGATTATGTGGGAGGGGTGGAAGTTGGCAGTGGCTGCTGCAAGGTCTGCGAGGGAGAATCGTCGCACGTGGGAGCCTGGAGAGACAAAGAGGATCATCGAGTCCACAGCTGGTGCTGCTGGTGCTGCCGGTGCTGCTGCTGCTGCTGCTGCTGCTGCTGCTGCTGCTGCTGCTGCTGCTGCTGCTGCTGCTGCTGGCGCTGCTGCTGGCACTGCTGCAGGTGCTTCTGCAGAGAAAGACTGATCATGGGCCTTGGAGCTATCTACAGAGATGCCGTTCTGGGTCACACTACTGCCACCCAAACCCACTGCTGCAGCAGCAGCAATAGCTGCTGCCCCAGCTGCTGCTGCAGCGGCACCACCACCAATAATACCACCAACACCAGCAGCACCAGCAGCATCAGGGACAGATGTGCTTGCAGCCGTGTCGGTTGTTGTAGCAGACGATGCACCCATGCCAGACCCGAGAAGCATCGAGGAATTTTCGCTCGCTCCAAGCAACGGCGTTGTAGACTCTGCAGCTGAAACAGCAGCAGGTACCTTCACCGCTCCAGCCCCTACCCCTAACCCTGCTGCCCCTGTTGCTGCTGCCCCTGTTGCTGCTGCTGCTGCTGCTGCTGCTGCTGCTGCTACTTTTCCATCTCCTCCCTTCTCCCCATTACCATCAACAATTACTTGAACCAACCCCACCTGATCATGCCCCAACAACGCCTCCCCTTGCCTTTTACCATCATATCCCCCTCCTCCCCCTCCTCCCCCTCTTCCTCCTTTCCCTTCCTCATCCCACCCTCCCCGCCCTCCCTTCCCCTCCCCACTCCCCCCCTTCCCTGCCTTCTCCTCCCCATCCAATCCCATCCCCCCCGAATACGCCTCTGCCGCCCGCCTAGCCCTCTGCATTTTCTGCCAGCGCCACAAGACAAAAGTCGCCGCCGCGACTATACAGATGCCCAGGATTATGCCTAAAACGAGGAAAATCAGCGCCACAGTGCTCATAGCAGGGGCGGAAGAGGAGGAGGAGTCGGAGGGAGGGGAGGAGGAAGAGGAGGAGGAAGAGGAGGAGGGAGAGGGGGAGGTGACTGGAAGGCCGGAATTGGAGCAGGCGGGGAGGTTGAATGCTCTATCCGGGTGGCAGAGGTAGTTGTTGCCCTCGATGCTGCAGGAAAGAAGAGCGCAAAGAGAAGGGAGCAGAGAGGGATGGGGAAGTGGGTGGAAGGTTGGGGGATCTAGCCAGTCTAGGCAAGGGGGTTGAATGCTCTATCCGGATGGCAGAGGTGGTTGTTGCCCTCGATGCTGCAAGGAAGCGCAGAAGGGTGGAAGGTTGGAGGTCGGAAGGGGGGCAAGTAAAGGTGAGAAGGGAGCGAGAAGGGGAGAATGGAGGGGGAGGAGAGAAGGGAGAGAAAGGGGTAAAGGGAAGGGGTAGAGAAGAGAGGGGGGGAGAGGAAGGGGAATAAGGGAAGCGGGGAAGAAGAGAGCTCGAGATGCTTACTTGATATCGATACTGACAGTGGGAAGGAAATGGAAGAAGAGAACGGGGGAGATAAGGGAGGGAAGAGATAAGGGATGGAAGAGATAAGGGATAAAGAGACAGAGATAAGGGAGGACGAGTAGAGGAAGAAATGCTTACTTGATGTCGATGCAGACTGTGGGAGGGTAAGGGAAGCAGAGAATGGGGTAGAAGCTAAGGGAAGGAAAGAAAGGGGCAGAAGCAAGGGAAGGAGAGAAGAGGTGAGGGAGGAAGAGTAGAGGGGGAATCGCTTACTTGATGTCGATGCTGATTGTGGGAGGGAAAGGAAAGGGCCCTGAGAGGTTGTTGTTGCTGAGGTCCCTGGAGGGGGAGAGGGGGAGGGGGAAAGAGGGAGAGATATGGAGAGGTGGAGAGTGGTAAGAACGAAGGGGAAGCGAGAGTGGGGAGAGGACAATGAAACGGCCCTGAGAGGTTGTTATTGCTGAGGTCCCTGCAGAGGGAGAGGGGGAGAGGGAGAGGGGGAGAGGGAGGGGGAGAGAGAGAGTGCGTGTGTGTGAAAAGGGCAGGAGGGAGGCGAGTGAGGAGGGAGGGATGAGGAAAGGGCCCTGAGAGGTTGTTGTTGCTGAGGTCACTGCAGAGGGAGAGGGGGAGGGAGGGAGAGAGATAAGGAGAGGGGAAGAGTGGTAAAGAAGAAGACATCAAGGGGTAGAGTGACGAGAGAGTGGAAGGGCGCTGAATGGCGGTTGATGAGGTGGAGGGAGGAAGAGGGAGGAAGAGGGAGGAAGAGGGAGGATGAGGGAGGAAGAGGGAGGAAAAGGGAGGAAGAGGGAGGAAGAGGGAGGAAGAGGGAGGAAAAGGGAGGAAGAGGGAGGAAGAGGGAGGGAGGAGAGGGAGGGAGAGGGAGGGAGAAGGGGGGAGAGGGAGGGAGAGGGAGAGAGTGTTAAAGGGGAAAAGGAAAGGAGACGCATGAGGAGAGAGGACAGTCGAAGGACTTGACGATGCAGGGATTGTGTCTCTTCTCTTTTGAGAATTCTTAAAAGTAAAAAAAAATAAGTCCCAAAAGGGTCTAAAATAAAATAATAATGAAATATTCTAAAACAATAGAAATAAGAGATTACTTAAAAGTGACACAATTACAGGTGGGGTCCGTGGGGATGCTTACAGGTGCAGGAATTCGGGAAGCTCTGACAGCGCCACTGGCACACTGCCCACCAGCTGGTTGTCGCCCAGCTTGCTGCAGGCACAGGAGAGGTAACGAGGGGTTGGGTGCAGTTGGAGGGAGTTGGAAGGCGTTGGGGTGAGTTGAGTGGGAAAGGCAGCATGAGAGGGGGTGACAAAAAGATTCTCCAGAGGAAATGGCGCCAGCTGGTTGATTCTTGAGTGGAATGGGAAAAAGGCTGATACGATATTCGTTAGTCACTAAGCTAAGACAAGCTGAGCTTAGGGAGATCGAGGAGAAAAAAAAGGAATCTTCGAAATGACTTAGTAGGAACGTACTACATGTAGTGGACGTGCAAGAGGGAGCAAAGCAGCAGAGGGAGTGGAGGGAGCAGAGAACAAGGAGGTGAAGAGGGGGAGAGAGAGAGGGGCATGAAAGGAGGGAGTGCGAGCGGAGGAGGACGGCCATAGGGAGTGTGAGGGGAGGGGGGACGTACAGGGAGTGCGAGAAGGGGAGGGGGAGGGGCGTGAAGGGAGGGAGTGTGAGGACGGGAGAAGGAGGGCCAAACAGGGAGTATGAGGAGAGGAGGGGAGTAGGGGACCACAGGGAGGAGCGCAGGAGTGAGAGGGAGGAGGGGCGTACAGGGAATGAGTGTGAGGAGGGGAGACAGAGAGGAGGAGGGCCGTACAGGGAGTGCAGGTGCGAGAGGGAGGAGGGGAGGAGAGGAGCTGAGGAGGGGAGGAGGGCCGTACAGGGAGTGCAGGTGCGAGAGAGAGCCAAGCCACGAGGGGATGTCGCCTGTGAGGCTGTTGTCATTGAGCACGCTGCAGGTGGGGGTGGGCACGTGGGAGGTACATAGAGCACGTGCTTCTTAGGTGCCTCAGACCAACCACGAGGGGATGTCGCCTGTGAGGCTGTTGTCATTGAGCACGCTGCAGGTGGGGGTGGGCACGTGGGGGGTGGGTGGGCATGGGGGGGGTGGGTGGGCACATGGGGGGTGAGCACGTGGGGGGTGGACACGTGGGGGTTGGGCACGTGGGGGTTGGGCACGTGGGGGTTGGGCACGTGGGGGTTGGGCACGTGGGGGTGGGCACGTGGGGGTTGGGTGGGCATGGGGGGAGTGGGCATGTGGGGGGTAGGCATGTGGGGGGTGGGCACGTGGGGGATGGGCACATGGGGGGTGGGCACATGGGGGGTGGGCACATGGGGGGTGGGCACGTGGGGGGTGGGCACATGGGGGGTGGGCACATGGGGGGTGGGCACATGGGGGGTGGGCACGTGGGGGATGGGCACATGGGGGGTGGGCACATGGGGGGTGGGCACATGGGGGATGGGCACATGGGGGGTGGGCACATGGGGGGTGGGCACATGGGGGGTGGGCACATGGGGGGTGGGCACATGGGGGATGGGCACATGGGGGGTGGGCACATGGGGGGTGGGCACATGGGGGGTGGGCACATGGTGGTTGGGCACGTGGGGGGTGGGCACATGGTGGTTGGGCACATGGGGGGTGGGCACATGGTGGTTGGGCACATGGTGGTTGGGCACATGGGGGGTGGGCACATGGGGGGTGGGCACGTGGGGGATGGGCACATGGGGGGTGGGCACATGGGGGGTGGGCACATGGGGGGTGGGCACATGGGGGGTGGGCACATGGGGGGTGGGCACATGGGGGGTGGGCACATGGTGGTTGGGCACATGGTGGTTGGGCACGTGGGGGGTGGGCACATGGTGGTTGGGCACATGGTGGTTGGGCACGTGGGGGGTGGGCACATGGTGGTTGGGCACATGGTGGTTGGGCACATGGTGGTTGGGCACATGGTGGTTGGGCACATGGTGGTTGGGCACGTGGGGGGTGGGCACATGGTGGTTGGGCACATGGTGGTTGGGCACATGGTGGTTGGGCACATGGTGGTTGGGCACGTGGGGGGTGGGCACATGGTGGTTGGGCACGTGGGGGGTGGGCACATGGTGGTTGGGCACATGGTGGTTGGGCACATGGTGGTTGGGCACATGGTGGTTGGGCACATGGTGGTTGGGCACGTGGTGGTTGGGCACGTGGGGGGTGGGCACGTGGGGGGTGGGCACATGGTGGTTGGGCACATGGTGGTTGGGCACATGGTGGTTGGGCACGTGGGGGGTGGGCACATGGTGGTTGGGCACATGGTGGTTGGGCACATGGTGGTTGGGCACATGGTGGTTGGGCACATGGTGGTTGGGCACATGGTGGTTGGGCACATGGTGGTTGGGCACGTGGGGGGTGGGCACATGGTGGTTGGGCACATGGTGGTTGGGCACATGGTGGTTGGGCACATGGTGGTTGGGCACGTGGGGGGTGGGCACATGGTGGTTGGGCACATGGTGGTTGGGCACATGGTGGTTGGGCACGTGGTGGTTGGGCACGTGGGGGGGGTGGGCACATGGTGGTTGGGCACATGGTGGTTGGGCACATGGTGGTTGGGCACGTGGGGGGTGGGCACATGGTGGTTGGGCACATGGTGGTTGGGCACATGGTGGTTGGGCACATGGTGGTTGGGCACATGGTGGTTGGGCACATGGTGGTTGGGCACATGGTGGTTGGGCACGTGGGGGGTGGGCACATGGTGGTTGGGCACATGGTGGTTGGGCACATGGTGGTTGGGCACATGGTGGTTGGGCACGTGGGGGGTGGGCACATGGTGGTTGGGCACATGGTGGTTGGGCACATGGTGGTTGGGCACGTGGGGGGTGGGCACATGGTGGTTGGGCACATGGTGGTTGGGCACATGGTGGTTGGGCACATGGTGGTTGGGCACGTGGTGGTTGGGCACGTGGGGGGTGGGCACATGGTGGTTGGGCACATGGTGGTTGGGCACATGGTGGTTGGGCACGTGGTGGGTGGGCACATGGTGGTTGGGCACATGGTGGTTGGGCACATGGTGGTTGGGCACATGGTGGTTGGGCACATGGTGGTTGGGCACATGGTGGTTGGGCACATGGTGGTTGGGCACGTGGGGGGTGGGCACATGGTGGTTGGGCACATGGTGGTTGGGCACGTGGTGGTTGGGCACGTGGTGGTTGGGCACGTGGGGGGTGGGCACATGGTGGTTGGGCACATGGTGGTTGGGCACATGGTGGTTGGGCACGTGGGGGGTGGGCACATGGTGGTTGGGCACATGGTGGTTGGGCACGTGGTGGTTGGGCACATGGTGGTTGGGCACATGGTGGTTGGGCACATGGTGGTTGGGCACATGGTGGTTGGGCACGTGGGGGGTGGGCACATGGTGGTTGGGCACATGGTGGTTGGGCACATGGTGGTTGGGCACATGGTGGTTGGGCACGTGGGGGGTGGGCACATGGTGGTTGGGCACATGGTGGTTGGGCACATGGTGGTTGGGCACGTGGGGGGTGGGCACATGGTGGTTGGGCACATGGTGGTTGGGCACATGGTGGTTGGGCACATGGTGGTTGGGCACATGGTGGTTGGGCACATGGTGGTTGGGCACGTGGGGGGTGGGCACATGGTGGTTGGGCACATGGTGGTTGGGCACATGGTGGTTGGGCACATGGTGGTTGGGCACGTGGGGGGTGGGCACATGGTGGTTGGGCACATGGTGGTTGGGCACATGGTGGTTGGGCACATGGTGGTTGGGCACATGGTGGTTGGGCACATGGTGGTTGGGCACATGGTGGTTGGGCACATGGTGGTTGGGCACGTGGGGGGTGGGCACATGGTGGTTGGGCACATGGTGGTTGGGCACATGGTGGTTGGGCACATGGTGGTTGGGCACGTGGTGGTTGGGCACGTGGGGGGTGGGCACATGGTGGTTGGGCACATGGTGGTTGGGCACGTGGTGGTTGGGCACATGGTGGTTGGGCACATGGTGGTTGGGCACATGGTGGTTGGGCACGTGGGGGGTGGGCACATGGTGGTTGGGCACATGGTGGTTGGGCACATGGTGGTTGGGCACATGGTGGTTGGGCACGTGGGGGGTGGGCACATGGTGGTTGGGCACATGGTGGTTGGGCACATGGTGGTTGGGCACATGGTGGTTGGGCACATGGTGGTTGGGCACATGGTGGTTGGGCACATGGTGGTTGGGCACATGGTGGTTGGGCACATGGTGGTTGGGCACGTGGGGGGTGGGCACATGGTGGTTGGGCACATGGTGGTTGGGCACATGGTGGTTGGGCACATGGTGGTTGGGCACATGGTGGTTGGGCACATGGTGGTTGGGCACATGGTGGTTGGGCACGTGGGGGGTGGGCACATGGTGGTTGGGCACATGGTGGTTGGGCACATGGTGGTTGGGCACATGGTGGTTGGGCACGTGGGGGGTGGGCACATTGTGGTTGGGCACATGGTGGTTGGGCACATGGTGGTTGGGCACGTGGGGGGTGGGCACATGGTGGTTGGGCACGTGGGGGGTGGGCACATGGTGGTTGGGCACATGGTGGTTGGGCACATGGTGGTTGGGCACATGGTGGTTGGGCACGTGGGGGGTGGGCACATGGTGGTTGGGCACATGGTGGTTGGGCACATGGTGGTTGGGCACATGGTGGTTGGGCACATGGTGGTTGGGCACATGGTGGTTGGGCACATGGTGGTTGGGCACGTGGTGGTTGGGCACATGGTGGTTGGGCACGTGGGGGGTGGGCACATGGTGGTTGGGCACATGGTGGTTGGGCACGTGGGGGGTGGGCACATGGTGGTTGGGCACATGGGGGGTGGGCACATGGTGGTTGGGCACGTGGGGGGTGGGCACGTGGTGGTTGGGCACATGGTGGTTGGGCACATGGTGGTTGGGCACATGGTGGTTGGGCACATGGTGGTTGGGCACATGGTGGTTGGGCACGTGGGGGGTGGGCACATGGTGGTTGGGCACATGGTGGTTGGGCACATGGTGGTTGGGCACATGGTGGTTGGGCACGTGGGGGGTGGGCACATGGTGGTTGGGCACATGGTGGTTGGGCACATGGTGGTTGGGCACATGGTGGTTGGGCACATGGTGGTTGGGCACATGGTGGTTGGGCACATGGTGGTTGGGCACATGGTGGTTGGGCACGTGGGGGGTGGGCACATGGTGGTTGGGCACATGGTGGTTGGGCACATGGTGGTTGGGCACATGGTGGTTGGGCACATGGTGGTTGGGCACGTGGGGGGTGGGCACATGGTGGTTGGGCACATGGTGGTTGGGCACGTGGTGGTTGGGCACATGGTGGTTGGGCACATGGTGGTTGGGCACATGGTGGTTGGGCACGTGGGGGGTGGGCACATGGTGGTTGGGCACATGGTGGTTGGGCACATGGTGGTTGGGCACATGGTGGTTGGGCACGTGGGGGGTGGGCACATGGTGGTTGGGCACATGGTGGTTTGGGCACATGGTGGTTGGGCACATGGTGGTTGGGCACATGGTGGTTGGGCACATGGTGGTTGGGCACATGGTGGTTGGGCACATGGTGGTTGGGCACGTGGGGGGTGGGCACATGGTGGTTGGGCACATGGTGGTTGGGCACATGGTGGTTGGGCACGTGGTGGTTGGGCACATGGTGGTTGGGCACGTGGTGGTTGGGCACGTGGTGGTTGGGCACATGGTGGTTGGGCACGTGGGGGGTGGGCACATGGTGGTTGGGCACATGGTGGTTGGGCACATGGTGGTTGGGCACATGGTGGTTGGGCACGTGGGGGGTGGGCACATGGTGGTTGGGCACATGGTGGTTGGGCACATGGTGGTTGGGCACATGGTGGTTGGGCACATGGTGGTTGGGCACATGGTGGTTGGGCACATGGTGGTTGGGCACATGGTGGTTGGGCACATGGTGGTTGGGCACGTGGGGGGTGGGCACATGGTGGTTGGGCACATGGTGGTTGGGCACATGGTGGTTGGGCACATGGTGGTTGGGCACATGGTGGTTGGGCACGTGGTGGTTGGGCACGTGGTGGTTGGGCACGTGGGGGGTGGGCACGTGGAGGAGGATGGGCATGTGAACATGGAGAAGTTAGGTTGGCTTACAGTGAACGGGAGGAGGTGCTTACAGAGAGGAGAGGGAGGAGAGGTTGGCAATGCAAGCAGGGATGGAGCCGGAGAGGGCAGAGTGGCTTAGGTCCCTGTGGGGAGCAACAAGGACGAGCAAAGGAAGGAAAAGGAAGAGATGACGAGAGGGAGGAGAGGTTGGCAATGCAGGCAGGGATGGAGTCGGAGAGACCAGCGTGACTCAGGTCCCTGTGGGGGGCCACAGGCAGGCACGAGAGAGATGTGGGTGGACTTGGGATGAGGGCATTGTTGAGGCACCACACCACAGGTATGGTGCAGGGTGGCATGGGTGCCCCCCCACCCATTCCTCCAAACTACACACTCGGATGCACTCTGAACAGCACTCACAGTCCAATGACGTTCGTGGCATTGGCACTGAAGCTGCACTGCACGCCCACCATTCAAACAACCAGCTTTCACAGAAGCACGCACAGAAACACGCACAACACGCACACAGAAACACTCACAGTCCGATGACAGCAGTGGCATTGGCACTGAAGCTGCACTGCACGCCCGGCCACGTGACAGGGTAGCACGGGTCCCCCACCCACTCCTCCATAGCAAGTCAGTGCAGCATTCACTCACACACTCAAGCAGGGCACCAGAATTTGAGCAACCAGCACTCAAACAAGCACCACACACAACCAACACTCACAGTCCGATGACGGCAGTAGCATTGGCACTGAAGCTGCACTGCACGCCCGGCCACGTGACAGGGTAGCACGGGTCCCCCACCCACTCCTCCATAGCAAGTCAGTGCAGCATTCACTCACACACTCAAGCAGGGCACCAGAATTTGAGCAACCAGCACTCAAACAAGCACCACACACAACCAACACTCACAGTCCGATGACGGCAGTAGCATTGGCACTAAAGCTGCACTGCACGCCCGGCCACGTGACAGGGTAGCACGGGTCCCCCACCCACTCCTCCATAGCAGCCGGCTCCCCAAACTGGGTCCTCACACATGCCAACGCCGCCACATCTCCCCCCCCCACCGCCGGTGCCTCTTCAAACAGCTGGACGATTTCCAACCCGCTAAGTGTCACCGGGCGAATTCGGCTCTTAGCGGTCGTTTTTACTCTAAGCCTGATGTTTACCCGGTTTTCGGGTGTGACTGTGAAGGGGATGGCGGCTTGGCCAGCTCTGGGGCCTCCCCATTGGGTGGGGGGGGAGAGGGGGATGACGATGAGCTGGCGTTCCACAACCACGTCGTTTAGTAACACGGTTACCACTAAATCGCCTAGAAAATCGTTGCCGCTAGTGATGCTGGTGCTGCTGTTACCGCCACTGCCACTGCTGCTGTCAGTGATATTCCCACCGCCAGTGCTATTACCGCCCCCACTGCTACTACCTCCACTGCCACTGCCGCTGTCAGTGCTATTTCCACCTCGAGTACTGTTACCGCCGCCACCAGTGCCACTACTACCGCCGTTGCCACTACCACCACCACCGTTGTTGCTACCGCCAGGGCCGTTGCCACTACTACCGCCACTGCCACTGCCGCCACCAATGCCACCGCCGCCGCCGTTGCCACTCCCTACAGAAGCTGCAGTGGCAGTGGCAGCAGGTGGGGGGAGGAGGCTGGAGAAATACAGAAACGCCTGGTACTGACCCAGGTCGAGGTTATCAAAGGAATACTCCAAGCCTCGGTTCGCCAGCGCTGGCGGTGCTAGCACCGTGTGAGCCGACTGCAGCACCCGCTGAGGCACAGCGTTGGGAAAGGAGGAGGAGGAGGGAAAGGGGGTGCCGGTGGTGGTGTTGGCGGGGGAGGGCGGAGGGATGGTTACGGTGGCGTTGGTGGTAACCAGCTGTGTGCGGTTAGATGGTTGGAGGTCCCAGTGGTCCAACTGAGTGGTGCCGTCGATTGCCCATACGCGGTCAAGAGGGTCCGAGGGGTACCTGAAACAAGAGAGGGAGAAAAGTGGAAAAGCGGGTGTGAATGTCTCAGTGGTTGCAACAGTGCTGGTTACCACAGGTCCCAGTGTGGTCCAACTGAGTGGTGCCGTCGATTGCCCATATGCGGTCAACAGGGTCCGAGGGGTACCTGAAAGGGCGAGGAGAAAGAGGGGGGTGGGGAAGAGTTGGTGTTACAATGGTTACGTTGGTGGTAACCACCGGATGGTTGGTTGCAGGTCCCAGTGGTCTGTGAGAGTGCTGCCGTCGATTTCCCATATGCGATCAACAGGGTCCGAGGGGTACCTGAAAGGGCGAGGAGAAAGAGGGGGGTGGGGAAGAGTTGGTGTTACAATGGTTACGTTGGTGGTAACCACCGGATGGTTGGTTGCAGGTCCCAGTGGTCTGTGAGAGTGCTGCCGTCGATTTCCCATATGCGATCAACAGGGTCAGAGGGGTACCTGAAAGGGCGAGGAGAAAGAGGGGAGTGGGGAAGAGTTGGTTCTACAATAATAACGTTGGTGTTTACCACCGGATGGTTGGTTGCAGGCCCCAGTGGTCGGTGAGGTGAGGGTGCTGCCGTTGATCTGCCATATGCAGGTCCACCCACCCACCCACCTGAAGGTCTGGTCTCTGACACGGCTCTCCCCACACGCAAACCACCACCACACCAGCAGCAGCACGTCCGCCTTGAGCTGCTGCTGGTAGTAACTGTAGGAGAGAGGCAGCATGCAGCACAGGCACCCACCCACCTGAAGGTCTGGTCTCTGACACGGCTCTCCCCACACGCAAACCACCACCACACCAGCAGCACGTCCGCCTTGAGCTGCTGGTAGCTGTGTAAGGCAGAGGCGGCACACAGCACAGGCACCCTCCCACCACCCACACTTACATAGTAATGCACACCCACCCACCCACCTGAACGACTGGTCTCTGGTGCTGCTGTCTCCACACGCAAAGCGCCACCACACCAGCAGCACGTCTGCCTTGAGCTGCTGGTAGCTATAAGACAGGGGCGGCAGCGGGCGGATCTCAATGGCGTTGATGATGGGCGGGGCGTCCCCCACCCGCTGCAGGCAGATGGGCATGGTGGCGTCCCTCACTGTGGCCATGGCCTCAAGCGTGTAGAGGGTATCGCCTATCGGGCGAAGGTCCACCTGACCCCTGTGGTAAGGGAACGGGGAGAGACGACGAGGGGAGAGGGCAAGTAGGCGGTGTTTGAATGTGCTAGAACCGACGCCCCACTCGCTGCAGACAGATGGGCATGGCCGCGTCCCTCACTGTGGCCATGGCCTCAAGCGTGTAGAGGGCATCGCCTATCGGACGCAGGTCCACCTGACCCCTGCAGTGAAGCAATCCAGGGAGGAGAGGAGGAAGGGAGAGGGCAAGGACGCAGTGCTTGAATGTGCTAGAACCGACGCCCCACACGCTGAAGGCAGATGGGCATCTCAATGGCATTGATGATGGGCGGGGCGTCCCCCACCCGCTGCAGGCAGATGGGCATGGCCGCGTCCCTGACTGTGGCCATGGCCTCGAGTGTGTACAGGGTATCGCCTATCGGGCGAAGGTCCACCTGACCCCTGGAGTAACAGAATGCGGGGAAGAGAGGAGGGGAGAGGGCAAGTAGGCAAGTAGGCAGTGTTTGAATGGGCTCAAACGGACGCCCCACTCGCTGCAGGCAGATGGGCATGGTGGCGTCCCTCACTGTGGCCATGGCTTCGAGAGTGTAGAGAGTATCGCCTATCGAACGAAGGTCCACCTGACCCCTGCAGTAGTGATAGGGGGACGAGGGGGAATGAAGAGAGCGTGAGCTTGAGTCTTGGAGCCCCTCCTGACTGTGGCTATGGCTTCAAGCGTGTACAGGGTATCGCCTATCGAACCAAGGTCCACTTGACCCCTGCAGTAACACAAAGAAAGGGGGGAGGGGAATGAAGGGGGGGAAAGGAACCGGGTGTCTCTGATTCTGTGCCTGTGGCTATGGCCTTCCCCCGGTGTAAAGTGCATCGGCCATGGGGGGAAGGTTACTCTCGATTGATGACCCTCACACACCAACCAACCCTACATTCTCCCGAACATAACTCACGCCGAACCTACTGCCACACTTGCCGGACCTACCGCCACGCTTACCGAGCCTGTCAGCCAGCCACCACTCAAACCGAGCCGGGTCCCGCAGTGACATTGAATACAGTCGGTGAGTTCTTGCCATCCCATCCCATCCCATCCCATCCCATCCCATCCCATCCCATCCCATCCCATCCCATCCCATCCCATCCCATCCCATCCCATCCCATCCCATCCCATCCCACCCCTCTCATCCGCCACTCACGCTGATCCGGGCCCAACAGTGACGTTGATCACAGGCGGTGCGTTCTTGCCATCGTAGTTCTTTCCCTCAGGTGGCACTGTACAGCACACGAGCCACTAACACACTCACCAGCCCAACCATCCCATCCCATCCCATCCCATTCGTCTGACATCTATCCACCACTCACGCTGATCCGGGTCCAACAGTGACGTTGAATACAGGCGGCGAGTTTTTGCCATCGTAGTTCTTGTACCAGAAGGTCAGACGCACCAGGTAACGGCCTGAGAGGATATAGGGACAAAGGGAGGAAGGGGTGTGGAGGGGAGAAAAAGAGTTCTTGCCATCGTAGCTCTTGTACCAGAAGGTCAGGCGCACCAGGTAACGGCCTGGAGGGGGGGGGGAGGGGGGAGAGAGGACAGGGATGAGAATGGTGGGAAGGGTTGTGCAGTATGAAGGGGAAGAGGGGGGGAAAGAGGAGCTTTTGCCATCGTAGTTCTTGTACCAGAAGGTCAGACGCACCAGGTAACGGCCTGGGGGGGAGGGAGGGGGGAAGAGAATACGAAGGGAAGGGAGGAAGGGAGGAAGGGGCGTGTGTGGGTGGGAGGAAGCGGTTTTTGCCATCGTAGTTCTTGTACCAGAAGGTCAGGCGCAGCAGGTAACGGCCTGAGAGGGAGGAAAAGGGGGAAGGGAAGACGGACGAATGGAGGAAAGACGGAAGGAAGGGGTGTGTGGTACGAATGGGAAGGGGGGGGAGGAGGAATCTCTCCTTTATAGTTTGTCTACAGCTCACCAGCGGCAGCACTCACCACTCGCCAGCAGCACTCGCCAGCAGCACTCACCAGCAGCAGCAGCAGCACTCACCAGCAATCACCAGCAGCAGCAGCACTCACCAGCAGCAGTGAGCGGCACGTGGTAGCAGTTGACGGCCCTGTCGTTATTGAACACCCTCAGCGTCCCTTCCATCGTCAGCCTGCCAGGTCCCCCCTCCTGCGCCCCTTGTGTACATGCATGCATGTCTGTCTGTCTACGAAACACACCTCCCAAGGAAAGCACTCACCAGCAGCAGCAGTGAGTGGCACGTGGTAGCAGTTGACGGCCCTGTCGTTATTGAACACCCTCAGCGTCCCTTCCTTAAACAGTCAGCCTCCCACCTCCCCATCCTGTGCTACCATGCGTACATGCATATCTATCCACGCATACACCTCCCCACCAGCAGCAGCAGCGCTCACCAGCAGCAGTGAGTGGCACGTGGTAGCAGTTGACGGCCCTGTCGTTATTGAACACCCTCAGCGTCCCTTCCTTAAACAGTCAGCCTCCCACCTCCCCATCCTGTGCTACCATGCGTACATGCATATCTATCCACGCATACGCCTCCCCACCAGCAGCAGCAGCGCTCACCAGCAGCAGTGAGTGGCACGTGGTAGCAGTTGACGGCCCTGTCGTTATTGAACACCCTCAGCGTCCCTTCCTTAAACAGTCAGCCTCCCACCTCCCCATCCTGTGCTACCATGCGTACATGCATATCTATCCACGCATACACCTCCCCACCAGCAGCAGCAGCGCTCACCAGCAGCAGTGAGTGGCACGTGGTAGCAGTTGACGGCCCTGTCGTTATTGAACACCCTCAGCGTCCCTTCCTTAAACAGTCAGCCTCCCACCTCCCCATCCTGTGCTACCATGCGTACATGCATATCTATCCACGCATACACCTCCCCACCAGCAGCAGCAGCGCTCACCAGCAGCAGTGAGTGGCACGTGGTAGCAGTTGACGGCCCTGTCGTTATTGAACACCCTCAGCGTCCCTTCCTTAAACAGTCAGCCTCCCACCTCCCCATCCTGTGCTACCATGCGTACATGCATATCTATCCACGCATACACCTCCCCACCAGCAGCAGCAGCGCTCACCAGCAGCAGTGAGTGGCACGTGGTAGCAGTTGACGGCCCTGTCGTTATTGAACACCCTCAGCGTCCCTTCCTTAAACAGTCAGCCTCCCACCTCCCCATCCTGTGCTACCATGCGTACATGCATATCTATCCACGCATACACCTCCCCACCAGCAGCAGCAGCGCTCACCAGCAGCAGTGAGTGGCACGTGGTAGCAGTTGACGGCCCTGTCGTTATTGAACACCCTCAGCGTCCCTTCCTTAAACAGTCAGCCTCCCACCTCCCCATCCTGTGCTACCATGCGTACATGCATATCTATCCACGCATACACCTCCCCACCAGCAGCAGCAGCGCTCACCAGTAGCAGTGAGCGGCACGTGGTAGCAGTTGACGGCCCTGTCGTTATTGAATACCCTCAGCGTCCCTTCCATCGTCAGCATGCCACCTCCCCCATCCGGCGAGAGCGCGGTGATGACAGCAGGCGTGCCGGGGACATTAGGGGGATCGGGCTGCCAGGTGAAGTTGAGAGGAGAGCGGTAGGGCCGCCCCTGGTACCCGCAGTCAATGCTTATGAAGCCTGGGAGCATGCGGGAGGGGGAGGGTGAGTGGGTGGGGAGAGGTGGGGAGGGCGCGGGGAAGGCAGGGGGGAGGACGGGGGAGGGCGCAAGGGAGGGGGGACGGCTGCCAGGTGAAGCCGAGAGGAGAGGGGTACGGCTGTCCCTGGTACCCGCAGTCGATGCTTATGAAGCCTGGAAACCACAAGAGGGGGAACGGCGGGGAAAAGGGAGCGGGAAAGGGGGGGCGAGACGCGGGGAAGGGATTGGGGAGGACATGGAAAGAGAGGTCGAGAAGAGGAGGTAATCGATCCACCGTTGACGGTCTTCCCGTGAACTCAACGGTCGTTCAGTTGCGTCAAGGGTCACCTACGCTGGTTGCACCCGCCCGACTTTTGAGACACCCGCTGTGACATCTCAAAGGTCGCACCCGCCCGCTGCGGAGGGGCGGAGGAGTTTTTTTACACAGCGGTGGCATTCTTCCTATCGAATCCTATTTGACGGTCGTTTTCACTCAATTCATGAATCACCTGATTCGCACCCACCTTCTGTGGATGACAATATCGATGCAGCGATGTCGTTCCTCCTGTTCACTCGGATAGATCTCTTGATGAGTCGACTGTGAAGGCACCTACGTTGCATTGCACCCACCCACCTGCTGTGGAGGAAATATTTGATGGAGCGTTGGCGCTCTGACTCTGACCCTTAGCTCGGATTGGCCCGAAGGAGGGTAGTGGTATTAGTAAAAGCAGCAGAAGCAACATGCTGACGTGGAACGCGGACGGAAGTAGGTCGCGCAGCTGCCTCCGCCTCCCTCCCCAGCTTCCGCTACCCCGTGTGGTAGCGTGAGTTGTAACGACAGTTGTAACGCGAGATGTAACGCGTTCGCGGTCTGATGCTAATCGACAGGTCTTGTGGAACCCATAAGCTCCAGAAACGTTGAAATGGCCGACTCCAGCGCCAGGCTGCCTTGATTCCATCCGCTCAAGCAGGCAAGTTCTACTGTAGACTTATAATAAGCGTTATTTACTTAACGAATCTCCACAGTAGTTCGAAGATAATCACATAGGTAAGTATGGTAGTGAGTCAACTACCAAGAAAAGATGGCACGACGCCATGGCGACCACACGTGGCCTTAAAGCAATAACTGAATGCCGTTCAATGAACGCTACAGAGCCAGCTGTTAGAGCCTGCTCACTTGGTGAACCGCCCCAGGAGCCGTCAAAACCAGGAATCTATATTCGTCCGTCAAGAGAAACAGAGTGGTATTGTGACACCTATATTCCTACTTCAAGGAAACCTAAAATTTAAGTCGAGCACCCTAAGGATAAGCACGTGTAGGGACGTAATAGGGACGGAGGACGCGTAAGCGAGGGCTGTATCGACCAATGAAAAGCGTCCCGCAATAAGTTACAAACGATGATGCTGGCGTCGAGAGGAGGCGTCTAATTTTTCTGTTCCTGGCGTGCTTAGGGAATTCACAGGGGTACGATCAACGGAGATCTCGCTGCCATGTGCTTTCACCGTGCTTCTAGTGTTGGCTGAGTCAACTATCAAGAGAACGAAAGCTGGGAAGGAAAAGAAACAGTAAGCACACTCCGGCGCAGCCAGAACCGATGTAAATGTTTCTTCAAACACGAGAAGCCGGTCTGTAACCTTACTAAACCGCACTGATCGTCCAGGATATTTTGGTTTTTCGCATTGGCGCTTGTTTCCCAGTCAGCGGAGTTCAGCCGTGTCCGCGTAGACTACGGTTCTTGATGGTGCGCGCAATGATGGGGCGGGACGGAACGGAAGTCCCAAGGGAACGGCGTAACAACGGCTGCACCGCCATCGCTTGAGAGGGCGAGAATTTAACGAAGAGTTGGAGGACGGCGAGCAGCGGTAACTTTCGCCCTAGTCTCTCGTGAGAGCATCCAGCAAGACACAGAACTGTGTCGGTGGAGGTTTGGCGAAATGGCCGGCGGTTGCGACCATGCTAGCGAAACCCAGAAATCTGCTGGTTCAACCCCTCTGTGTCTTTGGCGGGATGTGTTGGCAGTTTCCGCCACGCGACTCGTCAACACCGCATTTTCGGTGCTACCTTCCTAGCTTCTGCTCTCGCCAGCCAGCCCCCCCCTCCCCCCTCCTCCCCTACACCGACCGACTGCGTGATGTCGACTCAGCCAGGCGGACATCCTTCATGTAAAGTTTCTGTTTACGATCCATTTCAATATAAGCGCTTCTTAAATCGGAAACTGGTTGATTTTGATGTTCACCTTCATAAAACTGAATGCCATAGTAATTCATTATATGTACACGTTAAATCAGACTGTCATAACATAATATGTCCACACTACTATAATAGAAGACAAACTTGGGCATGCCTTTCAAGCATGCCCTAGAAAAAAAACAGCAGAACTAAGAAAGAGGGTAAAAGCATGACACAAGAGATTACTGTTGTGTTTGCCTCTCAGCAGAACCAAGAAGATAAGCTGTAACAAGACTGGAGCCAGATATGCCAAACAGGATCGCCTGACCACCACCACCATCCACCCTTGGACCAGGAACAGCAGCACCAGTAGGTGCAGTGCCTTGAACCTCCTGCACAGCAGCAGGTGCAGCAGCCGCCTGGCCAAGAGTGAGCTGAGCCGGAGAACCCTGCTGATACACCACCACTTCCCTCTCCCCTTCCATCACCTGGCACAAACACACACAGAATGCGAAATGCATGAGACCACAGTCAAACACAGATCAAACAAACGACTCAGAAAGCTACAGGTACGAGGAAAGAGGGAACACGTGGGTACCTGAGGAGGAGCAGGCACTGAAGGCCCAGCGATCGCAGGAGCTTCACCTCCTGTACCATAATTGATAGCGCCTGCAGGGCCATCGTCGGCAGCAGTGAGGGATGGGTTGGCGGGGCGGTGGCCCTTGAAGAGGGCGAGGTGGCCGAGCAGCTTGTCCTTGCGGCTGAAGGACGTGCCGCAGGAGCACAGCCAGCGGTCGCGCCCGCAGTGCTTCTCGTGGGTCTTGAGGTCCGCCACCACCGAGAACCGCTTTGCACCGCACTTGGAGCACGCGAGCATCTTCGGGCAGTGGGTGCGGCGGTAGTGGTTCTTCACACACAGCATCGTCTTCAGTGGGAGGAAGCGCTGGTGCTGGCTGTTGCGCTTGCAGCCAACAAACGGGCAGCTGAAACGTTTCGGGCGCTGGGCAACGTTAGCGAGGTGCTTGTCGGGGCGGGCAAGGGCTTCTGGCGTCTTGTACTCGTCGCCATGGCCTCTCATGTGCATGCGGAGGTTGGCGTCACGCTTGAATCCTGCAAAAGGTATCAAACCCGAAGTCAGAACGCGGAAGGTACCATTAACAGCGGACGCCCAAACTAAAAAAAACTGTGACGAAATGCAGAGTCTTCAATCAACCACACAAATTTTGCTTAGGCGTACCCTTGCCACAGATTTCGCAGAAATGAGTGTGCTCCGCCAGCAATTCCACAGGATCCATTTCAATCACATCGTAGGAACCGTCTGCAAGGGACGAACAACAAAAACATTAGCAACAAAACAAAGCAGGCCGTTAGAAACAGGTCAGAGTCCAGTAAGGCAGGAAAAAATATACCTCAGCGGTTCCTCCAACTACGACCAACAACAAAGATTTTCCTTTACCTGGTAGCGCATCGTCGTCGTCGCCATCAGGGGAGCCTCGCTGCTTGCATCCACTGTCCTCCCTCACGTTCTCCTTGCTGCGCTTGCGCGCCAGACTCTCAGAACCAACACCACCATTGCCCAGGCCTCCGTGGCCGGGGGTGGTGGTAGCGCCAGAAGCAACAATTGCCGTTCCGGCGCCGTCGAAACCAAGCTTGCGCTTCTGCGTGAGAAGGATCGCCCCACCGAGAAGCCTGTCCACCGCGCCTTGCTTCGGGAATTGTCGCGCCACCGCCGGCGCCTGCGCCTGCGACGCCTGCGCCTGAGGCGGCGGGAGGTGCGCGACTGGCCTTGGTGGAACCGCCGCCTTCGCCTGCACAGGAGCCGCCATGGTCGGCGCAAAGCCCGGCTGGCTCAGCTGAAGCTTTGCTGCCATGTCATCTGACTCGTCAGGAGCAGGCGGGACGAACTTGATTCCAGACTGCTGCCGTGGCGATTGCTGCTGTTGCGGACGATGATCGTACGGTGGTGCTTGCGTCGCGAGCGTCAGCTGCGCCGCCTGCTGCTGAAGTAGCGAGCCGGAGGCTCCAAGAGACGAGATTAACTGCTGCTGACGGTTAACGGAAGTCGACGACGCAACCTCCTGTTGCTGTTGCTGCGGCTGGTGTTGCTGCTGCTGCTGCTGCTGCTGTTGCTGCTGCTGCTGCTGCTGCTGCTGCTGCTGCGGAACGGGGGGCAAAACCAGGAGCTGTGAAGAGGGATTAGCGGCGGAGTTCACGGGGGTGGTGAAACCCATTTGCTGGACCGCCGCGGGAGGAGCCATTCCGATTTGCGGCGGAAGGACGGGGGGAGCCATCCCCATCTGCGGAAGAATGTTGGACGCGGCGAGCGCGAGCTGAGAGATGACAGAAGCGACGCTGGCGGAGGCTGCGGCTTGCTGCTGCTGGAGCTGCTGGGCTTGCGCCGTGTCGGACGGCTGCTGCTGCTGCTGCTGCGCCATCAGCGGGATGAGCGCTTGCAACGCGCCAATGTTCTGCGAAAACGGAACATAGCTCGTTAGAACTAATCAGACATATAGCAATTTGAGAAAAACGATAAGGCTATGTTATTCTAGACTTACTTGTTGCAACAGACTCAACGCATTCATCAATGCTTGTGGAGAATTCGGAATTCCGCCGGTCGGTCCTGCGGCGTAGCCATTCTGTGAAGCCGCAGCTTGAGGCACAGGAGCTTGTTGCTGCTGGTGCTGCATCTGCTGTTGATGTTGCTGCTGGTGCTGCATCTGCTGTTGATGTTGCTGATGTTGCGGATGTTGGTGTTGTTGGTGTTGGTGTTGTTGCTGATGCTGCTGCTGATACTGATGCTGATCCTGATGCGGATGCTGTTGCTGATGCTGTTGCTGATGCTGTTGCTGATGCTGATGCTGATGCTGTTGCTGATGCTGATGCTGATGCTGCTCTTGGTGTTGCTGGTGCGGATGCATTTTCCATCCGCCGGATGTTCCGCCAGTAGTTTGGGGTTGGCCTGGAGACGGATTGTACGCAGCAGGAGCCATAGGTTGCTGATACGTGCCTAGAGTTAACTGCGAAGCTCCGTGGTCCATGGTTACTTAATCTTCGTACAGTAACAGCAAGCCTGATAATGGAAATATCTTTCCAAACAGAATGGAGCCTTCTTCTGACAATCAGGCAACACCAGATAAGAAAGGTGGGAAGTGAGGAACTGCTGCTGATCTGAGGCTTGATAATGGGTGTGAGTGAGGAGTGAGAAGCGAGAGCCTCGATATTGGGTGGGTGGCACTTGGGGAAGCAGGCTCTGCCTGAAGAGCCACAACCTGAAAGTTTCCGCCTAGGGTTTGCTGGATTTCGCCGCTGGGGTCCGCTGATGGGCTCCGCTGATGGGGTTCGCTGATGGGGTTCCGCTCCGCGAATATACACTCAGCTGCTGGCTCCGCTGCGGGGGTGCGCTGCTCGCCCCGCTGGTTTCCGTTGCTGGCCTGCGCGTGCGGGCTCTGCTGCCAGGGGTAGGAGAGAAGGGTAGGGTGGGGGGGGTTGTGGGGGGTGGGGAGGGGTGTGGTTGGTCGGTCGGACGGAAGGAAGGCTTGTGGGGGAGGAAGTAGGGAAGTAGGGAGCTCGTTTCTGGGCTGGGGTTTCTTGCTGTGCGCTTATCACCGAGCGCGCACGCGCTCCACCAGCTGTGGGCGCTGCTGGGCAGGCTTCCGCCTCAGGTAGACTTGAGGCTCCGCCCGATTTCCGAAACTAGTCTCGATGGCGAGCCTTGCCTGCGCCCGCCAAGACAGGCAAGTGCGGACTGGAGCTGCGGTAGCCATGCATTCTTCCCCAACCCAATCATGGTTAGGTTAGCTGCATTATCGCGACAACAAGGCTTCGTTCGGGGGAAATCGAGGGGGGTCGGGGTGAGAGGCTCGGTAAACCATGATCCGAACCTCCAAGGAATTTATGGTTGTGACATACTGTAATCTATGAAACCCGAGAGAGAGACCCCGAACAAATGGCTGCTTTGGCCTCGGAATCTTCAGGTACATGTCAAGTTCCGACATTCTTTAGTTCATTCAGCAGCTTCCATTGCTTTCTGGGCAGGAAATTTGAAACAAATTCTAAGCAACAAAATTTTGTCCGGCCAGTTATCGCGGCCGATGATTTTATCTCCTCGCGTTCGATTGGTTGAGGCGGAAGATGTGTCCCCCCTCTTTGCATTGCAAGGTCATGAACTCATTGTGGGCCGCTTATCACCTCGTGGTTCACACAGAGCCATCGGGGCAGCATTTCTCTCTGTTGTACCGACCAGGTGATTTCCCCAGAAGAAACCCAATCACCGGCCGTTCGCCCAGCGAGACAGCTGAAACCTCGCAACAAGCCAGAATCAACCACATCCTCTCGGTGATAACTGTACCAACCGAACCAACTTCTTTGAGAGCCAGCCAAAAGGTGACATATCGGCTCGGATAGACACACCACACCCGAACGGTCGATTTGATAGCGGCATGCGGGAGCTGCTTGCCTTGCAGCATTCCACGTGTGCCCACTGGAAGGCTCTGATTCGGCAGATGGATGCGAGAAACTCGATGGATGACATTGTGTATTACCAGCTACATGTATTAGTGTTAGAGTTTATAGTGAGGAAAGCAAGGCTTGAGCGTGTTGAGGGAGTCCTGAGGCTGCCTTCCCCAAGCTCCATGCAAGAAACCATCAATCATGCAGTCTTGAGTGAAAACCATGGCCAGACAGGCAATCGGTACAGGGCTGAAGTGCGATCGCGTGACATGGAACTGCCTTTGCTTAATTTGAAGTACATATGCAATAGACACACAACACAACCAGAAGTTCGGGAGTACCGTAAGAAACGGACAGCTATTGCGAAGCTGCAAAATGTAACAAGCATTTCTCAATATCACTTTCATTACCTCTCCTCACTCTTCTGCACATCTATCACCTGTCCAATGCACAGCTGTACACAAGGTGGCTGCCGGTACAACACCACCTCCCTCTCCTCCGTATCGCCTTCACACTGAGCCGGTGCAAAACCGTTCAGGTTAAAATTCGAAGAAAGGCAGTCGTTGCCTGAACAACGATTGCTACCACCCCCACTTCCGCTGCGCTTCCCAGCATCCACATTTGTGCTTTGAGAGCTGAGAGCCGGACCAACGTCTCCTGCACCCCCACCCATCCCCGCCTCAACAAGGTGCCTTCCCTTGCTGGAAAAAGAAACCACAGAAGGTGGGAACGGTATCGGGGGAGGAGCAGCGCCAGCATGACTTGGGGAAAATGTGTCAGTGCCTTCCAAAAGAGCTGCTTCTGCTGCCTCTGCTGCAATTGCATCAGCGACGGTGGGAGCTGCCGCAGCGGCGGCGGCAGTGGCAGCGTGGTGGCCCTTGAAGAGGGCGAGGTGGCCGAGCAGCTTGTCCTTGCGGCTGAAGGACGTGCCGCAGGAGCACAGCCAGCGGTCGCGCCCGCAGTGCTTCTCGTGGGTCTTGAGGTCCGCCACCACCGAGAACCGCTTTGCACCGCACTTGGAGCAGGCGAGCATCTTGGGGCAGTGGGTGCGGCGGTAGTGGTTCTTCACACACAGCATCGTCTTCAGCGGCACGAACGCCCGGTGCTGCTGGTTGCGCTTGCACCCGACAAACGGGCAGCTGAAACGTTTTGGAGGCTGCCCAGTGGCTTCTGGAGAGTGCTTGCCTGGCCTTGCAAGCGCCTCTGGTGTTTTGTACGCGTCGCCATGGCCCCTCATGTGCATGCGCAGGTTGGCGTCACGCTTAAATCCTGAGAAGGCAAAAAAAAAAAAAAAAAAAAAAAAAAAAAACGGGGTGCCGTTATGGAGAAGCTCATACAGCGCAGTGCTCTAGCAGAAGCTAGGGTTCGATTTTTCGACAGGAAATCCGAAGCTTAACCTAACATGCGAAGCTCATCTGAGACACCAAGTGCAGGAAAATAAGACCTCAAGACCGACCTTTGCCGCAGATCTCGCAGAAGTGCGCGTGCTCTGCGAGCAGCTCCACAGGGTCCATCTCGATAATGTCGAACGTTCCCGCCGGAAGCGGCGACTCGTCGTTCTCTTCGTCCAAACCCGCATCCGCGAAAAAAGCACACCCGTTAACAGCGCCAGGAACATTGGAGGTTCCCGCGGGGATAATTTTCTTCGCTGCGTGAGGTGGTCCGTCTTCGGCGTCAGCGGGGTCCCATGCAACTTCCTCGACCTTTCGCTTCTGAGGTAAAAGAGGTTTCCCGAAGAGCTTTAGTTCGGGAGAAGCAACAGCGACTTGCTCAATTGGCGCTGCTGGTCGGCATGGCTCGTTCACCACCGGCGCTGCTGGTGACTGCTGCTGCGGCTGCTGCGGCGGCTGCAGCTGTTGTTCCGGTTCCTGCTGCGGCTGCGGCTGCTGCATCTGTTGCTGCACCACAGGTCGTTGATTTGTACCGCCGAAAACAGAGAAAGGATTAGACGGCCCCGCGTTGTCAGGCGCCAGAAGCGGGGACGGCGCGAAAACACCGCATCGCGCAAAGGCCGGGTTGATGGGAGGGGAGAGTCCGGCTTGCGGGAGAATGTTGGCAGCGGCGACGGCGAGTTGTGAGATCACGGAGGCGACGCCGACGGACGCGGCAGCCTGCTGCTGCTGGAGTTGATCTGGCGTGGTTGAGATCGGTGGCTGCTGCGACATGAGCGGAATCAGCGACTGCAGCGCGCCGATATTCTGTAATCACGTTACACAAAAAGGAGATATGAGTGAATTGGGCGTTAAAAAGAAATTCGCTGGTGACATGTAATTTTAGTAGTGTCGACATGTAATTAGTTCTAGTGGGAGATAAAAACAGACGGACCTGCTGTAGTAGATTCAGAGCATCCATAAGAGCCTGCGACGACCCAGGTCCTGCAGCATGCGGTACGGGTAACATCGGCGCAGCGGAAGGGACGACGGACAAGGGCGCAGGGGTAGGCGCGGGGAACAGCTGCGCGGCGGACGACGGGGGAGCTGCAGGAGTGGTTGAGGGAGGCTGGGTGGAGGGGGGTGAAGCTGCCTGGGTCTGCTGCTGCTGGATTGTCGGCCAGAATGAGTTGTTCCCGGCCGAAGGCTGTGATTGCGCCGGGATAGGTAATGGCTGGAAATGAAACGGTGTCGCCATTGTCTGGATATGACAGCGAGAATTACCGCACGAGGTCTCTGGGCCTGGTACTTGCAATCAAGGAGAGCGTATATCACACGAGCCTTTGCCTCTATCTAGTGACGAACAATTGACCTCTCGTTATAATTTGAAGGAAAACTCTGAACGTGCAGTCGCCTCCACTCGAAAATCCCTAGGGGCGTGTCGAGCTAGAGCCGTCACGGAAGACTGGCCGAGTCCGAGCAGGTAACCCTGACAAACTCAAAGAACCTCCCTCTAACCAGCCTGAGTGACAGTACCGGAGTGCTAGAGTGCTAGGCTGCTAAAAGCTGCTGCTGTGGTGTTTGCTAGAATGCTACCTCCGCCAACAAACCAATAAAACCGTGTGGGAAGGTTGGCCTTGCTCTTCGGTGGGGGAAGGTTGCGGGAAGAGTCACGCCAACCTTGCCGCGATGATAATGGAATGGTTTGACATGGTTTGGGATGGTTTCAATTTGTTTTGGAACGGTTTGATATGGTTCGGGATGGGCAGGGTTGGGATGGGATGGGTTTGGCGGAGGGGATGGGATCATGTGATGGGATGCGGGAGTTATGGCCCTGATGACTCGATAAAACCAAACCCTAGGTTTCTCGGATTTCTCCTCGTGCTTCTGCTTTTTCTGATCCTGCCCCTGCTGTTGCTGTTGTACAGAGCGGCTCTTGAAATGCACTGTACTGCACTGTATCCATTTGTTTCATTCATGATGGTGGCTCTTGCTGATATTGGAGGACAATTTCGAAAAACGAATCAAGCAACCGGGGTAGCTGGCGCGTAGTCTGGAGTGTTTTGATTTGGTAAGCTTTTCGTATGTGGTGTCGCTAGGGCTTCGCACTCCTGTCTTTCCAACAATCCAGACCAGACCCCTACAAAACATGATTTGGTTTGGGCCAGATTGTTCCTGCTCCGCGAGAAAATTGCGCTGGCGGCTGGTTTGTGGAACCTACGTAGGGGCGGAAGCAATTGCCCACGGTTGGTTGAGAGAATCCGCGATCACGCGCGTGCTGGCGGATCCTAACCACGAGCAGCAATTTTTGGACGCTGGCGGGTGAATGGGTGCATTCCATGATGCACTTGATTGCGTAGGATCCGTGGCAAGTAAGTGGGTGGCTGTGAATGGAGGTTATGAGTTTTTACTACACCAACAAGGAACATAGCTGTCTACGACCTACAACGACACCCTTCACATAATACATGAAACAAGGACACAAACATGATCTTCAAGTTGATTCATTTACCCATTCCCTACTCCTAGAATATCCTTTGCTTTCACACACCCCAATTTTCCAATTTCCTACTAAAAACGCTTTGACTCATCATCTCTCGTCGCTCCTCGCCTCCCACAACCCGAGCTTTGGTCCGAGAGAGAGCGCTCGGGAGAGGGCCGAGGGGTGGAAGTGGCCGGCAAAGAGATGGCAGAGGTTGCCGAAGTGGCAGTGGCGCATGAGAGAAACGAGGTCAGGGGTGAGCTGAGGGGAGAATGGGGGGAATATGGCAGGGGGGGAAAGGGGGGCAGGGGGTAAGGATTGGATGGCAGAGAGGTGGGAGAGACCGGCAAAGAGATGGCAGAGGTTGCCGAAGTGGCAGTGGCGCATGAGAGAAACGAGGTCAGGGGTGAGCTGCAGGGGAATGGGGGACGGGGGAGGGGATGAGGACACAAGTAGAGGTTAGCAAGTTAGGAGGAGAGGGGGATTGTATGGGGGGTGGAAGTGGTTGGCAAAGAGATGGCAGAGGTTGCCGAAGTGGCAGTGGCGCATGAGAGAAACGAGGTCAGGGGTGAGCTGGAGAGGAAGGGAAGGGAGGAAAGGGTTGGGGGAAACACGGGGCAGTGTGCATAAGGGCTGCATGGCTGAGGGGTGGAAGTGACCGGCAAAGCGATGGCAGAGGTTGCCGAAGCGACAATGGCGCATGAAAGAGACGAGGTCGGGGGTGAGCTGGGGAACAGGGGGGGTGGAGGGACAGCAAGGGGGAGATGGGCTGGGGGGGCACAAGTGGGGTAGAGGAAGACAGTGTGGGTAGGGGTACATAGGTTGGGAAGAGGAACGGGGGGGGGGGGGGGGGAGGGGGGGAGAGGACTTAACCAAGTGGAGGGGGGGGGGAGTTCGGGGGATAAAGCGACAACATAGGGAGAGTGAGCAAACCAGTTAAATCCCACCTCTGTCTCACCTCTGCCTCACCTCTGTCTCATCTCACCTCTGCCTCGAGTTGGGCCGAGTCCACCAGTCAAGGAGTTATCACGCGAGGGAAACAGCCAAAACCTGCCTCACCTCTGTCTCATCTCACCTCTGTAGCGTCGTACACATAAGGATTCCCCGAGTTGGGCTGAGTCCACCAGTCACGGAGCAAACCAGTCACGGAATGGTGAAGTGAGGCAAAGCGTGCAAAACTATCTCACCTCAGTAGCGTTGTATACATAGGGATGTCCCGAGTTAGGTTGAGTCCATCAGTCCTCAAACACCAAGCTCCAACTCGCCAGATCCTCCCCTCACCTCTGTGGCATTACACACATAAGGACTCGGCCTCAAGCATAGAGCGCCAACACGTGAGAGCTCATCTCACCTCTGTAGCGTTGTACACATAAGCATGCCCCGAGTTAGGCTGAGTCCACCAGTCACGAAGTGATAATGAGAGGGAAACAGCATAAACAAGAGTGATCAAGTTAGTTTCATCTCACCTCTGTAGCGTTGTACACGTAAGCATGCCCCGAGTTAGGCTGAGTCCACCAATCCTCAAACACCAAGCTCCAATTCGCCAAATCCTCCCCGCTCCCCCGCAACCCCACGCCCCCTCCCCCCGCCGCCTCCCCCCACCGCCTCCCCCCTCCCCCCATCCCCCCCCCGTCCCCTATCCCCGCCCAAAGCTCATCCACAAACGGGCCAAAGTCCCCCACAGGGGGGAGGTCGACGAGGATGGGGATGATGGAGGGGAGGTAGTGCTCCGAGGGGAAGCAGGCAGGGAAGACCCCTCGCACCGGCACACAGCAGGCCGCGAATTTGTCATAGAACTTGGAGTCCGAAATGACCTGGTGGGCGGGAGGAGAGGGGAAGCAAAGGGAAGAGGGGCTCAGAAGCAGGCAGGGAGTACCCCTCGCACCGGCACACAGCAGGCTGCAACTTGTCATAGAACTTGGAATCCGAAATGACCTGGTGGTTGACAGGGGGGAGAGGGGAGAGGGGAGCAAGAAGAGACGTTCAGAAGCAGGCCGAAATCCCCCACAGGGGGAAGGTCGACGAGAATGGGGACGATGGAGGGGAGGTAGTGCTCTGAGGGGAAGCAGGCGGGGAAGCCCCCTCGCACCGGCACACAGCAGGCCGCAAACTTGTCGTAAAACTTGGAGTCTGATATTACCTGGTGGTTGGTAAGGGGAGCAAGGGAGGTGGGCGGAGGGGGAAGGGGGGCTCGGAGGCAGGCGGGGAAGGCCCCTCTCACCGGCACACAGCAGGCAGGCTGCAAACTTGTCGTAAAACTTGGAGTCTGATATTACCTGGTGGGTGGGAGGAGGGGGGGGGGGCACACTCTCTTTACACTCTCATCACGCACAGTCTCTTCACACACTCTCATCACACACTCTTCACACACTCTCTCCACAAACTCTCTTCACACTCTCTTCACACTCCCTTCACACATTCTCCTCACACCTGCACAGCCAGTCTTCATGCAAGTCCAATCCACGGTCCTCCTTCCTCCCACTGTTCCACACTCAGCGTCGGCTCAAAGCAACTGTGGGTTTCACGCACGCACTACTCACACACACTCACACTCCTCAGACACACACTCTTCAGACAAACACTCTTCCACCCACTCTCTTCACACACACTCTCTCTGCACACACGCTCTCTGCACACACGCTCTCGGCACACACACGCTCTCTGCACACACGCACAACTCCTGTCGAACTCACCTGCACGGCCAGTCTTCGTGTGAGTCCAATCCACTGTCCTCCCTTCTCCCACTGCTCCACACCCAGCATCGGCTCAAAGCAGTTGCACTCTCTTCACACACACTCCCCACACACACACTCTCTTCACACCCACTCCCCACACACACACACTTCACACCCACTCTCAACACACACACTCTCTTCACACACACCTGCACGGCCAGCCTTCGTGTGAGTCCAATCCACTGTCCTCCCTTCCGCCACTGCTCCACACCCAGCATCGGCTCAAAGCAGTTGGGGTTGAAACGGTCCTTTCCGCCCTCCCCTGACACGTCGTTCGACGGGATGTAACTACGCGGCGCAGATGGAACCGTACCGGCGAGATGTAACCGGGAGGAGGAAGTCAGCGACCCCGGTTGAAACAAGGCGGAGGGAGAGGGGAGGGCGGCGGAGTGATGAGGGGAGATGAGGTACGAGTAAATGAATGTGAAGTTATGAATAGGGATGCAGAGCTCGCATATAGTCACAAACCGCTCGTTGGAAAAGTCCAAAAGCGCGTTCGCTAGCAGACGACGCATGCCGTCCACTGTGCTCATGTGAACAGTCTTCGAATCGGCCGAAGCGGGCTCGCCAGGGGACCTGTCCGGGACGAATCTACCCCGGAAAATAGGGGGAAGTAACGACTTGTCTATTTTCGTCTCGTCGGTTAACACATAGACTGACACTCGGTCCTCATGACCCTCTAACCATCTAGCCCAAAGCGGCGCAAATGGCATCGTTCCCGCGCTATAGAACAATAGCGCCACTTTCGCTGGCCCTATACTGCGCCTCCCCCCTCCGCCCGCGCCTCCGCCGCCCCCTCCTTCCCCCTCCGCTCCGCCGCCCGCGCCAGCGCCGCGCGCGCGGCTGCGGCGGCGCAGGGGGACCATGGATGCGCGCCAAAAGAGTTCCTCGTCCCCCATGTCGTGCGTCAGCGGGAGGAAACGGACAGGAAGCTTCGCGGGAGTTGCGCTCTCGTGCCCCGCGTCGTCCGCGCCCACATCAGCATCGGAATCGTCGTCGTCAGCAGCGGCCGCTGCTGCAGCAGCTGTTAGGTGGCCGCTGTTGCTGCCTGCGTTACGAGGCTTTTCCTTCAGAAGCGTCGCCCAGTTAGAGGCTTCGTTATTGTCATCTTCGTTATGGAAATTGTCATTTCTCCCCGCTTTCCCACCATCCGTGTCCAGCCCGCTTTCTGCGATTTCGTCACCAGAACCAGTCACCCTCCGCGGACCAGAGACGACAGCGCTTCCGTCGCCAGAGTCACCTAATTGGTCGGCGACTCCTGAAGATCCTGCGACGCTACTTGTGCCTCTCAGGAGAGAACCTGGGGAGGAGAAACCCAACGACGTTGACGGTGACGTTAACTGAACCTGCCGGCTTGAGTCTGTTACTCCTGAAGCTAACCCGCGACTAGTTCTGATGTCATGGCTGTCGTTAATTTCGTTCTCAGCACCGGCAGATGCAGCAGCAGCTGCGCGAGAAACCGTTCGGCGGAAAATGACGGATACGAAGAAAAGCGCGACGCAGGTTGTGACTATAGCGATGGTGGACAACGGCACGCGCCGCCGTTTCTGCTGGCGGATCGACCGCGCAGCGGACTTGGAGCCGGGCGCCTTCATGACTTTTGAGTCGACAGTCGACTCAAAAGCGCGACGCAGGTTGTGACTCAAAAGTCACATCGACCGCGCAGCGGACTTGGAACCTGGGGCCTTCATGACGACATGGCCTCCTTAAAAGCCGCTGCTCTCCGTCGCACCCGTTTGAGAGAACGAGATCGCGGGTCCAATTAGTACCTCACGCCTGCATCTGAGAAGAAATTGCGGAACCAGTTCTATCTACGAACGTATGCAGCTACGTTCTACTCAAGCTACAGACTTCCAGGAGTCCTTCGAAGAAACAAGTATCAGGAAAAGAACAGCTTTCCGGAGTCCTCCGAAGTATGAATGGGCAGTGCAGAGGAAGAATTTATGACCTATCGATCAACAGGACAATCCCGAGGCGGGCAACGGAATCATCGAGTCTGCTGCCATTCAAAGCTTCGAGTTGACGAAGAGTGACCAAAGCAAACACAAAATGTACGGAGGGTCTGAACTGAAGTGTACCGGTCGGTGGCGTCGCATGCTCAAATCACACTAACGCGTACATCTTGTGGGGGTGTGCTGGTGTCGATGATTCGTGGCTTTGGTTCGGTCAACGGGGTGTACAGTAGAGTCTCAACCAATGATATAAGTCTGGCTGGATCTCCTCCAGTTCCGGGGAGCAGAGATCACCTCCCTTAGCGGAACCGCTGAGTGGCTGTAACGCGGGGTCGCACGCTCACAGCACACGTTCATCCGCAACGAGCAAATCGAGGAGGACGAGAGAGAGGTGAGCATAAGCACACTCTCTAGAGTTCAATTTGAAAAAAAAACTACACCAAGCACATTCAACACAAAATAAGAAATATGGCACGCAGCAGAGAGATCACCACGATCTGGTAAAGATGATGCAAGAATGCAGATGCAGACATCGACGCAACATAGCAAGAAACCAGCCTAACTCTCATAGACATATCACATGCAAATTGTCTGAAAACGACACTCTCCGCTTCAATAATCCCCTTCCATTTGCTGTGGAGCAGCCAGCATCGGCTCCACGCTGATGCTTCAAGTCAAAATCTTCCATCGATGCCCTGCGACCATTCAATGATGTCGATTGCTTGAGAGCACTCCGGAGCGGCGATGACGATGGCGTGCCCAAGGGCGATGCAGAAAGAGGGGATAGCGGGGGTGACAAAAACTGGGGTGATGACTGTAACGGGATGAACACTTTCAGATTTGCGGGCTGTGGCGACTGTCGGGGATTGTAGCAGGTCTGGCTGTTCAACATTCTAGATTTAGCAGACAGAGACCTGAAAGAAAAACCAGTGTTGGAATGCACAGCATGCGCTGGAAAGTTTATTGAGGATGCTTGTAACGAGAGTCCTTGAGGCGAGAGTGGTGGCAGGCCATATCCAGCAGGTCGGTCTAGTTGGCTGGAGCTAGCAGAGTGTGAGCGAACGGAGAATGCGCCAAGAGGAGGTTGTGACTGTATTGGGAGGTACGTGCTGCTGGGTGAAGGTGGCTCAATCGAGAGAGCAACGGAAGCAGGCTTGCCATTGGAAAAACCGTTATCAGAAACAGTGGCAGCAGCAGCAGGAACACCAGCACCAGTGCAGTGAGCGTCTCTCGCCGCGCCCTTGCTACTGGTCCAGCTTTGGCTGCGGGACATCCCCCGACCAATCTCTGTCGCATCACCGCAGCTTGCCGCTCCAACAACACCATGGCTGTCACTGAGGGTGAAGCTCTGCCGCCTACTATCACTCTTGCTGCTACCACACGGAGTGACCACCGGTCTAGATGCCGCGCCCGGGGAGGCGGAGTGCGGTGACGCGGGGTGCGGTGCGGTGCCGGGGCGATGCGGCAGGTGACGCCAGTTGACGAACCCCACGCGGCTGCTCAGCCTGACCACGGCAATGGGAGTCGTCACAGCGGATCCTCCACTGGGGGCAGCAGCCCTCGTAGCGCGTCCTGTGGTGCTGCTGCTCGTGGTATGGGTGGTTAGTAGACCAGTCGGAGTGGACGGGGCAGTGGAGCCCTTACAGGTAACACTACCAATGCGCCTCGGGTTATCATTAGTAGTCAAAATAGAGGCAGTGGTAGTAGCAATGTGAGTCGCAGGGGAGAGCAGTCCTCCGCGGGCCAACTCCGCGAGCTTCCGCGCAGCCGCCTGTGGCACTGAGAGCTGCCGCACAGCTGCCGCCACAGATGCGTGTGGCGCTGCGATCATATTCCGCGCAGCCTCCTGTGACTCGGCTGGGTGATGATGATGTTGATGGCCCTGCCGCCTGCGGCACTGGGGCTTGTGCGAGATGATTGCGCCACGTGGATCGTCCGCGTGACGAGCCGCGTCCGGCGAGAGCTGCTGCGCGCCGAGCGGAGGAGAGGAAGGGGAGATCATTGTGAGGGAAGCCAGCGGGCTTCGCGGGGGCTTGTTAAACGCGGCGCCGGCAGACGCGGCTCGCGGAAACGCCGCCGCTGCCAGCAATGCCGCCGCCGTTGCCAGCAATGCGCTTCCGTCAACGACGGAGAGGGGAGCGGAGGAAGCGGAGGACGACTTGCGGAACTGTCGCCCGCGCGACGACCATGCGACCGTGGGAGACGTCGCTGACGCCACAGCCGCCGCCGGTAGCATCGCATGCGGCGGCGTCTCGAAGGAGAAGTGATCGTCATTCGCGCCGGCAACGCCACGACTCCCGTCGCAGCAATCGTCGAGATCAGCGACGTCGTGATCACCGTCAACCCCGAGGGACACGTCGAGGCGCAGAGAGCCGCATTTAAGTTTTCGCCGCGCCGCCAGCGTTCCCGCGCGAAGTACTAGAGAGGCCTTACAAACGGGGGCTTCAGAGACGGTTTTAGAGGCGGAGGAAACTTCAAGTGTGGCTTCACTGCCAACGGCGACAGCAGCGGTAAAAGCGGCCTCGTCCAGCGAATCGTTGGCGTCGCTGACGCATAGCGAAGAGACGCGCGGCGTGTTAGTCGTGACAGGCAGCGTCGTGCGTCGCGCCGCGCATGATGCCATGATTTTGATAAGTCTGCAATGCGCGCGTCGCGTGACAAGGACGATTGAAGGTTAGATCACGGCTCTCGCAGATTGTTGCGACCCAAATTCGCTTTCAAGGTGACTAAACGACCTCGAGTTTGAAACTGAGGACTGAACTTTGAAGGTGAGAAATCTGCAAAGAAAATGATAATGCTAACATCAGGTCGCTGGGATGGGTCATGAACGTATTAGTTGATAACTCAATGTCCCGTTGCCGCTCTATGTCTAGGACCAGCAGTGACGACGCGTTTCTGTTCGTTCCGAAGTTGGGACTCTCCATCAGTCTCAGACAGTTCGAACGCCGGAATTTGCTGCCCGCAGGTCATGGCAGTTGCGGTGAGGGCCGAGCCGACTATGGGAGGGAGATCGAAGCGCATAAAGACGTTTCACTGCCAGCTCCCGACCCGACCCGAGTATGCGGTGGTTTCGTCTGCAGGTGTTGGGTGGAAACCTCCCAGTGGTCAACAAGGCCAGCTAACGGAAACCTCCGGATATGTGGAGATAACGGCGTTAGGGCCCTGTTCTGTTGCCCATCGGCTAAATGGTGGGCGGACAGCTCAGCACTGCATCAGCTGTGCGACAGGAGGCTTGGTACGCATCAATTTTTTTGAAGGCTCACGCTACCTTCCTGCCCCCCTCCGCGCAGTTTCAGGGCTAAAGTTATTTTTTCCTTCGCAGACCGTCAAACCTCCTCTCGCCACCAGCCATTGGATGGTTGGATGGCCTGAAAGCAAAGGGGCCAACCAGGACAAAGCAAAACATTTATCCCTGCCCTGAACCACTTGGTGCGGACCCTTGATCCCCCCTCTGAGCGGGAACCAGGGCCGCACCAGCATTTCACCCATTTTGCCTGAGAGTGGGGGATAGCTTTTGCGTCACAGGTTCACCGTTCTTTTGGGCGGGCGGACTGCACTGCACTCGTTAGGTCCGGGAAGCGGTTCAGTTTCCCGAGCCTGGTATCGAGGAATACGCCCTCGTAAAAAAAGCTCCTAGGATCTCCGGTAGAACCCCGGAAGAAGCATCAATTTGGTGCTGTGCGGAGGGGTCCGCACCAAGTGGTGCGGCAACAGAACAGGGCCTAGGGTTCGGCTGGATGAGGATTTCGGCCAAAGGAAATTGATGAGCAGAAAATGAGGAGCTTTCGTTTGTAATGCGCGAAAAGCTACCAGACCAGAGTGGATACGTTTAAACCGTTGATCGTCTAGCAAAACCGTACTGAAGCGTTTTCGTAGCAGGGGTCTGAATGGTTGGATTGTGGGAAGTGTGTGGTCGAGTCGAGCTACAGTGTCAGGAAGAGAAGTTGACCAGAAGCACACCCAGAAATTATCTGAAGTGGTCTGGAGTAGACGACGAGTTGCAATCACTCGATACGATCCGGTGGATCAGGCTGTGATCAGATATGTACAGCATTGCTTTTCCAGGCGGCATTTAGCTCTTGGGTAGGGGGGTCAATTCCCATTTTCCGACTTAGGAGGTGGTGTACCTGTATAAGCATGCCATGCTTTGTATTGTTTGCCGGGAAAATATGCCAACCATCATGGGAATAAAGGGTACGGTCACTGCAAAGGGTGTTTTCACGCGACTGATAAAACGTTTCACGTAATCAGTCACAATCAACTGGTAAAAAAAAACGCGAATGGTCATAGATGAAACTCCCGCCAAAACAAAAAGAAACCCAAAAAAAACCTGGATGCATTTTCGAATGAATCAACCCTAAACACGTAACTCGCCAGGTGTTTAGGGTTGATCAGTTCCCAACCGCATCCGATTCCAATTGGGTTTTAGATTTTTTTACAGGTTAGCAGATTGGTTGGGCGCGAGCGGGAAATTTGTTGAGTTCCAAGTTGTTGCGATCAGAAGTTGATCACCCTCAGGATCACCTCAAGAAGGTTCGCACAGTCCTAATCTAGTGGTGGTGGGCCCTTGACCTCAATAGCAGAGTGGATGTAAATGCTTGAGATAATAAAAACATGCAGTACAAGGAATATAAATAAGATTACAAGGGGATACCAATCGACCTAGCTAGCCATGTACTCTAAGGGGTACATCCCCTTATTGCAGCGAAATCCAACCGTGCGACTCCAGACAGTTACGAAACTGTTCGGGCAGAATCCTCGCCACTGCTGCTGCCTGATGCTGTCTGCCCGACGGTCCAGATCCTTTCGTAACCGTGTGACTCTTCGTGTCACCTCCGCCTGTCCGTCTTCGTTCTCGGTAGAGCGTGCTTCGATTGCTGCGGTGAGGAGTGTATAATAGTGTTTCAACAATCACTATTCGTAACACCCCCCTTCACTCCTGGCCGTAGCGAGTCTTGACCCGCTTGACTACCCCGCTGAGTTCGGAGCAGTGCTGGCACTGCTGACGTGATAGCTTCTTCGTGAGGAAGTCAGCTGCCATGTCACCCGTCGGGCAGTAGGTTAGGTCAACCTTGCCCTTGTCAACTTCGTCATTGACGAAGAAGTACCGCAGCGCGATGTGTTTGGTCCGATTGACGAATCCCGGCTTGTTCGCGATCCTGATCGCGCTCTGGTTGTCGCAGTGCAGGCGAAAATTCGTCGAGGCTGGAATTTTCGCCTCCTGCAGCAGCTCCTGAAGGTAGAGGCCTTCGCGAACGGCTGCTGTTGCTGCGATGAATTCAGCCTCCGCTGATGACAGGGCAACCAGCTCCTGTTTTTGTGAATTCCAGGAGATGGGGCTGCTGGGCTCGAGACGGAAAAGGAAGCCTGTCCTGGACCGTCGATTGTCAGGGTCAGCGGCGTGATCGGCGTCCACGTAGCCGATGCTGTTGAAGGATGAAGTTGGGATGGTGGAGTAGCAGAGCCCGATGCTGGTCGTGGAGATGAAGAACTGGAGCGCCCGCTGGAGATCTAGTAGATTCTCAGCCGTTGGTTTGCGAGAGTACTGAGCCAACTGGCTCGCGATGTAGGAAAGGTCGGGCCTGCAGGTAACAGATGCAAAGAGCAGGCATCCCAACTGTTGCTGGTAGGTGTGAAGCCCAGCAGGGGACAGGGCTTTGTTGTCAGGCTTGTGGTTGGGTCCTGGGGTGCGGTAAGGGGTGGAGAGTGGTGCAGGCGCAATGTTGAAGCGCTTGCTAAGCTCCTCTGCATACTTCGCTGCTGAGAGATGAATGGCTTCCGGCGAGTAAGTGATGTTGAGCCCGAGAAACTGCTTCACGTCATGATTGCAGGTGATGTCGACGCGCCCTGCGAGGTTTTTCTGAAATTGCTCAAGCAGCTCGTTGCTTGACCCTGTGTAGAGAAGGTCGTCGACGTAGACCGTGAGTATGATGTATTCGCCGCGGAAATCGCGGCGATACATCCCAGGATCGCGAGGCAGCTGCTTGAACCCGATTTCAAGCAGTATGTTGTGCAGGTACTGCTGCCAGAGTCTCGGCGCCTGTTTGATCCCGTAAAGGGACTTCCGCAGCTGGCAGACCCGCGAATCTCCTTCGCCATATGTGTGCGGCTGCTCCACGTAGATCACTGCATCTACGAGCGCGTACAGGAATGCGTTCTTAACATCGATCTGTCGGAGCGGCAGATGTCGTGCGGCTGCGATGGCGAGGAGTATCCTGACGGAGGTGTGACGGCTCACCGGTGCAAACGTTTGATCGAAGTCGATCCCGTGCCTCTGGTCGTAGCCGCGTACTACCCAGCGCGCCTTGAAGCGCTCGATCGTCCCGTCAGCTCCGGTCTTCACGCGGAAGACCCACTTGCTGGAAAGGATCCTTCTCCCCTTCACTGCTGCACAGTCGACGAGTACCCAGGTGTCACGTGACTCAAGTGCCCTGATCTCCGCATCCATTGCCTCGCGCCATTCCTTGCTGTGAGGTCCCGTGAGTGCTTACCGTGGGTTCTTAGGCTCGATGACACGTGGCGCCGTTGAGATGGCAGCATGGAGCCCGAGGAGTTGCATTCCGGTGACGGTGCTGTCGTGGCGATGCTGCGGGATGACCTCCTGCACATTGTCGTCGTCGCTTTCTGGTTCTGGTGGGGCTGATGGTGCTGCTCCTGCGCCGTTTCCGCTTCCGCTTCCTCCTGTTGCGCCTCCTGCTGCGCCCGCTCCTTCTTCTCCTGAATCATCGTTGTCGTCGTCGTCGTCGTCGTCGTCGCGTCGATCGCCTCTCGTGAACTCGCCTCTGGGGTCCTGCTCCAGAATTGCTGCTGCGGCTTCGTCCTCAGGTGAGGCGTAGCTGTGGCCGTCGTTGGCGTAGACGCGGTTCGCGTTCGTCTGCTCGTCTTCGCGGAACTGCTGGAGGAAGAGGCGCTCGTAGAAGATGACGTCGCGCGCGTTCTTGATTTTCTGGCTCAGGAGATCCAGAATGATCCACGCCTTGTACTCGTGGCTGATCCCGAGATGGATCCCCCAGCGCGCGCGGCTCTTGAACTTGCCGATGGTTGATGTTGGCGGGAGGTACTGGACCATGCACCCCCACACGCGGAGCATGGATGTGTCGCCCTTCCTCCCCGTCCACTTCACGTGCGGTGAGGAGTTGCCGGTGATCGCGGTGGTTGACAGCAGGTTGTGCACCCGTACGGCGTGGTGCATTGCGTGGGTCCAGTAGGTCGGCGGAAGCTTCGACTGCTTCATTAGCGCCCGCACATTTGTCATGAGAGTGCGATTCGTGCGCTCTGCTACGCCCTGCTGTTGGTGTGCATAGGGGAGGGAAATGTGATGCTCGATCCCCTTTTGCGCAAGGTAATCCTGCAGCTCCTTGCTCCTGAACTCCGCCGCGCCATCGGACTGCCAGATCTTCAACTTCTCCCCGGATTGCCGCTGCGCGTGCGCCAGCCACAGGCGGAATGCTTCGTATGCTCTGCTGCGCGCTTCCACGTTTACGACCCACACGTGGCGCGTTCCAGCGTCGACGAAGGTGAGCGTGTAGAGTTCGTCGTTGATGCCGCAGTGTCCCACGTTGAGGAAGTCACAGTAAACTTTCTCTAACTTGGCGTAGCGGTTGGTTCCTGGCTCACGCAGGG